GCCGATTCGGTGCTTTAGTTACTAGACCTACAGAAGCTATTTAAGGTTGAAACCAATATATTAGACTATACGATTGGAGGACAACTCGGTTAGTACAATAAACACAGGAAATTATACCTAGTCGTATTCTTTTTAAAGAAGCTCGAAGGATCATAGCTTAACTACCTAATCTACGATAAAGAGCTACTAGCTATCATCGAAGCTTTTCAAGAATAGAGACCATACCTTAGCGGTATAACCTATAAAGTTCAGGTCTATATAGACTATAAGAACTTACGGTACTTTACTACCACCAAGGTATTGAATAGACGACAGACTCGATAGGTAGAATTCCTTTTAGAGTTCAACTTCAAAATCAATTATAAGAAAGACTTGGAAAACGTATAAGCAGATGCGTTAAGCAGGAGGCCAGATCACTTCAGGAATAGCCAACTAGAAGCCTCGCCACCATTACTTCAACAATAGCCAGATGGTTCCTTATAGTATGCTCCCTAACCGATAGAAGATCTCGATGACGATATACTTCTACAATAGGATGAAGATCCTAATATATAACCTCTATAACCGCTTGAAGAATATTATATAGTCTTTAGGGAAGAACGGCTAGGAAAAGACTTCCAAGACCGGAAGCAGAACGATATAGACGATAAGGTAGGTATCTCTTGGAGAGATAGAGCGTTATAGTATAATGGCAAAGCCTACGTTGCACCGTAGGATCAGACAGAACTGATCAAGACAATCCACGAGTTGAAACTCGGAGGACATATGGGAATCGCCAAAACAATCGCCAAGGTTCGGCAATACTACGACTTCTTAGGACTCAGGACTAGAGTCAAGACTATTATATAGGAATACAACCTCTACAATCGGAGCAAGTCGGTACGGCATAAACTATATAGGCTCTTAGAGCCACTGCCAGTTATAGAACGACCATGGAGTTCAGTGACGATAGATTATATCACCAAACTACCACTTTCGAGAGATTCGACTATTAGAACAAAGTACAATAGCATTCTTACTATAGTTAACCGACTTACCAAGTAGAGCTACTTCTTCCTATATAAAGAGTCATAGTCGGTAGAGCAACTCGCAGATATAATCTATTGATATATTATATTAATATATAAATGGCCAGAAGAATGGATTATAGACTAAGACACTAAGTTCGTATTAAAGTTTTAGCAAGCGCTTATAAAATGTTTAGGCACGAAAAGTAAGCTTGTAATAATATACTACCCGTAGATAGATAGCTAAATAGAAAGACTCAACTAGATCGTCGAACAATACCTTAGGACGTTTGTCAACTTCTAACAAGATAACTAGGTTAATCTATTGCCAGCAGTATAGCTTATATATAATATAACGCTAATAGAGACAATAAAGGTCACTCTATTCTTCGCGAACTTTAGTTACAAAGCAGATTTATACTAGGGACTAGATATTATAGTACCTAGGGCAAAAGTCAAGGTAGAGAAGATATATATACTATATATAATATTAAAAGAAGAACTCGAGTTCGTCAGGCTCAGGATAAAAGAGTATTACGATAAACATCGGCTCGAGGGACCTTGCCTTAAAAGAAGAGACATAGTCTACCTCGTTTCTCGGAATTTAAAAATAAAACGGCCAAGTTAAAAACTCGACTTTAGGAAGATTAGACCGTTTAAAATCGACGCAAAAATTTCGACATCTAACTATCGACTTTCGTTACTATCTATAATAAAGCTATATACTAACATCTTCTATATCTTACTCCTCGAACTAGCACCTAAGAACGCGTGGCTTATAAAGAACATTGAAGCCAAGGATAAAGAAGAAGAATAGGATATTAAGGAGATCCTGGATTTATAAATAGCCAATAGAAGGCTAGAATATTTAATCAAATAGCTCGACTTCGGACTAGAAGATAACTTATAGGAACCAGCGGAATATCTTAACTATACGGAAAAACTAAAGGAGTTCTATCGGCAGAACCTAGACCGACTAGGAGAGAAATATAAAAATCTCCGGCCAGGTCGCGTCACCCTATAGTAACGCGACCTATATAGAGAAGAAGCCCAAATAGGATTCGAACCCATAGTCTCCTAGAGCAATCACTCGGGTATAATAACCAAGCTATACCACTAAGCCATTTTATTTGTAGGGAAACAGGCAACAAGAATCAGATTGAGAACCCCAGGCAGGAAAGAGCGGCCGCAGGCAGCCATGCTATAACACAACACATACGGCAGGTGCGACCAAGACCTGACCGCCATCGACTACGAACCCGCACTACCTCGAGCCTTGTCAACGACAGGAGGAGAATCCCTAGACTATAGGAGCGCGTCAAAATCAAGGGGCCCTGGCAAAGCACCAGAACTATAAGGAACAACGCCAGCAGCCTCCCAGTCAACCATACCAAAGGCACCTAAGGCCTGTGCCTGGCCAACAAGCTACTGCTCCTCCGACATCGGTTCCGGGGAAGGGGGCCCATCCTCTTCCAAACCCTCCAGCCTACGAGCTAGCAACGACAAACCGGTCTCCGCTAAGCGCTGGCGCTGCTATCGAAGCCGGGAAAGGCGGCTCAACGCCTTAGCAAGCTAACGTTCAGCATCCACAATCGCTTTATCAATCTTATCGTAGGCTGATAAGTTTACTACCACTATTTTATTAGGAAGGGCCTAGCAGGCACAGACAAAGGGGGTACCTATAAGCGTTCGTAATGCTAGGACCGCTGTACTTCTTCCCTATACGAATAGAAGAGGAACACTTGTTGGAACCAGGCACCATGATACAACACCTATATGGCTTTGCGTTCCAACAACATTCGCAAGGTATATCGGACTCCTCACCATCGTACTCAATCGCTATCATAGCAATATAGCGTTTAAAGGCACGGTTTCGATAGGGCCTAGCCGCCACTATATCAGCTATAGCAACAATAAGGGAAGAAGAGTGACAACTCACCAGGGAACCAAATCAAGGGGGCGGTTGGCGCTAAAAGGAAACACAACGACGGCCAAGGTCTTTCGGGGCGAAAGACGTCAAGGAGGGGCATCGTGTTATAAACCAACCATATAACCCGACCTAGTAGGACCATGCAGGTGATAGGGTTACCAATCAGGACGCGTAAGGCCGCCGGATGCCCTACATGGATGCCGGTGGACGACGGCGTCCAAGAGCGACCGTATGGACGCCCGAGGACGCTGGCGAGCACCAGCGACCATGGACGCTCGAGGACGACGGCGAGCACGGGCGTCCACGGAGAAATAGCTAGTATATAGTCATTCGTTAAGGAGGACTCTGGGAGTTCTCCAGTGAGCAATACAAGCAGTAAGGTAGCCCTATATTACTATACAGACATTGCGACTTGCATTGTTATAAACCTTTTGGCTTCACCGAGACCTACAGTCCGACCAGCAGATACCTTCGACCGGCGAACCCTTTCAGAGGCAGGACTGCCTGTGGTTTTGTCATACTTAGACAAAGGGCAAATACTGGTTATTGATCCTCGATAGCCATGAAAGCCACTACTCAACTGAGTTCGAGCTCTATTGCCAGTAGAACAACATCATCACGCTCTGCATACCTCTACATTCCTCCTACCTCCTCTAGCCACTTAATATTGGCTGCTTTAGGCCGTTAAAGCAGGCGTACGGTTGCCAGATCAAGGACTTAGTACGTATGTATATCAACTATATAAGCAAGCTCGAGTTCCTTTATGCCTTTCGCACGGCCTTCTTTGCCTCTATTACTAAGAGGAATATATAGGGCGGTTTTACAGGGGCTGGCCTTATGCCATACAATCTAGAGAGGGTGCTTTCAAAGCTAGATATCAAGCTTCGTATACTAATACCCCTAATCTCACGGCCAGGCACTATACAATCTTGGGTCTTCCAGATACTATATAACCCTCGAGAAGCTGAGTCACAGTCAACGCTTATCAAGACTCGCATTGCCAACCATCAAAATAGCTCCCCGACTTCAATGTTAGCTACTATGGACCAGCTTACCAAGGGTACAATAGCTATAATGCACCAGGTGGCCCTCCTTCAGGCAGAGGTGTCTTCGCTCCGCAAGGCTAAACAGGCGCTAAGCAAGCGCCGGAGAGCCAAAAAAACACGTGTTCGGCTTGGAGGATCACTTACTGTGCAGGAGGCACAGGAGGTGGTAAGCCAGGGGGCTGTACGTGGGGAGGAAATGCAAGAAATATAGCTGGATGGTAGTGGTGCTGGGGGGGGTCGTACGAGGGTTCGGTGCTGTGGTGTGTGCGGCAAGCCTGGCCATAATGCCCGCACTTGCCAGGAGGGTGCAGAAGGGTCTGATTCATCTGTTTCTGATGTAATTATTGTTAGTTCCTAGTGTTGTTGTTTTGTGATTGAGGATATTGTTGGTAGTGTAGTGGAGAGTGGCCGGCTCGCTTATATGGCCGGCTCGCTTATAAGATACGTTATAAATAGCAAACACCGCGAAAATCTCTAATATATATATCTAATGTGACAGTGGAACCCACCGTACCATGGCTACTGTCCGATCAGCAGTACCTTCGACCGGCGAACCCTTTCAGAGGCAGGACTGCCTGTGGTTTCGTCACATGGGGGCGGCCGGGGGCTGACGAGGGCAACTTTTGGGTAATGCAATAGGGAATGTTTCGTGACCGGAACGCTGCTTCTCTCGAAGAAGCCAGGCGCGGCCGGGTTAGCGGAGGGATGAGACTGAATAATGGCCCGGAATGGGTGAGGTTCTATATAGCGTGGTGTTTCAACCGGGACTCGTGCGCAGCCACTACTTTCTCAGAACGCTCCATATATCCAGTAGTTGTCTCACAGGAAGGGTTTAGGGGGCTTATTATCAGGCCCAAACAGTTCTTCTCCTTTAATCCTAACAACGTTGATTACAGAGATGCAATGATCTTCCACTTAGGCAGTACTCCGAAAAGAAACAGGGTATTTCCATCAAACAGCACCCCCTTTCATCTTCCACACCTCAACCTCATCCCAAAGACCCCACACCACCCCAACTCACTTCCTCCCGTTCCCCCCCTTCTGCAACTGTTCAATCCTAGACTCAGCCCGCTTATACCCAGGCTCCTCCACCAACCGATCCAAATACGCCCACACCTTGGGATAACTGTCGGCCAACTTCTTCCCCCCCTGGCCCTTGGCCCCGACACTACTAGTAGTACTAAAAGAACCGACCCGCTCCCTCGCCTCGATCAGCGGATAGCTCATGAGTATGTCGGCGGCGGTCAGGCGTGTGCCACACAGGTAGTTCCCCTTGCCCGGGGATGTCTCGAGCTGGCTCTCGAGAAACGACAGGTGGATGGCCATCTGGCGCACGACAAAGGCCGCCATGATCTTGTTCGCTATTCCGGAGGTCATGGGCCGCAGGATGAAGGGGATTCTGGGGCTTTTCAGGACTTTTTGGAGTTTGCGGGGAGCTCTATGTTAGTATCGTGTTTTGGGTGTCACGACTGGGATTGGTGAGTGGGAAGTAAAGAAGGGGAGGTGCGCACTGTTGAGAATAAGCGCCACCAGCAGCGGCGGCATCAGGCTGCCCTCGGCGTAGTGCAGGAAGAACTGACAGCGCATCCACTCCTCCGTCTCGGCGCCGAGCCGTCCCTCCTCCTGGCCGGGGCGGTACCGAGCCGGGAGGAGACCACTTTGACCAGGACCGTGACCGCCGAAGTGCTCGCAGAGGTACTCCGCTATGAAGCCGCTCTCGGCCAGAACCAGGTCCCTCTGCCGGGTCGGGTCGATGGGGTCCGGCGTAGTCAGCCGCACGACGGGCGACTTTCCCAGCGGGTGGATCTTCTGGAGCTCGGAAGGCGCGAACATCTCCGAGGTGCGCTCGAACATCTCGATGTCGTAGTCTAGCCCGAGCTCCTCGAGCAGCCAGACCATGCGCTGCGCGCGGGAATCGTTGAGCCTAGAAAGTAGAATTCGGCAGGTTAGGTCTGTCTGAGGTTGGTCTGCTCACTTCTTGTTTCTTCAGGGGCTACGTCTTACCAGTATAGCGTGATTTTGGGAGGCTGTGATGTTGCTGGCTGATCCGCTGTCATGTTGATGACTTTATGACTGCCTGTGATGAACAATGATAAATAAATGGGCTGTCAGTGTGTCACGGCTGTGTACGTCTTTAAACAGATATGTCTCTGATTAATTGAAGGCATAGTGAAGGAAATTCCTAATCATTACCACTGCCTCACGGATGCTTAAATACACTGATTTCGTCCCGATTCTGTACTCTGTTGGTTGAGCTTCATCTTTGAGTCAGACGGAACAATATTGAGGGGATTCCAACCGTTTCCAACCGCACTCGGAAATCGGAATCGCGCATTCGCACTCGCTAACAAACGGTCGTGAGGCCTGATTGGCGGCGCCGAGCCGCGGGTTGGCTGAGCTCCCTTCCAAACGACTCGGACAAGGACAACACATCGCCCACGCCGTCAACGTAAACGTCGGCTTCATTGTTTTGCGTGAAAGAAAACTCCACTTCGAGGTCTCAGCATGACACCCTAACCCTCCCATCATTCTCCTCTACTGTGCAGGCCTGCAGCATAGCTGTTGCGAAGATCGGGCCATCTTGAACCGAAGAGCTTGCGTGATTTTGACTGACCGTGTTTGAAAATAACGTTACATGGAGGCTCACAATGTCGCTCATCTGTTTGGGATTAGCTCTGTTTGTGCAACTCCTTGGTCTGATCAGGCCAGACCACAGCAGCGCACACCCCGGCCCCGACACGCCAAGCACGCCGACAAGCCACCCTGCAGCGCGCTAGCTCCTACTTAGCGTCCAGCAGCCTCTCGGCCCCCAAACTCATCGTATGTATGAATTGTCCCGTCGGCCCAATCACCTTGCGCTATGCCTCAGCGGCGTCATTCACAGCGCACCTCTAGGCGTCCCCGCATCCAAGAAATGCAGCTTCCCGTCATGGGCACCGAGGCGGGCGTGCAGCGTCGTCGGTGGCGCATTAGGAATCCAGCGGCAGTCCGGCGCGCGGAGGCAGCCTCGGCAACACAGGTTGGGCCTTGACGGAATGCTTCATTAAGCACGCTCCAGCTGCGGGCCATCACCGACCACCACCCACCTGCATCTTGTCAGACCCGACTCCCGCAGCGAGGATCCAGGAAGTGGCCTGACTACCACTTGCAAACCCTTTCTTTCTCCCGTACCTACTTAGGTACCTAAGATACCCTTGATCAACAATGTCCGACTCCGACTCCGACGCTCGGCCAACCCTCCTCCGAATCCCGGGCGAGATCCGCAACAACATCTACGCCCACCTCCTCCTCTTCCCGCACCCGGTGCACATCTACCGCTGGCAGCCCAACAACAACAACAACAACAACAACAACAACAACAGCAGCAGCAGCAGCAGCAGCAGCAGCAGAAGAGACACCACCACCACCACCCGAAACAAACACAAACACAAACACAAACATAACCCGTCCTCGTCGTCGTCCTCCTCCTCCTCCTCAAAAAAGAACCACCACCGCTCCCTCTCCACCACGCTTCTCCCCCTCCTCCTCACATGCCGCCAAACTCACGGGGAAGCGACCGCCCTCTTCTACGCACACAACCGCTTCGGCCTGCCCCCGACCGTGCTCCGGCACGCCCCGCGCCAGACCCAGCTCAACCTCCTCTTCCGCCACTTCCTCGACCGCGTCGGCCCGCGCAACGCCGCCCTGCTCCGCCATCTGGTCATTCCCTTCCCCGTTTCCTTGCCCTTGCCCTTCGCTGCCGTGGGGGCCGAAACGCGCGACCGCGACCGCGGGTATAATAATAATACTAGTAGCGATGGATGGGGGAATGATCACGACTATGGCCATGGGTACGGGTATCATGGGGGCTCGAGCGCGGTCCTCCTCCTCCTCCCCCTCCTCCTCTCGGCGCTGCGGCAGCGCTGTCCGAACCTGGAGTCGCTTGAATTTGATCTCCGGTGGGATAGGGCGGCGGTGATGCAGTTGATGGTTGCTGCGCACAGGCCGGCGTGGCTGCTGGGCGGGGGGTTGGGTGATGATGAGGGGGATGGGGATGGGGATGGGGATGGGGCGAGGCCGGTGCGGGTGGCGGTGTGTCTTGGTTATGATTACAGTGGTCACTATTCGGAGAAGTCTGGCGGAGAGGAGGAGGAGGAGGAGGCGGCGGGTCGTCGTCGTCGTGGGCGGAGGATGTCGCCATCCGAGGTGAGGTGGAAGCGCATGAATCGGGTTGTTGAGGAGGGGTTGGGGTGGCGGGTTGTTGTGAGGAGTTGCAAAGACGATGAGGAGGAAGAGAAGGAGGAGGAGGCGCTACTGGAAGGAGTACTGAAACAACCGGAAGGCAGCAGCAGCAGCTCGGACTGGTACCCTCGCGAAGCGCGCGATCCGAGGGCGGCGGTCGTGTGGGCGCTGTCTGAGAGAGTGCTGCAGTCGGAGGTGCACAGCCGGTGGCCCGGGGTGGATTGGGCGAAGTCCAAGCTCCAGAGCGTCCCGGAATGGCTGTACGAGGAGTACCAACGATGGAGGCATACTATGGCCCTGAAATCCATGTACGTGCGCGTTCGCTGGTGCAACCTGGAGGCTCTGCATCTCGACGCTGTCGTGCCCAGGCTGGCAAAGCCCAAGGGGGGCATTCGTGGCATCTTTGGATTTCGTCGTCGACGACGCTCCGACGAGTGATGAGACGCTCGCGTTTGTCTTTTTCTTTCTCGTTCTACAAGCTACTACTGCACTCCTCGTCAGGAGGCGTTGGGTCCTGGGTGTTGGTGGCGTCTTACCTGTCATGATTTCTGCGTTAGGGTGGTTGTTTCTCCTCGAGCTGGAGGTAGGCACTCAGGCTGCGACGGCATTGGCACTGGTGTCAATGGCGACATCCCAGGGCCAGCTCCTGTTATCGTTGCTCTAGTTCTCTGTTGTGTTTGCTTTTTAAGTCCCCAGTCTGGAACTGTTGGGTTTACTGGGCTTATCACAGACTGTGCCGGGGGATTCCGCTGCTGTACTCGGACAACGGTGCGTGTGCTCTTCGTGGTGGTTTACGCGGGTCTTGCCCCTGATTCTCTGACCGTAGCAGATTCGCAACTTGCGTAACACACAGCTGCTATCAACGCCATGGATGACAGGGCTGCTCGCGGTACCGATTCTCATTCACTCACACGGCTTGACTACTAGGAGTACCGTTTATGAGATTATTGCGGTAGAAGCGGGGGAATATCTGCCGATCATCCTTTGATGACGAGCACGCCGCTGAGGTGACATCATCCATCCCTCTGCTCCCCCTCATTGTACTGCCCTATTTGTTGCAAGCGGTAAACACCAAGATATAACCCCCTCCCCTACATTGCCCTTTCTCAACATCCATCCGATGCGACTCACACTTCTCTGTTCTCTATCCACATGTAAACCCAACCGCAACATCCTCAGCCCCCTAATAGTAACATCCAAAATGGCCGCCGCCCTGCAGCCGCATCCCGCGGCAAGGCCCCATTCCATCCACGAATACGCCGGCCTCGCCAAGCCCCCGCACCTCACCCGCCTCGAGTCGGCGACGCACAAAACAGGCCAGGTCGAGTCCCTCTCGATCGAAGTCGACGACAGCCAGGGCGGCTTCGTGCCGGGCTTTCTGCATCTGCCGCCGGACTTCGTCAACACCACCACCACCACCAGTACCAATACCAATACCAATAACCCCGCCTCCGCCCTCCCGCCGCACCACCACCGCACCGCCGCGATCCTCCTCTCGGGCGCCGGCGGCGGCGTGGCCGGCCCGTCGTCCATCTACCTGTCCCTGGCGTGCAAGCTGGCCACGCTGGGGCGGGGGATCCCCGCGCTGCGGCTCGACTACCGCTTCCCCGCGCGCACCGACGCCTGCTGCCACGACGTGCGCGCCGCCATGGCCTACCTAGGCGACATGTACGGCCTGGACCGGTTCGTGCTCGTGGGTTGGTCGTTCGGCGGGGCTGTGGTCTACACCGTGGGCGGTGGGGAAGAGGAAGGGAGGAGGAAGGTGGTTGGCGCCGCGACGATCGCGAGCCAGACGGCGGATGCGGTGGAGGGGATCAGGCGGATGAGGCCGCGGCCGGTGATGCTGCTGCATGGGAGTGGGGATAATACGCTGGGCGTCGGGTGCAGTCAGCGGTTGTATCATGAGTATGGCGCGGGGGATCGCACGCTGCATGTTTTTGAGGGGGATAATCATAGCTTGAGCGGGAATGCGGAGGAGGCGGAGGAGATGCTGTGTGAGTTTGTGGCGCGCTGTGCTGGGGTCAGGGTTGGGCCCCAGGAGAGGAGGGATGTGGTCGGTGCGGAGCTGGTCGAGGACGGGGAGCGGCATGAGTTGATGGAGCGGGGCGGGGATTTGCGCGCGCCTGAGAGGGAGGATTAAGGGGGGTGGGGGGGGTGGGAGGGGGGTGTGATGGAAACAGAGACTGCTGCTGCGTTTCACAGTTTTGTTGGGGTGGGAGGATTACGGTAAGCGTACATAGGTAGGGACTCAACAAAATTCAGGGGCAGACTGAGAAGGTAACTACTAGTAGTAAACAATCTAAAGTCAAGGTTGCTGCGATTCGTGTCAATACAGTGATGACATATCTAAGGGATTCAAGTCTAGTAGATACTGCACTATAGGGATCACAATGCTAATAAGTGCTCTGACTTTAACCTGTCGTAGCTATTAGTACTTAGCAGTGCTTATAATAGTTAACATATAAGCATATAACGTATCTTATAAGCGAGCCGGCCATATAAGCGAGCCGGCCACTCTCCACTACACTACCAACAATATCCTCAATCATAAAATAACAACACTAGGAACTAACAATAATTATATCAGAAACAGATGAATCAAACCCTTCTGCACGCTCCTGGCAAGTGCGGGCATTATAGCCAGGCTTGCTGCACACACCACAGCACCGAACCTTCGTACGACCCCCCCCAGCACTACTACCATCCAGCTGTATTTCTTACATTTCCTCCCCATTTACAGCCCCCTAGCTTACCACCTCCTGTGCCTCCTGCACAGTAAGTGATCCTCTAAGCCGCACATGTGTTTTTTTGGCTCTCCGGCGCTTGCTTAGCGCCTCGTTAGCCTTGCGGAGCAATGACACCTCTGCCTGAAGGAGGGCCACCTAGTGCATTATAGCCATCGTACTCTTGATAAGCTGGTCTATAGCAGCCAATATTGAAGTCGGGGAGCTATTTTGATGGTTGGCAATGCGAGTCTTGATAAGTGTTGACTATGACTCGGCTTCTCGAGGGTTGTATAGTGTCTGGAAGACCCAAGATTATATAATGCCCGGCCGTGAGGTTAGGGGTATTGGTATACGAAGCTTGATATCTAGCTTCGAAAGCACCCTCTCTAGATTATATAGTATAAGGCCAACCTCTGTAAAACTGCCCTGTATATTCCTCTTAGTAATAGAAGCAAAGAAGGCTATGCGAAAGGTATAAAGAAACTCGAGCTTGCTTATATGGTTGATGAATATATGTACTAAGTCCTCGATCTAGCGACCATACGCCTGCTTCAATGGCCCAAAGCAGCTAATATCAAGTGGCTAGAGGAGGCAGGAGGAATATAGAGGTATATAGAGCGTGATAATATTGTTCTACTAGTAATAGAGCTCGAACTCAGTCGAGTAGTAGCTTTTATGGCCATCGAGGATCAATAACCGGTATTTACCCTTTGTCTAAGGCGCTATATAATAGTCGAAGTACTTGATCCAATCAAGGCCTACTATATTAGTAGTCCAGCCATTCTCGGTGGTTGCAATACGCCAGTTGGCCGGGAGGTTATACTCTTGATACTAGTTGGCGAGATAATACTATACCGCTAAGATAATGAATGGAGGGATAGCCTAGCCAAGGGCATTAACGCCTTGGATCACCATCGCCCATTTGCGGTTGCCAGGCTAGGCTAGTTTCGCCTTGCCACAGCCATTCGAGGTTATAACCACTATACCTAGGAAGATAATGCCTATTATAAACCCAGTCTCATCGAAGTTATAGATATCATCATTTATAATGCCGTACTTGGCCTTAACATTCCGTATAAGGGCAAACTATTTGCTAATAATCTTCGGATCCTTGTACTTAGCCCTCTAGTAATCGTATCGATATATATAATATATCCGGAGCTCTGGCTGGCGTTTGGCAAAGTTATATACCCAGAGCTTGCCGACAGAGGGCGCGTCGCGTACACATAGCAGTTGGTTGGCCATATCTTCTATACCACGCAGTCTCGGCAGAAAAGCTCGCTTAGATAGCTCAATTATATACTGAATAAGAGCCTTCTCTTCGGAATCGTTGAGCCGGCGCAAGTTGGGCGTAGTATCGCGTCGTGTAGGCCGGCCCGCTAGTCAGTCTTGCAAGGTTGTTCGTCGAACGTTGTAGTACTTCGCTGTAGCCCTTATGCTTAGTTTTTGGTCTTTTTATATCGCTTCGAGGGCTAGGTTTATCCTAGCCTCGTACGAAGAAGAAGGCATGTTAGGTTGTAAAGAAAATCTGGTTTTAAGCGCGGAAGTGACGCGTCGCGGGTAAAGTGGCCGGCTCGCTTATATGGCCGGCTCGCTTATATGGCCGGCTCGCTTATATGGCCGGCTCGCTTATATGGCCGGCTCGCTTATATGGCCGGCTCGCTTATAAGATACGTTATATCATTATAATATAGAACTCGCTATCGCACCTGCCGGGTTTAGCAACTCTCCTAATCAGATATGGCGCTGCGTCCGAACCGCGTGCTTATACGGCCTAGCGCGCCCGTAGTATAAATACTAACCTCGCCTCTCCAACATCCACGATGTCATGATCCCACCGTTTTCAACGATCGATGCCAGTATCCAGCGAAGTACCGATAGCCTATACCTCCCGATGGAAGGTCAATTCCCTGCATGCGACCGGAGATCCCAATGATCGCATCACCGCGGATGGCACCTCGACTCCAGAGCCGGTAACGCGGAAGTATAATACGTCCTGCAACGCGTGCCGTAGGGCAAGGGTCAAATGCTCGAGAGGGAACCCATGTCGAAGGTGCGCTGCATCAGCAGACCCCGCGTCATACGTGTATAGCATCTCCCGGAGAAGGGGCAAGCAGAAAGCGAGTAACAGCCCCTAAGTGCAGGTTGGGACCAAGGAGGTAATGTCTGACCAGGCGGACGCACCTGACGTTGCCGCTGTTGACCCCCTACTAGTACAGGGTTGGCCCAAGGAACCTCCGCTTTTACTCTCCCTAGAGGGCATAGCAAATGAGGTGGGTAGCCATACCCAGCTTATATAGAGATCGAACAAGATGGCCACTGATCGCTTGCAAATATATAGGGCACATCTCTCTCTTCTAGCTAGCCATATACTATAGACGACATTGATAACTTCCCTAAGACCTTTCCCCTAACGGGTCCGGCAACTCCTATCACCCTAGTCTTTACCAGCGAGGGCGAGAGATGTCCGGATGCATGTTACGCCGCGGTCCACGGGATATACAATAAGCTAATCTCTATGCTCAGCCAGCACGGCTCCATAGGTCTCGACCAATATATGGCCGTTCTCGACTTGGCTTCGGTGTACGCCCGTAAGTATCTCGCCTACGGCCTTTACGATACGGGTTACACGCGTCTTATAACGCTTGCCCCACTGTACTGGCGCCAGCTGAACCTCCTGTACGACATTTGCTCTAACCCGTCACTATACCTTTCGGACGATATACGCGTGAGTTTAGGGAGTTATCGGCCGCCGAATAGGGAGCTGGACGTGGCCGTCAAGCGCGTCATGCTGCTTGGCGTGGCTAAGACGGTGCGCGAGCGGGTGGAAGAGATACAGGAGAGGGTGGAGGGGTTTGAGGACCGGATTGCGAGGGGATCGTTGGAGCTTGCTGAGGCGGGGAGGTTGAACTTGCAGTGGTTGCTTGGGGTCATCTGGAATCTGACGAGGAGGTTGGATACCATCAAAGCGGTCCTAGAGAAGGAGGATTGGGGACTGATTGCTGAGGCTATGCCTACGAGATAAGATGCGCATGGAGTTTAAGTTCGCTGGTTCCCAGGAGGTACAGTCACTTCCCTTCCCTAATGAAGCAGCAGTGCAATCCTGGCGAGGAAACCGAACTGCCCTGTATGTTTGCTACCTAGACCGCAGCGCACGTCGAAGACTATAAGTGGTTATGTCCGAGAGACACTACGAAATGGAGACCAAGAACAATCCTACTCTACAAGTCTCCAGTTAGACATGCTCCGCACTGACAGCCCCCTCCTTGTCAATAAGCTCTCCCGGAGTATTCCTCGCCAGACTCTCCGCTGCGACCTTCTTGAAGAACATCGGAGCCACCTTCATCGCATACAGCTCGTCCAGCTTCTCGAATGACAGCCCCTTTGTCTCCGGAAACAGGTACCATCCCCCGATGCCAGCCAGCAGCCCGGTTCCTAGAAAGATAAATCCAACCTTGCCACCCAAGTTGCCGGCATCCGGGTTGATCATGTACGGGACGGTAAACTGCATGATCAGGCCCCAGATGGAATTCGTGATAGTAATCAGACCCTGCGTCGCCGCCCGGAGCCGCATGGTCGCGATCTCAGAAGCCAGCACAAACCCCGTCGCGCCGATGGAAAGCTGGTAGATGAGCGCCCACACATAGAGCAAGGCCACAATGCCCCAACTCGCCTTGGCCTTGTCCGGGATACATCCCAGGATGCCAATGATGAGCAGCATGCCACACAACACGAACTGAGGGCCGACGATCAGGAACCGGCGGCCGTAGATCTCGGTCAAGGGGAAGGCCGACATGCTAGCGGCCAGCATGACGGCGTACAGCGCCATTGAGGCAGCGAAGTAGTTGCTGATTCCAATGAGCTCGAAGAAGTAGGTCGCGTAGCCGATGACGAATGTCGCGCCAATCATCTGCTGCGCCGAGGCCGCGAAGATGGCGGTCAACGTGCGCTTGCGGTTGGTCGCGTCGAAGCACTCGGCTTCGAGTTCCACGTTGACGCCCAGGATGCGTCTCGGGGGTTTGGCGTCGACGTGCCCATGCAGGTCGCTTGTCAGGCGGATCTCCTCTTCCATGCGGGCCACTTCGATCTCGTAGAATTCTTGTTCCGGGAAGCCGTAGATGCGCCGTAGGGCTTTCTTGGCATCGTAGCGTCGGCCGCGGCGGATGAGCCAGTAGGGGGACTCCGGGAAGAAGGGCCAGGCTGCCGTTAGGATCACTGAGGGGAGTCTAGCAGCTGTCTTGTCACAAAAGCGTAGCACACGGCGCCAATCAGATCGACTTACAGGGGAAAATGTACATAGCCACGACGGGCATCCACCACTGCCACTTGCCCGAGATGTGACTGCTGCCCTGAGAAACAACAACGATGGCAAACTGGCCGAAGACGATACTCGTATTAAAAAAGCACAGAAAGAAGCCGCGGAGTTCCGGACGGCAGGTCTCGCCGATCCACAGCGGCGAGATGGTGAACATCATGCCGATGGCGATGCCGTTGACGCCCCGGCCCGCCAGATGTGTCTGCCAGTCCGGGGCGAGCTGCTGGAGAATGACGCCCGCGGCCGAGATGATCGACGCGGCCAGGATGCCCCACTTGCGGCCAAACTTCTCGAGAAGCGGAGCAAAGATGAAGGTGGCGACGATCTCGGTGGCCGGGGCGATCGAGTTCCAGGCCGAGAGGTAGTGTGCCGGAATCAGATAGCTGCCGTCGGGCTGAAGCACGCCGAACTGCTTTTTGAACTCCGGCAACGCAGCGAGCTGGCCGCCGGCTACGATGTCAAAGCCTTGCATGACGACGCCGGACGAGATCAGGAGGGCTGTAGTACCCGGGTTCTAAGTGTTAGACAAGTGGTATTGAGTAGTAAGTAGTAGTCACTACTGTTTGCGGACATACCCCAGAGCGCAAACCGCGACTGCGATTTTAGTATCTTCCATTTATCGTCCGGATTGACTACCGAGTAGTCGATCCTGTAGCAAGAAGGCTTGTCAGTTCCACCCATGTATGTATGGCTCTTTCCGGACCAAGGTGATCCGGTGGATCAGTTATATGCTCTGATTACCCGTGTATTAGAGTCATCTTGAAACCCCTTTGCAGAAGTTGATATTCGCGACGGGGCAGTATCGTTTCCTTTTCTCAAGACTCAAGAGCAGCGTCAGGTGTGTGTGCGAATGGGTTCAAGGGGGCATGCTGCAAGTCCGACGGAGGCGAATGATGGAGGCGAATGTCTTACTACATATAGTGCTTGGAGCATCAACGAACTTCCCCAGATCCAGACAGCCGGGTCGAGCTAAGAAGCTAGCGACGCATGAGCAATTGCGGGACAGAACCAATGCCCCGCGAGATCTGCCGATCCGGGGCGATCCAGAGTCCGGGGATACGTGCACATCCCTCGAGGGGCTGGAGCGGATGCTGCCAGGGCGATCTCCACAGCGGGCGGACTAGCGGAGTGCTGAATATCTCCGCGACACTAGTTCAGTGCGCAGCTGTCCAGCGTCCCCGCTGGAAAGGGGATCCTCAGCGAGTCAGCGGAGATAGGTATTTTAGACCGAACAGTTCCCCAGATTCCCCGGATTCTCCATGCCCGTCCCCGCTCCAAGAATCCCAACGGCAAGCGGCATCCGGGTTGCAGTCTGATGATGGCGGATCAAGATCAGCCGAGTCCCTTCGGGGTCGAATCCGACCAGGCGAATCCACCGGCGCGGAAAGCCGATGGTCCACCAAAGAGCCGCAGCCGAACCACGACGGCCTGCAACGCGTGTCGGGTGAGGAGGACGCGATGCGATAGGCGCAGACCCGCGTGTGGCTACTGCCGAAACCGCGGACTGGAGTGCTACTACGAGCAGAGCCAGACTAGTTCCGCGTCTAGGTGAGTACCAAGTATTTCAGGTACTACTAGTACTACTAAGTTACACGAAATGCCCGAGTCCGACGCCTGACACGAAACTATACTTCAGAGTGGAGGCCGAGCTCGCCGCCATCAATCGCCGGCTGGATTACATTACCAGCTCACTACATGCTGCGCATTCCTCGCATCCACACCCACAACAGCCAGTATCCCCGGCCGTGGACCCGGATGACCAAAGCCACGCCGAGAGCAGCCATGCCGTGACAGGGGTGGAGCGATCGCCGTTCCAGCTGCTGGTGACGGACTGCATGATGGAGGTGCTCGGTCTCGGTCCGGGTTTTGCTCGGGAGCTGGTACGGCTCGAGCGAAACACCGCACCGTCTGCCGGCATCGGCCACGCAGCGCGACTGCGCTTCATCCAGCAGCAGCAAGCCCTCGCGGCGCTGGATGCATTCTCCGCCCATGTGCACATCTGGTACCCGATCCTCCGCCCGGGCTTCTCGGAGCGCTACATTAGCGTGCTTTCGGGTCCGCTGACGCCTGGTCCGGAGTCTTGTCTCGTGCTTGCCGTCGCCGCGGTGGGTGCTCTTGCGCAGGAAGATCATGCGCTACGGACAGGGGGGGCGCCATCGCCGTGCTGCGAAAATCGCAGCGCACTGTATCTGGAGGCTGCCACGGCATCACTGCCGGTCGTGCTCGTCGATGACAGCATCGAGAGCATCCAGTCGTTGGTTCTCCTGAGCATCTACCACTGCTGCCTCTCCCGGCCATGTCAGGCCTACGACTATGCCATGACTGCCTCCTTCAAGGTGCAAAACCTACTCAAGTGTGTGGACGAGGGCAGGGGGGAGCTGTACGAACAGGCAAAGAGGTGCTACTGGGGTGTGCTACTGCTAGAGAGCGAGCTCCGCGACCAGCTCGACATGGTGGACAGCGGGATATGGAACTACGACGACAAGGTCGAGCTGCCTGACGGGCGCCGCTCGTGGCAGTTTGATCTCGATGTCGGCTCTCCCGGCACCATCACCGCGTCTCCCGGCAGCAGCGTCAGTCGAGCATCGGCAGACGGCAGCGTTGTGATTTCTGATAAATCCCAGGCATATTTCCTCGCCGAGATCGCCATGCGGCGCATGCTACACCGCTGTTACACGGCCATCCGCAGAACGCCCCGGGGCGAATTCGTCTACGCCCCCGCCATCGCCCTCGAGCTCGAGACACAGCTCGACGAGTGGCAGAGCTTTCTGCCCGAGGCGGTCCACTTCCGGCACTTGGCGGCCGCCCTGGAGGTGGAACCGCTCAGCAACTTCCTGCGCGTGCAGTACTACTGCTGCAAGATCTCCATCTACTGGCCGGCCGTGTACCAGTGCATCCAGGACGGCCGGGCCACTTCGGCAGAAATCCTCGAGCACAGCGAGAGATTCTTTCACGCGTACATCCAGTGTGTGCCCAGCATGTTGATGGCCGTCAGGGACTGTATTGTCAACCGCTGGACACTCTACGCCACTATCTTCATGACCTCCATGGCGGTCATCCAGGCCGCGGGCACGCCCTGTCTGCGAGACGGATGTGCCGTGGACTGGCCGCACCTGCTAGCCTCCTTGCAGTCGACGCGGTCGGTCGACATGCGCATTGTGCAAGCCAGCCCGTCACTATCCCTACTGCACCGCACCCTCACAGATCGGCTGGCAGAGGCGTGTCTTCTCAACCGTGACAACGACTCTGCAAGTCCGGTTACCGTTACAGTCCGTCCCATACGGTGACACTCTCAAATACGGCGCTGCCCACGCTTCCGGTTGCGAATGCCGTCACACTTCTCAAGTCTGGGCTGGGGTCAGAATACACCGTGGTCGCGAGCGCGAAACGGTCGTTGGCGAATACCTCGAGGATGTCCCCGTCCGAGAAGATGCGGATGCGAAGGTTCTCTACGCTGTCTCGCCCCTCGGCGGAGCGTGTTGTAAGCAGAGTGAAAGGCCCCGCGTCCGGGCATTTGTTGATTGTCGGGTCGTCGTTTGAGGCATGGCGGTTGACGGTGATCGTCTCGGTTGCGACTGAGAATGTCACCATGGTGCGAATGGAGAGATCATCATTGTGGCGCAGGTGAAAGCCGACTTCTTCACATCCCGGGTGGATTGCAATGGCCGCCTCGAGTTCCCAGCTTGTGGACGCTGTCTGGCAAATGGCCCGGCGTGTGATGGCGTCTGATTCCGGTAGGGCAATGGCGGATATGCTGTGCTGTTCATGACTTGACTCGCGCAGCTGCTCTAGTTCCGCAATGGGTCGCACACCCAAGGTCAAGACAGTAGTTGTTCTATCCTCTTCAGTGATGAGCTCAAAGGGAGAGATATCCTGCAGTGCGCTCCGCAGCGCCCCGACGACTTTCGGGATCCGGAGGAGGAAGATCTCGCGCGGAATGGCAAGAGACCCGTTCCACCCCTTCTTTGCAGCGGCGCCTAGGGTTAGGTCTTCCTCGGGATTCCAACCGTGCACAATCGTGCGTCCGGACTGGGGATCCATGAACGAATTGGCAGCATAGTACGGTCCATGGTCGAGATATCCCCCGGACTCATATTGGAATCGCACGCCATCGCCGCTGGCAGGCGGGAGCAGACGACCCGACATCCACAACTGAGCCCTCACAGTCCGCGAAGGCGCCGTGGCGGGGCGCTGATATGACCGCACATGCTCCTTCTCGACATCCCCCTCGGCGCCCATAACCAGGAAATGTCGAACGTCCGGGCCTGCTCGCAGCGCCACGAGATTGGCACATTCCCAGTTGACGCCGAAGTTCCCGCTCCATTTCTCGGAGGGTTGGAACCTCGATGGCAATTCTACCAAAGGGCCGAGGTATCTCCATTCCTGTTCTGGATTGTCGCGGTGGATCTCGTACAGGAAGACGGTTGGGCCGGAGTCTTGAATCCCGCCCGAGACGAGCCCATAGAGAACACACCCTCTGTCACTTGTGTTTGAGATCAAAGGCAGCTCTGTCACGAACGGATCCCGGAATCCCGTAACCTTCAGGCCACCCGGCTCCCCCGCCACCATCGGATTCCGCGCCGATTTCGTCCAAGTCCTGCCACCGTCACGAGACGATGCTATAGCCAAGCCAGCTGCGTTGCGAGGGTAGGGCGGCGTGGTCCAGTGAAAGGGGAGGTGTTTGACTGATGAATAAGCGACCCATAATGTATTGCCTGACTCGTCGTCGATGGGAGGGATCCAACAGCCGGTGAACACCCCCTGGGCGTCGTATGGTTGGTCTGGGATGAGGGCCGGCGACACGTCGGCTTGGGTCCAAGACACCATGTCGCGGGACACGATGTGGCCCCATGACATGTTGCCCCATTCGCAACCGGTCGGGTTACCTGCATGCGAAAAATGTCAGATTCAGGTTTTCAAGAACAAGTGGTTGGGAACAGCTCACATTGGTAGAAGAGATGGTACAACTTCGTGTGCGGATCATAGCCGGGCGCGCATGGGTCGTTGATCCAGCTGTTTGCGGTGAAATGCATCCGCGGTTTGGGGTGGGGTTGTTGTTTTGATCTCGAGGTCAGGTCCATGGTGGACAGACAGAAAGGGTTGAGACAAGGCAGGTTGTGAAAGAAGGAAACTGGCTTCCTCGGTGGTTCATTTAGCACAGAAAAGAAACAACATGCACCAAGTATGTTATCTACACATTCAGGAGCATGTGATAACTTGATAAGAAGGAACTTCCTATGAGGCCTGCTTACCCATCCCCTTGCATCAAACCCTGTTGCTGTGCATGCTCAATACCTCGCGGAGATATACTCAGCTCCGCATGCTCTTGCACACATTCCCAATGTGCAGGACTTTTACATCTGACTCGTTTGAAGATGAAGCACGCGGAGTTAGCAGCAGCTCCGCGAACCAAAAGTCACGCGACAAACATCAAGCGTTAAACTCGTGGGTCCGCCAAGACAACCCAGAGACATCGCACCTTCCACGTGTAGTTGCTTCTCACCTTGACGCGGGGTTCGCGATGCTAAGCTTCACTAGGTGGAATGGCAGATCAAATGCCCTCCGCAGCATGCCAAAGGGTGCAATACCTGTATAAATTTGAGAAGATGTCAATGCCACGGTTTCGTGTGACGTGCTTTATTCACTCAACATCTCGCAGAGCGGCAGAGTCAGTCAGTCAGAGCTTCAGAAGGCAGCACACTCCATAAAGCCCAATTCCGTACATTACTCAATACCTTGAACCCCCTCACCGAACATGGCGACTCCCTCCATCCTCCGAGGCGATCTACTGTCGTCGGTCGCCCAGCGCAAGACAGCCCGCACGGCTCGCATCTCCAGCTGGGACCAATCCGGGCTCAACGAAGATGCCTTCGTGGTACAGCCCGGCGAGACGGCCGTCCTCGCCGACCTCGAGGGCCCCGGCCAGATCACGCACCTGTGGTTCGTGCAGACCTGCCGCCGCATCCTCGGGCCGGGCCTCATCCCCTACTCCAAGTCGGGCGTGGCTATGATGGAGATCCACAACGCCCTCGGTCTCAGCTTTGAGGATAGCGATCCTGACTACTACCGCAAGGTGCTCATCCGTATGTACTGGGACGACTCGGAGACGCCCAACGTCATCGCTCCCATCGGCGACTTCTTCTGCCTCGGCCACTCCATGGCCGCCAACTTCCAGTCGCTGCCCTTTACCGTCTCGGTCAAGCCGTCCGAGGAGAAGAAGTTTGGCGGCTCGGCGGCCTTCAACTGCTACCTGACCATGCCGTTCAACAAGCGGGCCCGGATCGAGATCGAGAACCAGGGCGAGCACGCCTACTTCCAGTACTTCTACATCGATTACGAGCTGCTGCCCACGCCGTTCGACCCCAACGAGATCCTCTACTTCCACGCCCACTGGCGGCGCGAGAACCCCACAAACGGCTGGGCGCCCAAGAGCATGCAGACCAATAGCCTCGAGACGCAGGTGCCCAACTTGACCGGCGACGGCTACACCATCCTAGAGACTACCGGCTCGGGCACCTTCATCGGCTGCAACCACTCGGTGCTGCACCACCAGGGCACGTGGTGGGGCGAGGGCGACGACATGATCTTCATCGACGACGACACCTGGCCGCCCAGCATGCACGGCACGGGAGGCGAGGACTACTTCAGCCAAGGCTGGGGCATGCAGAAGAACGCCTACCCTTTCTGCGGTACCATCATCCACGAGGAGGACGTCCCGGGTTACCAGGTCTCGTACCGCTGGCACCTGGCCGACCCCGTCCGGTTCAACAAGAAGATCACGGTCAAGCTCGAGCACGGGCATGCGAATCACCTCAGGGATGACTGGGCAACGACCGCGTACTGGTACCAGACACTGCCCGGGCCGAAGTTGGATATTTTGCCTGTTGAGCAGCGTCTGCCGAACAGGCCTACCATTGCGTCGCCTCCGGAGCCGGCTGCGGACCGGCCGCTGACAAGCCAGCAGCAGCAGCTCATCAAGCAGCGCGAGGAAAGGCTCGAGGAGTTTGTGCGCGACCGGAACCAGTGGCTGGAGCGGAGGGCTCAGGCGTCGCGGAAGAGGGCGCAGAATAATATTGAGATTGCGAAAGATATCCGGAAGCGTTTCCTGGAGAGCCTGCGGGAGTAGATTAGGCGAGGCTTGGAGATCGTGGATTGATGTTGTGGCTGTGAAATTTAGCAGATCAGAAGTAGAGCAAAGATGAGGTGCTGAATTTGTATATCCAAGCATTCCAGATCTATGGGCTCTGGATCTTGTATGCTGTAGCGAAGGGCTTGGCTGTACCCTTTCCACTCCTCATCCCATGCGCGGTATACGCTTCTTCTCTTCTCAGTCCGTTCGCTGTTATTCTTCTTGCTTCTTTCCCATCATCCTCTTTCTCTGAGGCGGAAGTGGAACAATGCTGTGAGCACTTTCAAACATGCGGATCCATTCTGGTGACTTGTCTCGGAACTTTCCGTCCACTTATCACTTACCCTACTATGTAGGTTTCAGTCTGAAACGACCGACCTCGAGTTCACATTGATACTTGACAGTGATCGGAGACTGTCTAGATTCGATGCCAGAGGAGTGGCTGTGAGGGGTGCACGTGACTTTAGGAAGCTGCAGGGAGCATTTCGCGTTCCTCCATCTTCTCCATCGGGATTATCACGCCAAGCCGAGCTGAATATACATCAGCACCGATAAAATCACATAATCTGCAACTCGCCAACAAAAAACACAGAGCTGAACAAACCATGTCACTGCTGACCCCAACGACTCTCACCCTCTTCACCGCCCTCTACACCTCCCCAACACGGCACTACCACCCCCTCTCACATGTGCATTCCCTCCTCAAGCTACTTGCTACCCGTCGCGCGGCATTTTCCGACCTAGACGCCGTGGAAGCCGCCCTTCAACGAGGCCGCGAGCGCCGAGCTCGCCGTCAAACACCTCCGAGACACCAACATCGATCCGGTCCGGCTCGATCGCATCCGTGTTATGATTCTCGCTACAGCGATGCATACCGTTCCCACGGCTGAGAATCTAGGGTTTTCCCATGTTACCGGTGACGGGGAGGGAGAGGGAGAGAAGGCTGTGGTGCGTGATGCCGCGATGTTTTTAGACCTGGATCTGGCAATCCTTGGGGCAGATGAGCGAGAGTTCAAGGAGTATGAAAAGGGGGTGGGGAAGGAGTATGATTGGGTCGATGAGGAGGGGTGGAGGAAGGGGAGGGGGGAGGTTTTAAGGGGTTTCTTGGGGAGCGAAAGAATCTATCATACTGATTTTTTCAGGGGGTTGTATGAGGAGAAGGCGAGGGCGAATTTGAGAAGGGCTGTGGAGGGGTTGGGGTGATTATGATGGTACTGGTACCTAGTTAGTCGTTAACCTGTAGGTAATGCTCATCTAGGAACTTGTCCTCTATAAGCTGACCAGCCTGCTCTGCTTGAAAACCCTTAAACGTCCAGGCTTTATTTCCCAGTTCGATGATATCACTGACTCAAATTCTCCAGACATGCACGCGACTGCACTCCGTTCAAGTTGAACACACAGGATGGTAGAGACTCTTGAAGCCTCGCCAGTGTCGCTTCGCCACACAGTCATGGCTGCTCGGAAGACAGCTCTAGGATTCTCCCGAGCCTATTCCGGGCATAACGCGCTTCCTTGTCTATAGCGACAGGGTGTGTTGGAGTTGTTTCCGGCTAGGCTAATCTATGACGAATGGCAACAGGAGACTCCTAAAAGTGGGGACAGCTTCCTTCAGCCATTGTTGGGAGAGGTACTACGAAGCAAGGTCAGCTTCAAAGTCGAGGTAGGAAGGTGACCATTCACGCAAGACATGCCTGATTCATCGCTTACGCCGCCATGTGTCATGACCCTTGTGTTACCAGGATATTTGAGCGTTTATAGAGAGGAGCGATCCCGGATCTTTTCGGCCCGTGGAATTCACAGCGCTTGCATCCTATACATTGCGGCCTCAGCCTCCGTTCGACCCTACATATTCTGGTAAAAGCTCTTTAGTCCTCTCCTGACCATGGACGAACAGCTTTCACCACCTCAACCTCAGCGTCGACACCGTAATCCATGTGTTGCTGTTGAAGCTTCCGTTTTCTGAGTGGTCGGCCGCGCCTCGCCTGGCCGTGGCATCCGCCAATCACAGTTCAGTGCACGGACCCAGAATTTGTCACTCATTCATGGTGCCCCGCATACCAGCTGCTGCTGGATCGCGAAGTCGACTCTTGACGATAAATACTTTCATGCCCTCGGTCCCTCCCCACGATTCAGCCTTTCCTCCTCCTCCTTTCGTTTCCTCTAGCTCTAGTTTCGCGTATTCTAACCAATGGCAAAAATGCCGCGCTCAAGCTCAGACATGCAACGCGACGCAACGCAACACGACCCGCCGCACCCCTCGACACCGGCATTGAGGGACGGATCAGCTCGCAACTCTGTGAGCAACAAGAACCTCAATTCCATGACCCTCGCTTTACGGAGTGTGGCTCGCGGTGTTGGTGATGGATATCCCTGCAAAGCTGGAGGTTGCGGCCGGTCTTTAATTGGGAACAGACAAGGATCAACAAGTGATAGGGTGGCGACAGCGACCGGTTGGTTCCTACCCGACGACAAAAACCTGACTACTAAGGCGCGGCCCAGTAGAATGCCATCTCTGGGACGGAACGGCGTGCCCAGCCGTGCCAGGTTGGAGCAGCGAGGAGTCACCGAGAGGGGGTTTTGGCAGGGCGGCCTTGAGCGACGATGTGTCTGTTGACGCCTTTGGTCACCTGCTTCGGTTCGGCCAGATCTGGGTGCTAGGCAACGGAATATTTGCGGCCATTTGGAGACGATCATGAGCCTGAAGTCAGCGGCTTGACAGTAAATAAGCGGGTATCTCCATTGAAAAATCTTTGATCTCTTTTACAAGTCCTCATCCAACTCTCGCAGGTCCTAAGGTCTCGCAAGATGGCGGCAGTAACTGAACCGGCTATACCAACCCGAGGCATCTCATATGGTGATGATTCGAAACCCCGTTTTCTCCCATCTTTCGAAGGTGACAGCTGGCCTCTCCCGACTGACTGATCGAGGTAGAAGAATCTCGGGCCGCATGTCGGCTACTTCGGCGCAAGGCTTTGACCTCCTTGGGCCTTTCGCTGCCTTCCTGGAACTTCGTGATCTGAAAGGGTGGTTCCGTCCACTGGCTGCCCCGAAGCAGCTCCATCCACAGCCTTAGTCGGTTGCGGCCCATTCTGTTGCGCTGTGTCCGGCCCGAAGAGAGAGGTTTGGCGAATCCGTTGTCACACCCCTCGGGGTAGGGTCCGGAGTCAATCAATGGCACGTTGTTTCTGCCAGAAACGCTGCACCCAGGCTGTTATCAAGCGAAAGGCGGCGTGGTTTGTGCCGGAATAGCCAAGCTGCCACCCAGGAGGCTACCGTACTGGAAAGGGGGTGCGGGTCTAGGGCTGGAACATTCACCTGTCCACCCACAATTTGCTTTGGGGTATCACGGGGGAGATCGATCGGAAAAAAATCGTCATCCGAACCCAGCGGGTGTGGTCAAGATCTGGGATGCCTGGAGTTTTCCAGAGTATATAATGCCCTCTCGCTCTTGGTCTCCTTCCCTCCCCTCCTTGCCCTTTTCTTTGCCTTTGCCTTACCAACTTCCGAGTCTCCATCACAGCCTTAACCGGACAACGCTTCGGTACAAAATTACCATCACCCATGTGCAACCGAACGACAATCTCCAGTTACAAAGCATCGCGAGGATGTTTAACGTTACCTCCAGGGTCGTAACTATTACAGGAGCTGGTATCAGCACGAATGCAGGCATTCCCATGAGTATCGCTTCCCCTTCCCTAGCCTATTTTCGACATCCAGTGAGGCACAGAAGAAGAGTAAGGGCCAGTAGCCCGAGGGCATCCAGCAATAGTAGGGTGAACAAATAATCCAAGTATTGCTCTATCTGTATAACGTACCAAAGAGCTAACAGACTTCTGGGATTATAACTCTTTCGATGAGCATCCATTCAAGCTCATGAATAAATATATCAACACCTTCCAACCAGCCGTCCAATGTGCCTCTGAAAGTTGCAATATTCACCGCGGACTCCAATGCTAGAAAATTCTGGATCTCAATCTGGGTTGCACCGAAACGTACTTCAAAAGCGCGCAGGACCGATGAAAAATTGGGGTACTGCGAAAGCCACAGCATCTGCTCCGCTGATGCTCTGGCTATGATAAAAGGTGCGGATAGCTCATTGCAATCTACCACCCTCCAGCCTTCATTGCCTCTAATAATTCCCCCTCGTTGAATATCGACTATGAATCCGCATGAAGTGATATCATGTTTTGGAGGTAGTCCCGGGATTTTCAGTCTATTCTTCGGAGACACCACCGCAAAGTACGTATCCCCGTATCGATGTTCATACGATGTAACCCTCTCGCTTCGAGAGCAACTGCTTCTGCAGCTATTAATTATGGCGAGAATCCGCATAAGCGGCCAGGATGTCGATAACTTGGATTCAGCAAGCATCCAAAGAACATCATTGTCGGGCTTCCGCTTAGCAACACATATAAGCTCTTCGGTCTTCGCATCGGTTTGTCAGTTTGAAGGAACGCTAGGCAATCGAAGACTCGAGAGTAAGTCCTGATGACTTCCTGTAGGGGTTCTGTATGTATGAAGAAGATACTCTGACTGATTGCCAGCACACCATTACTGCAGTCACATATTAGTAGATCAGGAACTGGATCGTGGACTGACTTGGGTCGCATTGTGACATCTGCCTCTTGAATTGGAGAGTGTTCCGTTGTACATAGGTTGCATTTATTAAATGGAGAAAGATGTACACTGGGTCGCACATCTGGGCTCCAGGCCATGCTAAGATGCACCAGATCCCGGCTCCTGGCCATATCCTAGCATCTGGATGCCACACCCAGATCCCCGGCTCCAAGTCAGCCACACTCAGATGCACACTGAGATACCATTGACCTTAGGCCACTGAACAGCAGGCACTAAGCAAATCCAATCCCAAAAAAAAACATGATTTCAGGAGAGACTCTGACTAATTTCCAGAGCAGAAAACTGGCCCATATCAAGGGAATGGTTTGATCGGACTGCGACTTCTTAGCCCCAAAGCATGCGGCTTTTGTATGCCGGTTGTATTTGGCAGGCGTCGACGATACTTGCATCGTTTGTACATCCCTACTCAGCCGGGACCGGCAGAGAGAGACACACATAGAGAGACACACACAGACACACGCACAACAAGAAGGATAAAGCAAAAAGAAACGAAAACCAAGCCGGGCAGGTGTCTGTGGTTTAGCAACAAGTACATGGTTATGGCGGAAATGCCGACTCTCCCCTCCTCCCTCACTCCCGCCCTTTTCCTTTAAAAGCATACCAGCGGGTTGTCATTTGTCCATATCATCCAGGCTTGATGACGTAGCCTCGCCGCACTTCATGACATAGCCTGGCCGCACTTGATGACGTAGCCTGGCCGCAAACATTCACTTCACTCCCGAGCTAATAAAGGGCACCTGAAGGCACCCATCTGGCAGCCCTTAAAGTAGCCCATTGTCGTGGACAGTTAACATCACTGACCTCTAATATTAGAAGCAGGAAAAAGCATGGTATGATTAGTTCCGCATACCGGTCTGAGTATGTGTCGATTTTGCTAATATAGAGTTCGCAGGATGGGATTGGAGCCGCAGCTAGCATCGTCGGCCTGATCGGCAGTACGATAAGCGTGATCCAGCAAATCCGGAACGCACGGAACAGGGTCAAAGGCGCGTCTGAAACGATTGACAGCCTTTCTAATCAACTGGATAATCTCAATCGTTCCCTCATTCTTGTGCGCGACGAGAAAGCTCTCCAGACAGCAGCCGTAGGGCAGCAAGTGCGGGCCATAACAGAGGTCGCAGAAGAGCTGAGATCCTTCTTAGATGCGCTGGCAGCCGAACAACAGAAACGATCCATCTCGCAGCTGATCCACTCACTGAAGTCCGGAGACAAGGACGACAAACAGCTCGCGGGTATCCTCGATCGCCTAGACAGGGGAAGAAACACGCTTGTCTTACAGATCTCCGTCGCTCAGGTGGGAGTGATGGGGAACCTTGAGGAGGGATTCTATGTCGCAGTCGACATCCTCAAAGACACAAACAACAAGGTGAACGCGGTGCTCGGTACTAACCTCGTCCTCGCTGAGCGATTGCAGAATAGGGGACTGCAGCAGACGGGTGCGTACACCAAGTCCATTTTTTGACGACTCGCAAGCCCGGACTGACTTTGAGAGCAGGGGGGACCATTTCACTGGACGCTTCTGACTTGAAAATTGTGGGTCCTGTTGATCAAAGTCGCGATACGACGCCCGGCCGTGCAGCGCCAGCCGGCAACGAGACCTTAATCTACGATAATGTCACGGTTGGCCAGGCGCGCATTATGACGGGCAACGTCGGGGTGGAGAATTGGCTCAGGGTAGCTGGACGAAAAACCTCGATTGCTAGGAACAAATTTGAGCAAGATGTGCAAATCATGACAGGCGACCTGGGAGGCGAGGCTGCAAAAAGTTTCAATGAGTGCTTCTGGAAATAGAGGCGTGCTTTTCCTGGTGCGAGTCGGCAATTTTCGTCATAACCATGTAACTAAGATGAAGTAGTTAACTAGTTAACGTTAACGTGATAACACTCCATACTCTTCTCTCGGTTGTTGGACGAAAAAGAGGTTGTGGTGGGTAGCGTTAGGCATTGGACATTAAAACTCCTTGTCAACCTGGTTTCATCTGCACCAGAAAGGGGCGTGATCATGACACAATCCGGAGAGGATGAATCTATAGAGTGGACTGCCGACAGCTAAGGACTTCAGCACAGGGGGAGAGCGAACACGAGTCTCATGATTGCCTGCGTCACCCAGCCTCCCCGTTGCGGCCAGAGCTGTGCCTACTTATTACGTCAGAGTGACGACACGCAGGTCTCATATAGATACCTACCTCACCAGCGTCCCTCTCTAGCCAGAACACGTCGACTCAAGCCTGCATGCCTAGATGACAACCCGCCGGCGGTCGAACCAACTGCAACATTATGGAGCACCGTGCCGTAAGCGGAAACACGTTTGGAGACAACACGCGCATCCACCTAGGCGATGTCATCTATCGTGCGTACCATCAGCATTCTTCTCCAGCTCCCGACTCTTTTCGTTTTTCAGACTCACTAATTAACCCTCTCCACTAGCCCCCGACGCGTCCTTAGAACGATCGCTCGAGCGACTCAGCCTCCCGGAAGCATCCTTCGACGCCGCGAACAAGCAGCATGTGGCATCTTGTTTGCCCAACACGCGGCGCGACGTCCTCGCACAGATCCGGAGATGGGCCGACGGAGACGGCGGCGGGCAACGGATGTACTGGCTTAAGGGCATGGCTGGCACGGGCAAGTCCACGATCGCGCTGACGATCGCCCGCGAATACAGCGACAAGAAGCGGCTCGGCGCCAGCTTCTTCTTCTCGAGAGGCGGAGGTGACCTCGGGTCGACACGGAGGTTCGCCGCGACGGTCGCCGTCCAGCTTGCGGAGACGTCGCCAGAGCTATCCCGGCACATTGCTGGTGCGGTCGCCTCTAGTCACCGCATCCGCGGGCTCGGCTTGTACGACCAGTGGGAGAAGCTGGTTCTACGGCCATTAGCGCAGCTGGGCAGGGAGGCGGCGTTCCCGCACCCGCTCGTCATCGTAGTGGACGCGTTGGACGAGTGTGACAACAACGACGTCTCGTTCTTGATTCGATGCCTGGCAACAGCGGCGGCCGTCGAGCACGTCGATTTCAGGGTATTTGTGACAAGCCGACCAGACCAGCCGATCAGCCTCGCCTTCGACAGTATTGCTGCTGACACACATCAAGACTTAATCCTCCACGATATCGAGCAGTCGATCATCGATCAGGACCTAACGGTCTATTACAAATACCAACTGGGACGAATGGCACCGACCTCCGGCCTAGACGCCGTCGTGTTTTCGGATGCCGTGGTCGAGAAACTGGTCAAGAAATCATGTGGATTGTTCATCTACGCGGCCACGATATGCCGCTTTGTTCGCGAAGGAGGACCTCTCGCTGGAGATCGACTTGCCCAACTGATCTCAGACGAGCGCTTACCAGCCAGGGCGGGAACAGAGCTGGACCGAATGTATACGACCGTCCTGGAATACTCTCTAAGCGGCTCGTTCGATACGCAGGAGACGGCTAGGGTACAAGAACTGTTCGGCCGGGTTGTTGGGTCCATTGCGGTGCTCTTCAAGGAGCTATCGCCTGACAGCCTTGCCATGATGGTCGCCGAGCCAAGGGGGAAGATCAAGTCGATGCTAGGAAAACTTCATTCGGTTGTGGATGTTCCAGAACAGGAGGGCAGGCTGATCCGGCTTCACCCGTCGTTCCGCGAATTTCTCCTGGATCCACAGAGATGTTCCAATGCTATGTTCCGCATTGACGCCAAGAAGGCGCACGGCAAGCTATTCGACTGCTGCCTTGCGATCATGTCGGGCCACCTCCGGCGGAACATGTGTGACCTCCAACGACCGGGTACACGAGTTGGCGATATTCCCAGGTCGGATGTGGACAAAAGCATCCCCTTCGCTGTTCAGTATGCGTGTCAGTACTGGGTCTACCATCTGGAGCAGAGTGACGTAGATCCCAGAGAGCACCCTGGAATCGTCGACTTCTTCCATTCTAGATTCCTCTCCTGGCTCGAAATCCTCGCCTTGACTGGTAGACTTGCGGATGGTATTGCGATGATCAAGCTTCTCGAGGGCATGTTACCCGTAGGTGTGCCCGACCTGGATTCTCGCGCTTATGTTAACAGCATACAGGTGAACGTCACGAGCGGGTATCAAACCTGCTTTCGCAGAATGAGGACGAAGATCGCCCGCAAATCTGTGAACGATCCTCTGCCCCTCAACGCGTTTGTTCACGATGCGAAGCGATTTCTGTTAAGCCATAGCCAGACCATCGAGGAGGCTCCGCTACAGGCATACTGCTCTGCGCTAGTTTTCAGTCCCCAAGCGAGCATTATTCGGCGGCTCTACATTCATCAGCTTCCCAAGTGGATACTACGCGCACCGGCGCTCTCAGAAGACTGGGGTGCACACTTGAAGACGCTGAGCCATCCTAGTCTCGTCGAGGCCGTGGCCGTCTCGCCCGACGGTCAGCTCATCGTATCGGGCTCTAGGGATAACACGGTTTGTGTGTGGGATGCAACAATAGGCGTTACGCGGCGCGTGCTCGAGGGCCATAAGCACGAGGTCAGAGCCGTCGCCGTCTCGCCCGACAGCCGGCTCACTATATCGGGCTCTTGGGATAAGACGGTGCGCGTATGGGATGCAACGACGGGTGCTATGCGGCGTGTACTCAATGGTCACTCGGACGCAGTCTCGGCTGTCGCCGTCTCGACCGATGGCCAGTTCATCGTTTCGGGCTCTCACGATGCCACGGTTCGCGTGTGGGACATAGCAACGGGTGCTACCAAGTCCGTACTTAGTGGCCACACGGACGCGGTCTTGGCTATCGCCATCTCGGATAATAGCCAGCTTATCGTGTCAGGCTCCCTCGATAACACGGTACGTGTATGGGATATAACGACGGGTGCTATACCGCACGTGCTTAAGGGCCATTCCTACTTGGTCACTACCGTCGCCGTCTCGCGCAATAGGCAACTTATCGTGTCAGGCTCTTACGATAACACGGTACGCGTATGGGATGCAGCGACGGGTGCTACACAGCGCGTGCTCAAGGGCCACACGGACGCGGTCTCGGCTGTCGCCATCTTGCCTGACGGCCAGTTCATCGTTTCGGGCTCTCATGATAATACGGTTCGCGTGTGGGACATAGCGAAGGGCGTTACGCGGCGCGTGCTCGAGGGTCATAGTAACTGGGTTACGGCTATCGCCGTCTCGCTCGACAGCCAGTTCATCGTATCAGGGTCTTACGATGCCACAGTACGCGTGTGGGATGCGACGATAGGTGTTGAGCGGTGCGTCCCCAAGGGCCCCGCCAACTCGGTCTCGGCCATCACCGTCTTACCTGACATTATCGTGTCGGGCTCTTATGATAACACAGTACGCGTATGGGATGTAGCGATGGGTGCTACGCGGTGTGTACTCAAGGGCCATGCGGGCACGGTCTCGGCTGTCGCCGTCTCGCCCGACGGCCAGCTTATTATATCGGGCTCTTTCGATATGACGGTACGCGTATGGGATATAACGAAAGGTGCTATACGGCGCGTCTTCAAGGGCCACACCTGCCTAGTCTCTGACGTCGCTGTGTTACCCGACAGCCGGCTTATCGTATCGGGCTCTCACGATAACACGGTACGCGTATGGGATATAGCGGCGGGTGCTATACAGCGCGTGCTCAAGGGCCACACGGACGCGGTCTCGGCTGTCGCCGTCTCGTCCGACGGCCAGTTCATCGTATCGGGCTCTTTCGATAACACGGTTCGCGTGTGGGACACCGCGACGGGTGCTACGCGGCGCGTGCTTAAGGGCCATAGGAACTGGGTCATGGCTGTCGCCATCTCGCTCGACCGCCGGCTTATTATCTCTGGCGACAATACGAGTATGGTGCGTGTGTGGGACGCGACAACCGGTGTTACGCGGCGCGTGGTCGAGGGCCATTCCTGGGTCTCCGCCGTTGCCGTCTCGCCTGACGGACAGCTCATCGCGTCGAGCTCTAGCGATAAGACGGTACGTATATGGGATATGGAGACCGGTGCCGAGCAGCTCGTGCTTCCGGTAGCCATCGCTTTACGGCACCTATCCTTTTCCCCCTGTGGTAAACACCTTGTTACGGATTGTGGAATCTTGCCATTGCCCTCCTCAGGTTGTCGATGTTCACGCCACGTGTTTGCTACTCGGTGTTGGATCACTGATGGTGGCGAAGACCTACTCTATCTTCACCCAGACTATCAAGAGTCATTTGGCTTTTTGTCTGGTAGTATAGTTGTTTACCTTTCACAGGCTTTGCAGCTCAGTTTGTCTAGAGAGGCAGTGACAGAGAGTGCAATGCGATGATATATAGGGCGATGTTTAGGCTTTCTCAGTATATCAGCCGTTCTCGGCGCGATGCATCGGTGGTATGGGCAGCGTTAAACTTTCCAAACCGCGTATCACACTGAATAAGAGCCAAGTCTGACTGGTTGTTTCCGCAACTCACGCTTAAACAGGACTTGAGTACGCTCATCTTTTTGGACTGCTGTGAGCAAGTATTACGGTCGTCAGGACGCCTCATAGATCTAAGTGCCTACGTTAGGTGATACGGCCCGACGTCATCCTTGATATAACCCCCATTCACGCCAAGGAACGCTGCGTATTTTGCGTGATAGGGGCCCTGAAGGCAATCTTTGTCAACGTTCTGCTTTTTACCTCGCTTGTATCGCAACCACACACTAGATCTTATAGTTCAACACTATGGCTGTGTTGCTGGACCTCAGGTCGAGCGAACAACGAGATTTTGTGACTCATCCTTCGGGGTTATTATGATAGTTAACTACTCTACGAGTACAACAAGCTTAGAGAAGAAAAGAAAGGATAGGAGATTCCGAGAGCTCTTGGGCTTTCCTACCTAGAAGAGTGTGGTGGTCAGGGCGTGCTCCTGTTGGAAAGTCGTGGCACCCTGAAATGCTTGTCATGGAACTTGAAACTCGGAAGCTGGGTTACCGGCAAGACATAACCAGAGGCTGGGAACGAGCTATTTACAGGATAAGGGCGATCCCCACCGCTGCAGAAAAGGGGGGGTTGGAGGATCAGAACCTTCAATCGATTACTCTGCCGGGAGCGTGAACGGATCTCGTCCGGCAAAACATCGGGCGCGCGATGAGGCGGGTCAGCTGAGTCTACTAACATTGCTATTCTATGCCAGACAAGATTTTGCGACCACCAAACGTGGGTCCAACCACCGATAGAGATAATTGTCATGACCACAGCCGTAACCGCTGTATATTTTAGATAGCGATGATAAAGTCCAGCTGAGATAAGAAGTAGGAAAGACAAATTGCAATCCAACAACCTAGTTAATCATTACCAAAAGCTCTCTCTAGCTGAGACAGGAAATTGTCATAAGTAAGAGCATCGATGTATCTGTCTCCCTCATCTTTACTCTCGTTGCCGTCTCCCTTACAGGTTGTGTCTGTATCTACTAAGTCCTCCGCCTCACGCATCTAGAAATTGAAGTCTTCGGACAGCTGGTTGAGGGCGGCATTCGTAGCGTTCGCAGTCTCCTCTATCTTGCCTTGGTTTGACAAGATCCTCTGGATACTATCGAGCAGCTTAAGCTGGTTCTTATACAGCCACTTCATCATCCTCTCTAAGATAGTGAGCCGGTTATATATGCTTTTGTCACGGGCCGTTACTGAGGCTTGGAAGGCTGGCGGTTGGGTCGCCGTGAATGGAGGGATCGGCTGCTTATATAGGACTTTATGACTGGCCCCAACGCCAGCGTTTTGAGTATGCGGTATCGGGGCTGCGAAGGTAGGCGGCGGAGAAATAGTGTTGAAATTGAGGTTCAGAAAGTCCTCAAAGTTAGAATACTAAGCTATGTATGTATAGAGTGTCGCTTGAAAGGAAAGGACTAGTTTAGTTTGAGATAGTGGTGTAATGTGATTGTAAGTTCACTAAAACTACCTGTTTCCGACCTACTTGTCCCGCTAATAATATTGCTATTCTTCTCTCTAATTCTACTACTACCTAGTATCAAGCTTCCTAGACGCAATGCTCTCTAGCAGCTTTCTGCTCTTTGTATCTATATGCACTTGGGATCCTGCAACGATAGTGTCTGCTAGATCGGTACTGTCTGCTAGGTATATCCCGACTCTCCTCTAGTAAGGCAACGATACCTAAACTCATTTAGGGTCGATAATCCGTTTAGCAAGCGCTGCGAAGGGACACTCGGGTTTGCGGATCCAGATAACCTACCGATTACTTGGTCATTTGGGCCAATCAACGATATTAGCGGCTCGGAAGTGATCGACTTCACCCTCCCTATAGGTGTTCCTAATGGACAAGCATTTGTTGTATAGTTCGTGCTTATATTTATATACTCCTATTGGTCCTTATCTGACTGCCTAGGCGCTATGAAGGACAAGAGTTAATATCGACTTGCAGTTATATAATGATTATGGGGGGGAGGAAACCCTAAGTTGACTAGTCTGTAGCTGGTGGGCCGTATTGGCTATAGTTCTAGCCAAGGTCGTAGCGTCACGGTGACTGTCGTCGCAGGCCAGGCTCAAGGCTCTGGTGGGCAACTGACTGTATTGCAAGAATATTAAACTTGCAGGAGGAAAGGAATCCTCGAAGACTGCAGGGTGCGAAGAAGTCTAAATACAGGATGTGGGGCATGTGCCCTGATGTGGAAGGTGGGGCACCAACCAGGTTGACCAATTATGCATGCATGCACCGGAAGCCGGGCACATGACTAAGCAATTGCCTGTGCCATGGTACGGTGGGTTCCACCGTCACACGCCACTATGAAATGGTACTATATAGAGCAATCTTTATCTTCTACGATAGCTCCTACAATGTCAACAGGGACCAGCGGGTCTTCGGATACGATAGATGAACAGAATAGCTCGTCCGTTATCGTCAGACCTCTAACTTTAACCGCCATAGCTATAGTAATGGTTGCCGCTACTATCTTAGCTTATACTTCGGGATAGACCTAGTTCTTTTTTAGTCAAGCCGGCTAGATTAGCTAACACTTAGTCTCTACCACTTTATATAGGACCAGCTACGGGCTAGATATAACTACAATGTTGTTTTTTTAGTCGGTCTGACTGATACTTCTATATTACTATAATCTGTTTTAGGGTTGGTAGAGAGCAGGGAGGTTTAGGCTATAAGGTAGATGTGACGGTGGAACCCACCGTACCATGCATGATGCATGCAGTATGATTGGTTGGTTGTGGAGCGCATGCCCCACCTTCCATATCTGGCAAGTGCCCCACATCCCACATCCTGTATTTAGACTTTCCTGCTTCGCATCTTCCACTTGCAGAACTCTTCCTTCTGCAAGTTCAGTATTCTTGCAATACAGTCAGTTGCCCACCAGAGCCATTGAACCTGGCCTGCATCTACCGATTCGTGATAGTAGATAATAGTTCGTACTTAATTCTTAGATCTCTTGCTTATCGCTATATTGGTCTAGTTTCTAATAGTAGCAGACTCCTACAGCCTAGAATTTATAAGCATACTAAGATGTCGTAGTATCTACGCTTTCGAAATACTTCGAAATTTTAACTTGACGCTCCCGGCACCTATCGGCCGACCCCGTCCCTTGCCTACACTAGCACACCAGCAGCGGTTAGCAAGTACCCTATAATTACTGCCACGTATGAGGGGTATTTGCTTCTCCTTCCGATAGTGCTCCTTTAAATGCCGGCTGCAGAACATAAAACCCTGCACGAGCGGTTTCTCATTTTGCAAACTTTAATAAAGTGAATAACGTGCATTATAAGCGAGCCGAACACTTTTTGGCACAATGCGTCTTCCCTCCACCTAAACATTAGTTTTTCTATAACCCAACATGTCTTCTACTTCAAAGGAAGCCGGGGTAATTTTAGCCCTCAAAGCTCTTTAAAACGACAAGGAACTAAGCCTCTGAGCCGTAGCCAATCTCTATAACATGCCAGTTACGACCCTCTAGGACCGCGCGCTGGCCGACCTGCACGACGCGATACTACGCCCAACTCGCACCGGCTTACCGATTCCGAAGAGAAGGCTCTACTAACTCCCCCGCGTCACGGTAATAAAGCACGCTTGTTACCCTATATACCCCGTAGCTCCCCTCCTCCTCCTCCTCATCCTCCCCCCGATTGCCCCTTAGTGGCGGCGGCGTCGACGTCGCCAGCCAACGATCCCACCGGCCGCAGGTCGTGCTAGAACAGATCACGGACCGGATCAGCGCCAACCTAGTAAAGCGGCAATGTTTCCTAGGCCGCGACCCGGAGGACATGTCGCCGTAGGAGCTGTACTTTGCCTATCGCATCTGCGGAGCGCACATGATGCGGGTTGGTAGCCACAGGAGGCCATCCGGTTGGGTGGTTGATTCTTGATCTTGTATAGAATATATACATACAAGTATATACTTAGTATGTATATTGGTAGGGTGGCTTCGTTTCCTAGTTATGCTGACATCTGGCGAAGATTCCTCCTCTCCAATCATCGAATGCGGCGTCTTACCTCTATTCCTCGCTCTTGATCTTCGCAAAAACCTCGACAAAGTCCTGGGGATCCTGCGCCCCATCCACTTCATACCGGTCTTGAATGGTGTAGTGCGGCACGCCACGGATGCCCTTGCTCTTCGCCTCGCGCACCTCCGCGTCGACCTCGGCCCCTCCTTTGCCCGATTCCAGCCACGCCCTCACCTCCTCCCCATCTATACCGGCTTGAACGCCAACACGGATTAGCGTCTCGTAGCTAGTAATATCGCCGGTGCCTTCAAAGTAGTCACGGAACAGTTCCATCACGACGCGGTCCTCTACGTCGCTCCCTTTCGCCTTGCCTAGGTGAATCAGCCGGTGCGAGTCGCGCGTGTTGCCGATCTTGCCCGCGAAGCTGAAGCCGATCCCTTCCTGTGCGCCGATGTTCTGTAGACGCTCCCGGAAAGCCGCGGCACGTTCGGCGCTGCCACCAAAGCGCTGCGCGAAGCGCTGCAGAATGGGGATGCCCTGTGTGGGTGCCGTCTCGTCCAGGTAAAAGGCGCACCAGGAGATGGTGAAGGTATCCTCTTTCCCGCCGGGATACGTCTTCTTGTAGAGGTTGATGGCACGGTCGAGCTTCTTTTTGCCGATGTAGCACTGTTTGTGTTGTTCATTCGTCAAATTAGTGTTGGTCAGTTCGGTTGTGCGCACTCAACCAGTACTCAGCCGGTTTAGGTCAGCTTTCCACATACTAAGTACGTACCCAGGGACACACGTTGTCGGAAACGACCTTGATGCTGAAGTTGGTCATCCTGCCTGAGGACAAATTTGAATATGCCGTAATCCAAACACGCTGGCTGAGTCTTGAGGGCGAGCTTGTTCGAGGGGAAATAGGAAGCTGCACGGAAGCAGAAAGGGACGACTGCCGGTTCCGAGATCCAATTGTATAGTGAGCGAGACGACAGTAGACTTGCGCAGCGCCGAGGTGCGCTGCGGCGGAAGGAGTCTGCTACAACGAGCCAGACGAATGTGAGGGGAAGGGAGTCACCAAAACGCAAGCCGCCTCAAGGAGGTATTTCATGCACGCAGGAATCGTACAATTCTATACGTACACTATATACATACAAAATATCAGGTAACTAGCATTAGCCGGTCAATAATATCCGACCACCGCCGTCTCGGAGACTTTTATAACTAACGGACCGGACATTGCAATCCGCCAACGCCGAACAGTCACCCATCAAAACTCTCCGAGGATGGAAACTGCTCAGACCCTTTTGCTTGAGAAAGTCACGTGGAAAAGAAATAAACTCTGACCGGCGAGAATCTGCTGAGGAGCTGGCATATTACACGATACCCGTGACCTTGCAGTCAATTCGCAAAGCTGGGAATCCCACCAGAATTGACGGCCATGTTATTGGGTTCCACGAGTCACCCCATGTCGTAAGGGCAATGGTGGTAATCCATTAGTATTGTGATGTGTAGGAGGAAAAGGCAGTGGTGCCGGGAGGATCGAAATAGTGGGGGTAATGGACCCGCCCAGCCTCACACCCCACAATTCTGGTGCAGTATAAGGTAAGGTAGCTTCATAAAAGGACACGACGCCAGTGGCCACCGTCCGTCGCAGCCGACCCTGTATCTACTCGTTAAATCAGAGCATTTCATGGCTATTACAGACTATCGTTTGTATTAGGCTAGTACGACAGCGAAGTAGGTAATCTCCATCTGGTGTGCATGGTCGATGAAGTTTTTCGAGAGCTTGCGTAGCGTGAGCTTGTTGTTGTTGATGACTCCCTGGTTGCTATTGTAGTATGATTCGCACCAGCATTCGTATCCGGCACCCTTGATGGCAGCCTCGAACTGCAACCACTAGAGCCGGGAGCTACTTGAGCCGGGGTAGATTGACTGCTTGCGCGCCCAAAAGACCTGGTTTCCAGTTCGAGTTGCTGGGGTTTCGAGGTGGGTTTCGTCTGTCGATCTCTTCCACCGGAGGGCCGATGGTCAGGGCTTGCGAATCCCCTGCGGTAACGCTTGACGGATCACTTCCTGCGCATGTGCTCTGTGCGGGAGGTGCGTCGGCGCGATCAAGTTGCTTCGGGTAGTCTCTAATAGCTGATTTGATCGGTGTGGTCTTGAATTTGCCAACGGGGGAGCTCTTTGGGGTCAATGACCTCCCCAAAGGACCCTGGTTGCCGCCTCGGACCCGGAGCGGTCATTCCAGGCCTTCCAGTTGTCAGGACCGGTGAGTTTGACGGATAGAGAGCTTCTAAATAGGGTTACTATGTATATAGAGCGGTCAATTGATACGTTGTAGTGCAGGGCAATGAGGCCGTTAATTATACGTAAAGTTGCATGTCTGATTGATTCTATAGGTGTTCCGAGCCCTTTTTTTTGACCATGCGCGCAGGGCCCATTATATGGTCTACGCGCACCCGGGCTCTCGCGGCGGGGCGTGCTAGGTACTGTAGGCAGGGTATAAGAGCAGGTACCGGGCACCTGAGTGGGACCGGAGAACCGTGGTGCCTCCGCACTGTCAAGGCCGCCGAAAATTGCGGCCCCGCCCTGCCAAAATCGGCGGTCAGAACAGCAAGTTCAACATTTATAACGTATCTTATAAGCGAGCGGGACATATAAGCGAGCGGGACACTAAGTTCTTGGCACGACGCGTCCTTCTTCATCCACCTCCAACAACGCGTTTTTCCTACAACTAAAGATGTCTTCCGCTTCAAAGGAAGCTAGGGTAACCTTGGCCCTCAAAGCTCTTGAAAATGATACGAAACTAAGCCTCCGAGCCGCGGCCAAGCTCTATAACGTGCCAGTTTCAACCCTCGGCTACCGACGTATCGGCCGGCCTATACGACGCGATCTTCCAGCCAACTTATTGTGACGAAACCACAGGCAGTCCTGCCTCTGAAAGGGTTCGCCGGTCGAAGGTAACTGCTGGTCGGACTGTAGGTCTCGGTGAAGCCAAAAGGTTCACAACAATGCTTGCCGCAATGTCTGCACAATAGGTATGGGCTATTGCTTGTAGTTGCTCACTGAGGAAGCTAGCTATCTGAATGAGTGGCAGAATGGTAGAACTATATACAGCTTCCTCCCCTAGGTATCCTGTACCTAGATCTTTGGAACATTTGGAACAATTGTTGTTCTCATTGTTCTATCTGGAACAACGTTCCTTGGCGTTGTTCCCCAGGAACAATCGTTCTTGACATTGTTCCCCAGGAACAATCGTTCTTGGCATTGTTCCCCAGGAACAATCGTTCTTGGCATTGTTCCCCAGGAACAATCGTTCTTGGCATTGTTCCTGATTCCCTCAGTCCCCATTGGTTCTTTCTGATTCGCAATGATTGGATACGGGCACCGCCCGTTGACCATGCAGGTCGGCCCCCACCGGCCTCTGCAGGTTAGTTCATGACAAGAGTGCAACCTCCCGGCCGACTAGCGTATTGCGACCACCAAGAACGGCTGGACTACCAATGCCATAGGCCTCGATTGGATCAAGCACTTTGACTTCCATATAGCACCCCGTACAAAGGGCAAGTATCGGTTATTCATCATCGACGGCCATAAGAGCTACCACTCGACCGAATTCAAGCTCTACTACCAGGAGCATTACATTATTATACTCTATATGCCTCTACATTCCTCCTACCTCCTCCAGCCACTCGATATTGGCTGCTTTGGGCCGCTAAAGCAGGCGTACGGTCGCCAGGTCGAGGACTTAATACGCATATATATCAACTATATAAGCAAGCTCGAGTTCCTCTATACCTTCCGCGAGGCCTTCTTCGCCTCTATAACGGAGAAGAATATATAGGGTAGCTTTATAGGTGATAGCCTTATACTGTACGATCCAGAGAGGGTACTTTCTAAGCTGGATATTAAGCTTCGTACACCAATACCCCCAATCTTATAGCCTAGCACTATATAGTCTTGGGTCTTCCAGACACTATATAACTCCCAGGAAGCCAATACATAGTCTATACTCATCAAGACTCGTATTGCCAACCATCAAAATAGCTTCCCAACCTCGATGTTGGCTACTATAGACCAGTTGGCCAAGGGTACAATAGCTATAATGCACCAGATGGCTCTTCTTCGCGCCGAGGTCTCTTCGCTCCGTAAGGCCAATAAGGCACTTAGCAAGCGCCGGAGAGCCAAAAGAACACGCGTATAGCTTGGAGGATCGCTTACGGTACAAGATACAAAGGATCTACTGGACCAGAAGGCCGTAGTTAGGGAGATGGCGCAAGAAAAGGAGCCGGATAGTGGTAGTACAGGGGGGGCTCGTATAAATGTTCGGTGCTATGGTATATGCGGCAAGCCTGGCCATAATGCCCGTACGTGCCAGGAGGTTACAGAAGGGTCTGATTCAGCTGTTTCTGATATAATTGTAGTTGGTTAATGGTCTTATTGTATTGCAATTGAGGATAGTTGTTGTAGAGTGGTGGAGAGTGTCCCGCTCGCTTATATGTCCCGCTCGCTTATAAGATACGTTATTGTATTTATCCCATATGGCGTCTACAACTAGACATATGATATGCACTCCCTCGCCTTTACAGCTGCTCATCTATTGAGCCATCAATATCATTTGGACGGACCAAATAGATGGTATACATTACTAGAAAGAGAAGGAGAACGGCACTAGAAAGCCACAGACATAACACCAATAAAGAACTGACACCTCATGTCCCCCTTACGACACCAATGTCCGTCGCGTATTTGACGTCTCGATGGTACCGAGTCTACTAATTCTATGCCTAATTGACAGCTCAGGCTCCCAAGCAGATCCCAAACATCAGGTATCTTGTCAGGAGCATTCCATATATCTCCAGCTTTGTTGCTCCTCTTGTCAGCTCAATGAAGGACGAAGGCAGAGGAACGCTTCTGTCCAAAGAGATCTGTTCCCTATCAACATCATCCCAGCCAATATGACACCAAAGATGCTGCCGACGAGGAATTGGTATCTCGGGTGGATACTCTGATCTCAGCAAGTGACACCCACGTTTTCGATGCCGGGCCTTCAACCCCGGTGGCGCGCTGCGTAGTGTAAGCAGATCGTTTTTGGCGTTTGCCGTTAGTGATTTTATGAACTCGTAAAAGGCCGCGCCGTTTCTGAGTTCGGCGTCGCAGTCTGTAGGTAACTTCACTGTCTTGCCGGGGTTGGAGATGGACCGGTGTGGCGATTTGCAAGTTGCTGCTCGAGGGTCAGCGTACCGTGCCGGCTGAATAGAGGCACCGACAAGACGTCGCCGTCTTAAGCCCACAACGACAAGTTGGTTGGTTTGGGACAGGTTGCGCGGCTAGAGGTAGCGTTCTTGTCCGGGTGGTGCTTCAGCACCTTCTTCCGGTGAGCACGCTTGATCTGCTCCTCGGTGGCCATTGTAGCGGTACTTGGAGACCTCAAGGTGCGTAACCCGCTGGCTATACGAGGACCGTATCGCCTTGGCGATGTGAGCGTTGGCCATGCGCTAAGTTTCTCCTTGGCGGAACCGCTCAGGACAGCTGACGCTTGGCGGGTGTGGTCTTCACCATGCCCAAGCCGTATCCAGCCGGTGATCGTTGATGCTGAGGGGGAAACAGCCATGGCTCATTCGAGGCATACGGGGCTTGGAATTTCATACCAGGCCACGCTGCTCCCGCCCGGGCTTTGTCTGTCCACTCAGCCACACGGCATCTTCTTCTTATTCTGATGCTTCGATGTGATAATCCCACAACCAGCAGACCGTTCACGTCGTCCCCAAACCTCGTGGCGACGGGTTTGCGCCCTCGCGGCGAGGCGTGGGCTCGCAGAGGGGGTGCAACAACTACGATATGTACGCCGCCGACTCCCGGCGAGTACTTATTACGGCGTCGCCCAATCCAGATCACCAGGTGTTGTACCGCACCATAAAGTGGCCCAAAGACGAGGCCCGGCGAATCACGAAGGGGTCAGGAGCAAAGACCCCGGCCTAGATAACTCCGCCGGAACTACGCTGGAATAGAAGATAACGGAGTCTACTCCAACAAGCCTGTCGATGCCACCAAGATGCCTACAACATCTTCCAACTACGCCTCGCTGGGGTTCGTTGACGTCCAACTGTTTGAGAATGCATCCCGGGACGGATACAAGACATCTGGATACCTTGCCCTCCACGGGCGCAGCAAATTCAATGCGAGACGAGAAGGACCTGAAGCCCCCCCGGCGGCTTCATAAAGTCCGCCTCCCCCTGGCGCCAAACAAAGCACACATAAACTCGTTGACGTCCGTAGCGGCGGCGGCGATATGCCGTTGCGAAGGGGGAGAGCATGCAGCATTATGATGAATTCTACCCGGACGCTGGGGGTCGTGCCCATGTCCACCGCGCGTTGAAGGAAGCGATGCCGGCGTGGGAGGGAGCGGCTCGACCGTCTCCGTCGTCGTCGCCGCGGCGACGAGGGGAGGGCCGGGTGTGATTCGACGAGGAGATCGGGCAGCCGCCGAGGCGGTAGCAGGTGAAGGACATGGCGATGGAAACGTGTGAGATGCTGGAGTCGGACGGTGTCGGACCAAGCCAAAACCCCGTCGGCACCAGTATGCTGGAGATGGTAGCCTCGGTCACAAGAGCGTGGGGAGCGTCAGGGGAAACGGATCCACGGTTGTTTGGATTGTAACTGCCGCGGAAAGGGCAGCACGGGCCAAGTGCGCCAGCGCTTCTGATCCTGAGAAGCGTTCCCAGCTTGACCGCGACGTCGAGTCCCTGCCTGCTTTCGCTGGCAGTTTTTGAAAACCATCAGTTCCCTGTCCATTGTCACTTTCCAGGCAAGGCCTTGTAAGTGACATACTAGGAAGATTTGCGACGCATCGACGATCGGAACGTTTGTTGTGATTTCGAAAGAGGAGCAAGAACCCTCGGCGCTGTGGTTGGTCCCAGATGCGCTGATGGAAGGCAACTGGCGCGAACCTCGCCGCGACTCCTAGGAGCTAAGCCATCGGAGGCGCGGCGACACCGCCTCTTCGCTGTCGTCGTTTTAGTCCTATGACGACGACAACTCATCCTCGTGGCTTGTCCCAACCATACATATTGTGACTGGGAAGCCCGGGGGAGGAATTACACTGTCCTCCTGGCCGTGGGCGCTGGGCGAGCAACTTAAAGCGCTCCAAAGTTCGATGGTAACAGAAACGGGGAGGGAAGCTCCACCGATTAAATTCCTTGACGGTGCACTCCCTCCCACTCTCATATGAGTAGTTTCCTATCTGGCCTGGAGGGCGACGTGCTCACCACCATGGGAACCAACTGTCGGGAGCGACGGGGTCCCGGTTACAGCGACGACGGAGAGTCGACGCGGCAACCGGGGCCCATTCACAATTATAGTACCTCCTTCTCGCGTTGTGCTTTCTCCTTCTTGCCAACACAACAAGAGGCGGCCGAGAGCTTGGGCGAAATAATCTCGGAGACCGACAATTGTCTCCTCCAGGACGTCCATGGAAGCACTATCCGGTTGGCGGTTCCGGGCGCGCATGTGCCAGGCAGTCCTCCAAGATCTCGGTGGCCTACCGGATGGACATGTGGAAGGGGGACGAGCTGATGATTTTTGGTGATCTTCTCCCAGTTCGTCGAGGAGCAGGGATTTTACGTGATCGGGCACCGGAATCTTGATCCTTAGGCACTGCGCAATATGGTCCGCGGACCACACAACAAGGCCGATTACTTTGCGGAGGAGGAACCGCGTGGACTTCCGCGCCTTCCATGGCAACCAGCTCAGAGCTGCCCAACCCGGACTCCACGCCCCTTATTAGCCACGAGGGGAGGGTTCTACGTCCCGCCAGCTCCAGCGGTCAGCGCCGACAGCGTCGGATTTCCCGTATAACGCCAACCCGGACACGATAGTTGACCACTCAGTCTACCTAGAGTCCAGGCCGGATACACTTTATACCCCGTGGCTAGCCAACTCTAACTGGCGCTGCTACGGCCTCGCCGCCGCTCCAAGGGCCCGTGTCTAGAAATCTGCCACGACCGTTATTGCACGTTTCTTCTCCACGAAGAGATGGCATGCGATGCTCCAGAGGATGTCCCAGTTCGACGGCCCATGACCTTGGCACGGGTATGGCGCTGGGGATGGGTCCTCGCCCCTTGCGCGCTTCTTTCTCCGAAGCATTGAAAACATCGCAAGAACCCCCTCGGCACAGCAAGGCCAGTCAGATCCTCCCTCGAGGACTGTCTCCGCGGACTGGACGAGTAGATTTGGAAGGCAGGGCAGCTCGTCGAAGAGCGCCGGGGTAGTTTCTCTCTCTCTCCAAGCCAGAACAGGCAGGCAGTCGAGTCTCCTCGGCATATGGTCATGACACATGGCGAAGAGCACGCGGGTTGGACCGAGTGGGAGCTGGCAGTCCGGTTCCCGCTGTACTTTGTTTTTGTTCTGTTTGGGTCTTTGTCGTGGATGGTTGGATTGTTCTTCTTTTTCAGCCGGCTGACGGCCCTAAAACCGTCGGGATATTTTTCCCCCCATGGCGATTTTAATCCTGTGCTGGTGTCGGGGAATGTAATCCTCAAAAAAGCTGGCTACGCTCGTTTCTCCTCGGCGTTGGTAGAGCGGAAAATGGTCTCGCCCTCGATCCATAGTCTAGACATAGGGGACGGCGAATGACTGCCAGAATGCGAATGTGTAGGATGAAGGAGAAGGAAGCAGGTAATGTCGAGGCCGAAAGGACGCGCCTTCGGAGGAGGAATCGCTCCGGGGCGGTAGATCACCCTGAAGCTTGCGGCTGCGCAGGGCCCGGGCCTACGCCGCGGGGGTTGTTGGCCTCGAGCTGCGCATGTTCCCTCCACATCGGACCTTAGTTTCCAGGTTGCGGAGTGGAATCCTGCTCTCTTCGCCCTCGTCGTCCTCCAACTCTTTCTCAAACTCGGCGCGGTCGAAGAAGAATGCCCAGCTATCCGGCGACGGGACTGGGGAACCAGTCAGAGCTTTTCCATGGCCGTCGTGGAACTTTCGCGGAATACGCCTCCCTGGGAGGTAGTCGCAGCGACTGCGATTCCACGAAGCCCGACCGTCGGCAAGGACGGAGGCCCATGGTATGTCGAGGACGAACCCCGTGGCGGGACACTCGCCGGCTAGTAAAGCACCGGTTCTCATCACCAGGACCCTACGTGTCCGCCAAGGGTCGAGAACGGTGCGTCATTCCGCCGCCATCCAAGGGCTCTGAGCCAAAGCGGGGATTCCGCTCATGGGTTCGGCGTCTAATACGCCAGCATGCCGCCGTGACGAAGTCAGAAAGCCCGACTTTGTTTTTATCCCGTCCATATAATAATGATAATTTGGACGGAGAGGTCCATATAATAATGATGGTTTGCACGGAGAGCCAACCGCGTGGTCGAAGCCTGTAGCTAACGGTTTCCTCCGCCAAGCGCCCAAGGCTGATGCCGCCCATCCTTGAGTGAGTTGAGTCGCGTGGATATCCGTCACATCTCAGCGCGAAGACGGCGTACTTCTTCCGAGACGGACGACCCTCAGGGCATCATGATACGCCGATGAGGGAGATAATCGGAACTCTGACAATGTAGGGCCTCGCCTTGGGCTTGCCGCTCTGCCACGAGGGCCGACTCCAATATTCTCGGACCCTCCGCGTCCGCGAGGACGCCATAGCATCGCCCAGAGGATGGAGCAGCGGTTGACGACGCAGTGAGGCGGTCTCCCAAAACTCCGCCACGAGGGAGGACTGGCACAGTCGTTGAAGTTCTCTGTCTGCTCCTCAGAACCACCATAGTTGGCAAGCTGTCGTCGCATGAGATTGAGAACATGATCAGCGGTATGTGCACCCTCGTGGCCCGGCTCGTATACCAAGTAAATCCAAGTAGTAGATGACAACAAGCTTAAGTAGGCTGGACGCGGATGGACCGTATTCAACACGTAGGCTGTCGCTCGGCCATAAGGATCCGGCTGTAACCACTCCTATCAACGTTCCCTTCTTCATCCATCCCGATCGAAGGAATACATTGATTGAAGTTCTCCGTCCTACAGGGACTACGACGTCGTCCTCCTGCCTCGGCCTATGAAGAGGCTATAGTAATGTGCGAGCCTGCAAATTCGGATAGGGATGGGAGGCACTGGTGTCCCGAGCAAGGTTGGTCAAAAAAAAAAAAAAAAAAAAAAAAAAAAAAAAAAAAAAAAAAAAAAAAAAAGGGCAATCAGACAAAATGTGGCTGCTTTCGGCGAGACACAAACACTGACGTGTCCAGCTTCGCACTTGGACATTAAGCGGGCATTGCCCCTGTCTCTACGATCGGGTGCCATGTAAATATTTACCATTTGTGTAACACGGCAACAATCAGTCATAACCCAAAAGCTAGCTAGACCTATACACCGCCTTGTTCAAGATAGGCGTCCAATCCTGCCGTGCCAAAGCCTCCTCCACCGTGAGCATGGGACAGTCGATGCCGGCCTGTAAGTTCAGTCAGTTTTTCAAGTCGCAGTTAGAAAAAAAAGCATCCCTAATCTCGAGGCGACCAAGAACAATAACTAATAGCTCACCTTGCGCAAATCCTCAGCCTTCAACACCTCCTTACCCCCATCATAGCCCGGATCCGAGCTATACTCAAACATCAAGGCCACCTCAATGCCGCAGTCCCTATCGGCAGTGTCGGCGACCATCTCGTCGAACGAGACCTGCCGGTACTTGATGGTGGCGCCGGTCAGGGCGGCCCAGGCGTCGGCAAACTCGGGCCAGGGGCGGTACTCGCCGGCGGCCATGTAGTGCTTGCCGGGGGGCATCTGGGCGACGGCGTAGACGAAGGGGCCCGTGTCGTGGTTGACGTCGAGGTGCGGGATCGGCTTGTCCGGCGAGCAGGGGAAGCGCATCTCGAAGGTGCCGTCGGGGAGCTAATAAAGGAGGGGGTCAGTTTCAGGGGTACTTATAAAAAAATCCAAAAAGTGAAGATAAAAAGGAGGAGAAAAAAGAAATTACCTTCTGGAAATAAGACTCCGGCAGGATCCGGTGGCTGGTGGTGAAGAACCCGGTCTGGATGCACGACATCTTCGCGGCCAGCGCCGGGTGCGTGGCGACGACATAGTCCGGGAAGACGTCGGCCTTGGCGTCGAAGTGGTACAGGTCCTTGAAGCGGCCGGCGCTGCACTGGCCGGCGTGGCTCAGCGTCGAGGCCAGAAAGCCGTTCTCCACGAGCGAGTCGACGGCCACGGCGGCGGCCGCGTCGGCGATGTTCTTGCCCTGCGCGTACTCGACATCGTACGCGTACCGGCGGCACGTCACGCCCAACGCCTGCGCCCTCGCCCGGCAGTCCGGCCGGAAGAAGGGCTCCCAGTAGTTGGTGACGCTGAAGATGAGGTTGGCCCCGCGGAAGGCCGCCTCGAGCGACGCCACGTCGTCCAGGTCCGCCCGCACCATCTCGGCCCCGAGCGCCGCGAGCTCTCGGGCTGCCGGGGACGAGGGATCCCGCGTCAGCCCGCGCACGGCGTACCGCCCGTCCTGCAGGAAACGCCGCGCCACCGAGCCGCCTTGGTTCCCTGTCGCGCCCACCACCACCAGCAGCAGCTTCTTGCTGTGGCTGTTGCTGGTGTCCTGCTGCTGCTGCGACGCTGACGCCATGGTTACTTATATCAGCTTTTGTTTTTGTTTTTTTTTTTTTCTTGCTTCTTCGAGTATTGTATATCTTAGTTCTTAGTCAGTCTCTGGATTAAGTTGTATGTATCCGTAAATCATTCACCGCCAGGGAACAGAGACAGAGGGAGCCCCTCTCCGTGATAACCAGCAAGACCAGCACACCAACCCCTCAGGCTGCGCGCGCCGAGCAAAAACCTACTATCACCACCGTATTCCCGCGCTATAGCTGTGTCGCTGCCTTACCCCTCTTTTGGTTTTCCTCACCATGGGCCCCCTCACGCGCGGGGATTGGATAAGGTAGGTAGGTATCCTGAACCCCGGCATGGGACGTGTTGTGGTGCCGGTGCGCCACTGGCCTCATCATCACTCGGATCACTGGTTCTCATGCGGAACGGGAACTCACACTAAACGTTAGTGTCCCGGGTGGGCCGCCGTCAAACGAGCGGTAAGCCCCGTAGCGGCCCCATAGCGGGCTCGGAACAGCGGATGACAGTGCTGATTCCGGACTAGCGGTTGCGACGGTGGAAGGCTCGGCAAGAGCTAGAGCTTAGGCGGGGGGGAAGAAACAGGGCCCATATTACGGAGCCCATATCAACTGGGTCCATCCCCATCGCAACTCGCGAAACTTGGGGGATGGTGGTCGAGAGATCTGACGAACTTCTTCTACCCCAGACCCCGTTCTGTACAGAAACACCAGTTTCGGTTTTTGTGAAGACCCCGGACCCGGTTGTGTCGGGACCTAGAATCAACCGGCTGGGCAAAAAAGAAAAAAAATAAAAAGAAATAAAAAAAATAAAAAATAAAAATAAAAAGAACGGTTTGTTTTGAGACTTGGCGCGAAGAGCGGACCGGGCCCCAGAAAATAGTACCTATGGCGTCGACTCCCAACCCCACAACCACCACGACAGCGAACGTTCCGCCAGATGATGTCCCCGGACCCAGTGGGACGAGGAGTCCAGAGCCCGGACCTGGGCAGGTAGTAGTGGTGGCAGAAGAAGAAGAAGAGGTAGTCCATGCGCCTCTACAGGTCGACGTACGTTTGTTTTATTCTATCTCCCCCGCCTTCTTTTTCTCCCTTCTTTTTATTCTTATTTTTATTTTTAATCTCTTCTTTACTAAAACCCCCCACCTCAGCACGACCGACCGGACGAAGACGAGGATGACGCAGACGACGGCGACTCGGCGTACGGCTCGCTGGCCGGGTCGTCGCGCACGGGGTCCATCACGTCGTCCATCACCAACTACGTGTACGAGAACGGGCGGCGGTACCACGCCTACCGGTCGGGCCAGTACGTGCTGCCCAACGACGAGGCCGAGCAGGAGCGCCTCGACCTGCAGCACCACATCTGGCGCCTGCTGCTGCACGGCAAGCTGTACACGGCCCCCTTGCAAATTCCGGAGCCCGGGGAGAAGATCCCCACCACCACCAGCTCACAAGAAGGCGGCGGTGCTGGGGCCGATTTCCGCGTGCTGGATCTGGGGACGGGCACGGGGATATGGGCCATCGACATGGCCGACGAGTTCCCGCGCGCGAGCGTGTTCGGCGTGGACCTGAGCCCGATCCAGCCCGAGTGGGTGCCGGGCAACTGCCGGTTCCACGTGGACGACTTTGAGGACGAGTGGACGTACCGGCCGGACGAGAAGTTCGACTACATCCACGGCCGGGCCATCTCGGGCGCCGTGGCCGACTGGGCCCAGTTCTACAAGCAGGTGCGCACGCATCTGAAGCCGGGGGGTTGGTGCGAGATGCAGGAGTATGATGCGTGGGTGTTCAGCGACGATGATTCCCTCGACCGGACGACCTGGACGAAGGGGTGGGTCGAGAAGCTCGAGGAGTCGAGTCAGCAGTTTGGCAAGCCGATCAATATTGCGCGGAAGCACAAGCAGTGGATGATCAATGCCGGGTTTGAGGATGTGGTGGAGAAGGTGGTTAGGGTGAGTTTAGTTTTCACTGCCCTCTCTGCCTCTCTGCCTCTCTGCCTCTCTGCCTCTCTGCCTCTTTACCCCCTATTTTATTTTATTTTTCCTCTCTCCCATTTCAAACTGCACACAGTACTGACTCACCTGGATGCAACCAGATCCCCATCGGCCCCTGGGCGAAGGACCCCTGGCTCAAGGAGCTCGGCCGCTTCGAGCAGATCCACATGCAGATGTCGGTCGCCTCGCACACCCCGGCTCTCTTCTCGCGCGTGCTGGGCTGGTCTGAGCAGCAGGTGCAGGTCCTGGTCGAGGGCGTCAAGCGCGAGTTCCGCAGCAGGGATTACAGGCTGATCACCAGCTACCGCTTCATCATTGGGAGGAGTCCCGGTCCGCCAAGCGATTGACGGCTTTTCTCCTGTGGCAGTCAGTGTGGTGGAGGTAGTAGAGAATAAAATTTGATGGCCCGCAGCGAACCGTCGTGGAGTACCTAACGAGTAGTGAGGAAGACTACCTAGGTAGGCTGTGGTGCGCACAATGCTCCCCACAGCTCGAGGCAGAGACGGGAAGTCAGGGGGCTTCATGAAGGTTAATAGGGGTCCGAGACCAACGAGCGAACCGAGCGATACCACCAGTTGTACATATCCTCGTAAATCAAAACGATAAACCGTCGTGTTTGAGTTCGAGGCGGTCTCCTATCGGATGCGCAGGCGTGCTCTAGACCAGATGTACAAGATCATTTGTTAGACTTCTGCCCTATGCGACAGCAGCTTCGAGCCCCCTACCAAGTCTGTCCGGACATGGTGGGAATGAAAGAGTGTTATGTATAAGAACATCTCCGTCGCGCCTGACGTTTGCTTAAAACTGGTTGCGGTGTAATGAAGTCGACGATATTGGTCCCCTTGTTCGGTACTCACCAGCTTTACAATTAAGTCGCGTGGTGTCAACTGAGCCGCTGTGTCTTTTGATTACTAGTACCTTACCAAATGCATGCTTGGGATCATAGAGCCGCATATGGCTCGAACGATGGTGTGAAACGTGGGTCACTCACAGCCGTCAGTCGGAGGAAGGAGCCTGCAAGTGTCTCACTGTTGAGTCTCGCACGGGACATCCACCTCATTCACCTTAACATATGGATGGCAGTTCAGCAATGCTATTCACGTGGAGCGTAAACGGGCCCATTGCCCATCATGCGGTGCGACTCTCTTGGCCTGATGGATTTCCCGCCGCTGGGAAATGTCATCCGCTTACATTTGATTCCAGGAGCACTTTTGCCTCTCGTTGCTATCAAACTCTGAGCTATCGAATAGCCTTCCCCAAATGCCTCAAAGCAAGCGAGCCTTTTCACCAGCAGACCATAGTCGTTTATGCTGTGACCTAGACGTAGGCCCTTCATTTGTTTACAAAATTTCTTGCAGTCACTCTAAGTGAGAGACTAATGAAGCATCGTAGCCAATGCATTGAAAATCTGAAACTGACTGCCGTGAGATTGTCACACTAGCGAGAGCGGGAGCAATCATCTTAGAAGCTGTCGAAAGTGAACTGTTACAACCGTCACATGGTTCCTGCCCCATGACTTTAATCCGAGAAGGCTACAATCTGACATCCGAGTCCTATTCGCATCTTAGGGTTGTTTGCCTTCCACCTACATGCCAAAGGGGTCGAGCAAAATTCAGTATATTCACGGAAATGATACAAAAGGGCAAGTCCTCATCACCTCCTTGAACTGCCCGAGGCAACGGTAACATTCGGGGGATTTCATTTTCCGGAGGACGACTCCGGGACGAGCGTCGAAATCATTCGTGGTCGATGACTTCGAATTTCGATTCTCTAACATGTTACAGGATGAGTGGAAGACAACCCAGAGTTCGGCATGGTCGAATCTTCCATTAGAGAGCAATCTATGGCCTGCTCATTATGCTACTAAACTCGTTTCCAGGCTTCTAGGAACAGAACTGCGAAGGCTCACAACCGCCACAAGCTCTTGCTGGGCAGATCGTGTATGCTGTTGTCCCCAGAGTAGCTGGATTACAGTAGTACTTCTTAAACCGGAAGGTGGGGCATGACATTTGTGCTTAGTCAGCCAAAGAGTGGATCCTTTCACCTACGCCGAGCATTGAGTTATCGCGACCAATTTTTGATGGAGCGGCACTTCCCAAGACCGCTCGACACCAACAATGCCCCCGAGATTACCCTTTGCGCAGGCGGCGCGATGCTGCGCTGCAGCGATTGAGGCGCCCTCGAGGCCGACAACCCTAGTCTCCTTGTTTGCGGCACTGTCGGTGCAGACACGGAGCGCCTCGATCCTTGCGAACCTTTCCGACAACAAGGGCGCCTACCACAAGCGCATCCGGAGAGGTCGCGGTCCCTCGTCCGGCTACGGCAAGACGGCTGGTCGCGGTCACAAGGGCCAGAAGCAGCATGGCAAGGTCAAGCCGTGGTTCCAGGGTGGTCAGACACCGCTGATCGTCAGCCATGGCCGGGTGGGATTCGTAAACCAGTGTGTGCTCCCCTTCCCCGGCCTGCTCCTCTCCGCGCAAAGCCGCTTTCTTCTCTGACCCACCCGCAGCCGCGCGCCCGAGATGATCGAGCTCAACCTCGACCGCCTCCAAGCGTGGATTGACGCCGGCCGGATCGACCCGACGAAGCAGATCACTCCGCGCGAGATCATCAGGTCGGGCGTGGTTGGCAACACCATCAAGGACGGAATCAAGCTTCTCGCTCGCGGCGGGGACAAGCTGAAGACGCCAATTGACATCATCGTCTCCCGTGCATCGGCCGCCGCCATCGAGGCCATCGAGGCCGCCGGCGGCAAGATCACGACGAGGTATTACACGAAGGAGGCCATCAGGCGGCTGGTCAAGGGCGAGAGTATCAACACCGACAAGCCCCTTCCCGTGGGGCCGGAACATGTGGAGAGCGTGCTGGCGCAGGCGAGGGCCGCGCCGAAACACTATTACCGCCTGCCGGATCCGACGAGTCGAGAGGACATCGAGTACTACAGAGACCCTGCGCACAGGGGCTACCTGAGCCACACGCTGAAGCCCGGCGAGTCGCCAAGTCTGTACTTCAAGGTGCCCGGCACGACGGCTGTGTACAGCAAGCCGAAGAACAAGGAGAAGGCCGAGGAGCAGGCCGCAAGGTTGTTCTAAGACCTGGTGGGCTTGTTACCGCGGGATACATGTATTCTACAATGCACATACTGTTCTGTACAAATACCACGACCACGGCACCGGTCCAGAAAGGTCTTTTACGTCGGTGATGAATGAAATTTCGGCGCTTTCACTCCGTATCATCCATCATGGTGTAATGCCATGGACGGTGGTCGGGCAACCCTTATCAAACCACCGACGCAGGAGGCTGGGGACCCCGGTCGCTTACAGCGGAGCTCTTGTTCTCTCGTCTCCTTCCAGCCTCCGTCCCGCGGCTGGCATAACTGACGACATTCCGCACCCTGCCTCGAGCCTGCCACCTTGGAGCTTCTTATGCTGTTGTGCAGTGCCTCCTTAATAATTTCTTGACGCTGTGCACTGTACAATCCTTCCCCGTGCTGCCTGTGCTGTACATACGTTGCGGGGGCATTACGACATCTGCCTAGCATTCTAGGCCTAAATCAGCCGCGGCCGGCACAACCCCCGCGCCGCGCGTTCGCAAAACACCAAATCCTGATCCAACACCAAGCAATCGCGGAAGCTCCCCCCAGGCAGCTCGACGTACGCAATTCCCGGCCAACATGTCGCTCTTTGGCAGCTCTCCGCCGGATGAATCGCGGTCGAATCAATTCACCAACAGCAGATCCTCCCTGTTCGAGGACGAGCCGCCCATGACCAGGTCGACAAGCACGGCCCTGTTTGCCGACGACGATCCCGGCTCGGACTCTCCCTGGGACATGCCGACACCTCGCAAGCAGCAGACGCGCGCCGAGGTGATCCGCACTCTGCTCCCCGCCTCCGATGTCCCCGACCACTACATCGACGCATTTGACACCCTCGTCAGCGAGCATGGCAGCGGCGGCCGCATCACATCTGGCGGAATCGCGAGAACACTTGCTGCCGCAAAGCTTGGTGCTGACGCGCAGGCGCGGATAATGGGCATTGTTGCGCCGGGCGGCGGCGATCGCGAGGATGGCTCTCTGGACAGGAACCAATTCAACGTTCTGCTGGCCTTGATTGGCCTGGCGCAGGAAGGCGAGGCCATTGGTCTGGATGGCATCGACGAGCGACGCCGGAGTAAGTAAACATCCTGTCGTCACACACTCTCTCTTTCCATCGCAATCCGTGCCCGCTTGCCCCGTCACCTGAATACCACAACACCTCACTATCTTATCTGAACCGCCGACGGAGCTCAGCTGCTCACAAGTTGGGCGCCCCGGCGTGCTGAAGTGGACCCGCTCGCCCTGTGTTATCGGAGCTAACCTGGTTGCGTCGATCCCCCAGATCTCCCAAGGCCGGACCTCCACGGTCTCATCGAGAGCACGCCCGCGTTACCACATCTTGAAGAACTTGTTGCGAAGGCTCCTCAACGACCTGCGACACCCCCGAAAGCCCCCGAACCCGCCTCCCCCGAGCGGCACCGCACGGTCAGAAAGCCGACGATGGACTACCCCGAAGACCCGTGGAACACACCCGACCTGCACAGAAACCACAGCCACGGCCCTGAGCCGCCGCGGCCAAATGGCCATGATGCACCAAGCTTGGCTGCGAGCACAAACGGAAACGTCTACGGCACCAGCCCACAAGCGACTCTCCCCCGCCGGACAACGTCCACATTTACCACCAGTGCGCCGCCGTCGGGGGCCGGCTCGGTAGCGGAAGCCGCCAGTGCATGGGGTTTCCTGGACGGCCAGCCGGCCTCGGGCGGCTTCAACGACCAAGCACCAAATGCCGCAGCACCGTTCGCGGGCGCTGGTGGCAGCGGGGCCCCGCGGGATCCGGCCGGTCTCCAGCCGGCGGCACCGGCTCCCAACAGAACGATTGGCGGCGGGCGGACGGGGCCCACCGTGGCGGACAACATCGTGGTGACGTTAATGCCCGAGAAGGAGGGCATGTTCTTGTTCCAGCATCACAACTACGAGGTCACCAGTTCTAGGAGGGGAAGCAAAGTCATTCGGCGGTACAGCGATTTCGTCTGGCTCCTTGACTGCTTGCACAAGCGGTACCCATTCAGGGTGCTACCGTTGTTACCGCCGAAGCGGGTCGCTGGTGCGTAAACAGATCCCTACCACGGCGTATGCTTGCTGACATGGTTTAGTCAACGGGAACCACCTGTCCAATGACGGTGCCTTCATCGAGAAGCGGCGGCGTGGCCTGGCTAGGTTCCTCAATGCCCTGGTCCGGCACCCTGTCCTGAGCCAGGAGCAGCTGGTCGTCATGTTCCTGACTGTCCCAACCGTGAGCAAACCTCCCATGTTCGGGCTACTGGCGCCAGATCTGACATGCCTCCGCTCAGGAACTTGCTGTTTGGCGCAAGCAAGCGACCATCTCGGTACAAGACGAATTCACGGGCCGACCTCTACCCCCCGGCCTGGAAGACTCACTACCGCCGACGCTGGAAGACCTCTTCAGCCGCACCCGTACCGGCGTCAGGCGGAGCGCCGAGCTGTACATCACGGTCTGCAACATCATGGACCGACTGGTCAAGCGGTCCGAGGGCGTCGCGGCCGACCACGCGCGCATCGCCATGTCCCTCATCGCGCTGACGGAAGCGAGCGCCGACACGTACGCCACCGACACCAACGAGGTGCCGCTGCTCAACGACGGGCTGCAGGCCATGAGCCGGCATCTCCGCACCGCGCAGAGCCTGATGGAGGACGAGGCGCGCGCGTGGGACGAGGGCGTCCTGGAAGATCTCAAGCGCCAGCGGGATGCGCTCGTCAGCCTGCGCGACCTCTTCGATCGGAGGGAGCGGCTCGACAAGGACAACATCCCCCATCTCGAGAAGCGCATCGCAGCCAACGAGACCAAGCTGGCGGCGCTAAGGGCGAAGCCAGAAGGCATGGTCAAGCCGGGAGAGATTGAGAAGGTAGTGGAGGCGATTATCAAGGTGAACCCATCTTTTCTTTTCTTTTCTTCTCTTTTCTTTTCTTTTCCTTGATTTTACAACTACTAGGTCTTTTACACCCGTTGTTACCACGCCCAGAGCTAACGTGGTTCGGTCGAACACAGGACAAGGAGTCGATCGTCACCCAGCATAACCGCTCTGTCTTTGTCAAGGAGTGCCTCCGCGACGAGCTCACTTACTTCCAGCATACGCAGTACAACGTCTCCCGGTGGAACCAGGATTGGGCGCAGGAGCGGGTCAAGTATTCTGAGATGCTGGCCGACAACTGGCGCCGCTTGCTGGATGGCCTGGAGGGGATGCCGCTTGGTGATTAGCGGGTCTTGAAGGATTGATAGGCTTGTATGAGTGAGGGCTGTGGGCGGTTACCTGATCCCGTCTTAACATCTCCGTGGTGGCGGCGTGTTTGCTTTATCTACATATGTTTGGGGGGACTGTTGGAAGAGCGCAAAGTATATAAGCGGGGAAGGGTTGAGACTGCGATACCCTTTGGTCGAGCATTGCTTTTGCCCGCCTGTTTTATAAGACGGCGTCAAATCAAATATGTCTCCATGGATGGAACTACCTACCTAGGTATGTAGATGGGTGTCAGTCTTCGGGGACATTAGTTACCATGACGATGCTCCCTTTTTTGTTTGCTTCGGTTTAAGTTGGCTGCTCGAGCTGCAGGCGCATAAATCTGCTGCTAGAAACTCTCGTAACGGGCCCCGACCGCTTCAAGACTCAGTTAAGGTAGCTAGCTACCTTACTCAAATCACCACCGGCATTGCCGGAGGTCACGTCGTGGAATGCCCAACTCGGCACTTGCACATGCGTGAGCATCTCCGGCCTGGTGATGCCAAGCCCCGCACACGGCTGGCCGGCCAAGTGGCGCGACTGCAACCCCGCGCTACGCATGACGTTTTTTTCAGCCTTGCGACGTGCCCGCCTGCCAGTCCTTCTCTCGCAGTCCATATCCTTCAAATTCATGTCTTGAACTTCGGCAGTCCGTCACTCCGCGAATACGACCGTAACCTCAGCCCCCATATCGCTACCGCGTGACTCAGCTCGAGCCGCCAGCCATTTTGTTATCGCCGCTTCCGCAATCCGATTCGACCGCGAGAAGACGCGTTTCTGCCGTGAGCGAACATTTCGTGGCGGCTACCCGAAGCCGACCGACCGACCCAACCGAATCGCGCATAAGCAAAGAAGCATCCTCGAGTTCGTTCGCATTCTATTGCGATTTCGGTTGAACGAAACGACTTCTTCCCTCCCGGCTCTGCATCGAGAAACTCCTTACACTGCCGAGTGCCACGCATTTCCACATTTTCGCGGCCTCGGTGTCCGGACAGACCTTTGCACCGCCTCCTGTCTTATCCCACCGACAACATGCCGTCAACCACATCGAGGCGCAATGTTGGCACCGGAGAGAGGTTTATGGCGGTAACAAAATCGACGAAGGAGAATGCGCAACAGGTGGGCTTAATCTCTCCCGCTCCGCCTACCACATCCGCCCGTATCGCAACCGCACGGCCGATGGGGCGGTCTTTCGGCCCGATACGGATGGGCCTTCGATCCTTGCTCACATTGAGGGAACCACGCGCTGACTGCGAAATGCCACAGTACCTGAAAAACCACAATTACAACCTTGAGGCCGCCGTGAATCAGTGAGTGCTTCCGCAATTAGCGTTTTCCCCCACGCCCCGCTAGAGACATTTGGTGGTTGAACCTGGTGCACGTCGTCCCGAACGGCAAGTCGCTTCGGTGGTTTGAACCCCCCTGGACGGACCACGCAGCCGTGGAAGGGTTCTGGAAGTCAAGATCGGCATTGCGACACCATGTCTCATATAGCTTGCCGCGCCCACATCACACATCCCTCGTTTCCCTTCGCGCGTGTCTCGTTATGCCTTCAGCGCCTTTTTGTCCTGCTCTAGTTTGAGAGGAAAACTGGGCTGTCCGCCTCAAGCTGCATCCCAAACCGCCTCTGAGTGGAGTCAGCCTTGCTGCCTTGTTTATCCGAGCATATCGGATCGAACCTTCCCTTGTTGTCACCTGTTGGTTGCTTCCTCGCCTCATGAGCAACAACAGACACGGCAGGCCGCCGACATGCTCCGCCATTTCTTCCATTCTTGTTTTCAAAGGAGATCAGAGCGCTCTCCCTCAAAGTCCTGCCACTCGGCGACCGAGACGGACAGCAGCGAAGCTACATGTATCTCATCCTCACACATTCCAAATCTCCCAAGAGCCGGGACCAGAGTGTCAACAAGGCAAGAGGCCGAAGCTGAAGCACATACCTTCGCCGCATCAGACCACACCATGCCGAAACCTAAGGAGAAGGCGATTCGCATGCCGAAAGGCCGGAAGCCCTACGAGAGATCTCAGACGGACGCCAGGTCCGACCCCGATGTCACTTGTCGTCGATCGATGTTTTTTGGCTTTGCGTCTCCCTACTCTGCCCAGCGAACTAATGAGGTCGCCGCCTTAGGTATTATGCCGACATACAAAACAAAACTGTTGCCAAGGCCAGCCTCGGGCCCGTGAAGGCTAAGCTGAACAAGATGTTCGATGAGCTCATTCCAGGTATGTCCGGCGCAGCTCCCCAGAGCCGCATTGGCCCTCGAGCTCACGCGTAGCAGAAGATGAGAGGCAACAAACGGACAAGAACGGGAACTTGGTGGCCGTCGATGAGATCAACGCCGAGCAGTGCATGGAGTATTTCCAACGCCTGGGCACCAACCCGGAGACCTGCGAGTTGTTCATCGTTCTGGATGTCGTCCAGGCGGAGACCATGGGCACCATCAAGAGGGCCGGCTTCGTCGACGGCTGGGCACAGGCCATCGCAGAGAGCACAACGAAAGTCACGCCCGACTGGGCCGGGCAAAGGCAGTACCTGAAGTCCCGCATGGCCCATGTGAACTCGGATCCGGCATACTTCAAGCAGCTCTACGATCTCGCATTCCAGATCAGCCGGGAGCCGCCGCAGAAGGCGATCAATATGGGTGTCGCCGTGGCGTGCTGGGAGGCGCTGTTCGAGCCGACGACGCACCCGTGGCGGTCGAGCAGCATCGACTGGCTCGGGGCGTGGACGGCGTACCTCAAGGACAAGTTCAGCATCTCCAAGGCGGATCCGGAGGGGAACGTGGAGATCGAGTGGAGGCGGACGGTCAGCAAGGACCTGTGGAGCCAGACGAGGCTGTTTGCCGCCAAGACCATGGAGGACGAGACGCTCAGCTTCTGGTCCGAGGACCAGGCCTGGCCGGGCCTCATCGACGATTTTGTGGTCTGGTGTCGCGAGAAGGGCATCGTGACGGCAATGAAAGGGGAGGATAGCGAGATGGAGGAGTGAGGGACCCTGCACTCGCCAGAGCAATGGAGGCCTGCATGCCAACCTAAATTCTCGCCCACAAGCAAGGGCTGGAGGGATCTGAAGCGTTACCCTTTCACAAGGTACACAGGTGATGTTAGAGCGAAGAGAGCGAGGAGGCTGAACAGCGGGTCATAAATCACCTGGGCGGATCGTGGGGGAGGATTTTGCAGTCGCACCGCAGGGATGATGAACGTCTCTTTTTATCTTTTTTGCTAGATGGGTTAGCGAGAACGGACTGGCGTACGTGCATCCGCGTGTTCTGGACCTACAGCGGGAATTACGGGGTTATCGAGCATCATATGCAATGCGAGCTTTGCGCAACGCGCAGACTGTGCGATAAGACAGAGGAGTCTTTGTCCATGTTAGTAGGATGTACCTAGAAACGAGATGTCAATGTGTGTTCCGCGTTGCTGATCAGTGAGGGTGTGGGAATATGTGCTGCTCAGGGGCTGACATGTTATCTTCCGCAGATACCTTACATATATAACCGGGGTCTTCACTGGACTGGACACACATCCAACAGGTAGTGGTGACCGGCATTCAGGAGGTTCAATGCCCAAGGGAGGCGGCCCGCCCTGTCTTGGATGCCAAGTGCTAGTTAGGTACTGGAGGTTCGAAGCGGTTCCTTATAGTCTTGCATAGTTTCACCCTGGGCAAATAGGGACGAGGAACTTGCTTTGTGAGGATGTTGTCTTCTCCGGCCGCCTTTCTGTTGACGACTTGCTACAACTGGTGTGTCAACGCCATCAGCTAACCCCATCACAGTAGGGCAGTGGAGGGTGAGTAGTAAACGGTATGGTATATGGACGAATGTTTTGTACAGCACGTCATCGTACAGGTCTTCCCACACTTATCAGGCTTTGCGAAGCCGTGGCCAGCGCTATAGCCGTGGCCAGCGCTATCCATCTCCAGGCAATGTCATCTGCCGTCCGTCACAGCTGTGCCTGATCCTTGCCTTGTATCCCACCCCTCTCGAGCCCAAGGGCGCCGTCCTTCCCGGGTGTGAACCGCTCTCCAGTCCTTGGGACTACCAGCCCGCAATTCAGGTCCCTTGCCTGCCCCGCTCGGCATATATCCTCTGTCTCCTCTTAAGCTGGCCAAGGTACCTTACGCAATCCCTTCCGAACTGATCGATCGAGCGTGGATACCCCACCATAACAGATATTCAACCCCCCCCCCCCCCCCCCCAAAAAAACTTCCCCGGCCGCCGCCAAAAAGAATGAAGAAATCACTCCATACTCCTCCACTTCACCTCGCCGAATTTACTCAGCGTATCCAGCTTGCCGTCGCCCAGCTTCACGCCGCCCGCCCGTATCACGCGCGGGTCGACGCGCAGCGTACTGGTCACGTCCTGGTGGGTGCGGATACCGGCGTCGTAGCGCAGCACGAAGTAGTGGCCGCGCGTGTGGCGCGTCTGGTTGCGGGAGATGGCGCGCGGCAGGTGGAAGACACCCCAGTTGGAGATGTCGCGGATCACACCGCCCTGGCGGAGGATGAGCTGGCCTGCGGCGAGGACGATTCTGTTGTTTGGTGGGGTGGTGGTGGTGGTTAGCGGGTGAGTTTTGAGTTTGAAGGGGGGGCGGGGGAAGTTGTTGGGTGAATCTTGGTGGTGGTGGGAGGAGGGGAGTCGGCTAGGGTGGTTGGATAGAGAAAAAGAGAGAAGCATCGGCGAGGAAGAACGGGTTGGGGTTCAGGAAGGGTTAATGTACTCTTTCACCTCGTTCAGGTTGCCCGGGCGGACCTGCGATGCGATTGCCGTTAGCGCTGTGCTCCGCTAGATATTGCAAGGTCGTCAGGTTGAAGGCGAGTGAGTACGTACAATGCCAATCGTCTCATACAGCATTGTAAGGGTCGGCGAGGTTGTGGTGTATGTATGTGGAGGAGTTGGACCCAAAGTCGCGGCTCTGCGACTCGCCACTCGAGCAATCGGACCTGGAAATTTTGGCGGCATGTTCCGGTATTCTGCCCCTCCTTCCGCCACACCGCTTTACGTCTGGCATGAAAGGACCCTAACCCTGGTCCAGCGTGGAGACTTTGGTTCTAGATTTCTCTCGCTCCTCTATGTTCTACTTCAGCTTATTAGGGAGAATCAACAACTACTACGGATAGGTACAGCAGTAGCGAGTATGGTATCACTCCTGTAACGAACAAGGGGTATTGTGGACACACTGAGGTCCAGCTATCTACTTGACCTTACATGTCTCTCTCAGGCTTACTCTGCATACAGCACAGTACATTGACTACAGTAGAGCACTTACACAATAATATACTAACACAACGCGAATATTCAGAGAGCTGACCTCAAGTTGGCAACTGCTCAGCCTGGTGAGGGATTTTTCAGCCCTCTATCTCCTTCGTCTCAACTTGGAGAGCCCACCCTGATCATGAATGCGCGGGACGGAGGGACCAAGTCAACCTTATCCCTGCATTATCACACACACACATCCGCACATACACGGCTCAAAAGCGTGATAGCAGAACCCTATAAAGCACCCAGACATGCTGACTTACAAGCAAGCAAGCGCGTGGCCGAGAACCCAGACTCCAGCATCCATCGAACCAAAACCGCAAGGTAAGGTATCTAAAGACAGCGCAGCAGCGGTGAGAGAAGATTCAGAAAACGAAAAAGGAGTGTCAGACTATCAGTAGAAAGAAGAAGAAAAAGAAAACGCAACGCTAATCCAGGCGTCTAAGAAGAACAAAACAATATCACTAGCCCCTTCTTTGCCAAGTGGAAGTATTAATAGGGGCCACCCCTCTATCCATTGTCCATTCTCCGTTATCCATCCCATCCATATTCCATATCCCACGTTCGTACGCCACCCCTCTGGCAGAACGGCTTCCGACTCTCAAAATGGCCGGACCTCACACTCAGGGGATAGGGCGTCAGATCTGTCGAGGGGATCCTGATGGGTGTGTGTATGTGTGTATGTATGTAAAATCACTTCTTCCCCAAAGACTTATGCTTGCGGGATCTTAGGTCGTACACCTGGGCGGCGGGCTCGTCGTCCAGCCGTTCCCCCGACGGCGACAATGACGACGACGACTAGTCGGCCTCGGAGCCGGGGAGGGTCTCAGGCCGGGTCGAGTTCCATATGACGTCGATGTAGTCGCTGCTTGATAAGGGGAAAAAAGGTCTTTTAGCTCCTTGAACTCGTATACAGCACCAGGCATCATCACCATTATTAGGCGAGACTCAAGGGGGAAAAGAAAAAAGAAAATAAAAGAACTTACTCGCCCACCTCAACAAGCCTAACCTGCTTCTCCTCCTTGAGAAATCTCAAAAACCTGCGCTTCGTCCTCTCCCGCTTGAACTGCGCCATGACATCGCCGCGCGGGTGCAGATCGACGCCGTCCTTGCCCGGCTTGTGCTTGACAACGACCCTGGTACTGCCCCTCGCGAAGAGCACCTCCTCGATGTCGGGCGGGTTGAGGTGGAAGTTGTAGGGCTCCATGAAGACGGCCCAGTTGGTGGGACGCACGCTCTCGAGCACCTGGTGCTCGACGATGCGGTCGGCGATCTTGCCCTTGCGCACCCAGTGCCAGTACTGCGTCACGCCCGGGTTGCTGGCGAAGGTGCGCGTCTTGACCTGGTACAGCCGCCAGTCGTCCTTGGTCAGCGGGTCCTCGCTGATCGAGTCGGACGACGTGTAGCCGTCGTACTCGAGCGCTGAGGCCAGGGAGGAGGTCCTCCGGTGCTGCTGCGGGGCCTTTTCGTCCATGGCCGAGGGCGGCACCGGCGTGTTGAGGATGATGCGCGGCTTCTTGTATGCCGGCGAGGTCTCGCTGCCCGACTGGCTCTGGCCGTTTGTGACGATCTTGATCTTCTTCGGCTTTGCCTTCTCCGCCGCGGGAGACGCTTTGCCCGCGGCTACGGCCTTGGCCTTGCTCGGCGTGGACACGGCCGCCGTCTCGGGGGTGGCGTGCGGCTCTTTGCGCTTAGGCGGCCGAGGAGCACTCTTCTTGGTGCTGCTGATGCCGGATCCGGACTCGGCAAGCCTTTTCTGGGTGACGTGGGCCGGGGGTCGGCCGACGCGGGGGAAGCCGTTCCTGTCGCGGAGCTGCTCCAGCTTGTGGTCGTGGTATGCCTTCTCCAGCCAGGTGGCCAGGTTGAACTTGTCTCCCCTCTCCGTGAGAACCTCGTGCAGGCGCTGGCGCAACCACTCGGACGGCTTGACATCGAGCCCCATCTTGGGCAGCTCCTCGAGCAGGAGCTGTGCCAGCCGGAACAGCGTGTCGTAGTGGGTGAACTTGGGAGTGATGTAATCCTTCCCCACAAGCTGATACGGATGCAGCTCACCCTCTTCCAGAAACCGAAGTATGGTACGGCCGCGCTTGGCGTCTCTATGAGCCAAGTGCTTGTCCCTGTGCGTTGAGCCGGACTTCTCTAGCTGTTCGTAACGTTCTTGGTGCCTCTTCATGATCGGCTCCACAAGCTTCTCAATGGGCTCCCAGTCCTTGTCCCAGTACGGGTGCTCCGGCGTGATCTTCTCCAGGGGCACCCCGCGCAGCAACGGCGGGTCTGTGAAGACAACCCCGTCGTCCCGGAGGCAGAGCACATCTTTGGTGATTTCCGGGAGCTGCTCGTCTGCCTGGAAGGATGCATTCTGCGGTGTCGAAGGCCTGGGTTTGTTCCGAGCTGATGGAAGCGACTTCCGGGGCGCCTTCTTCGGCGTCCCGGGAAGGATCTCCTTGGCCTCCTCGTCGTCGCTGTCTTCCTCCTTTGCCTTGCCCGTTTGCTTCGCCGTCTTGCTGTTCACAGCCGTGAACCCGCCACTGGACACGCGTGGCTTAGCTTGGTTGGTTTGGGACTTGCCGGTTGTGTTGCCCTTGCTCGGGAGAGGTTTACGCGAGGTCGAGGGCGCTTCCAGAGAGGCCCCGTGACAGCGGCGCTTGTTCCACTCGCAGTTTCCGCATCGATTAAACTCGGCGTCGTCGACCATGACACAGCCCTGGAAAGGTCCGTGGTTCAGCGCACAGTCGGCGCACGGCCGGGCTTGCTCCTCCCCAGTAGCTTGGACATACAAGCTGATAAACTTGAACGCCCGAGCGTCGCTGGTCTCGGGACGCGGTACAGCGTCAAGGTCCTCGGCGGAGAACTTCTTAGTCGGACGAAGCTCGAGTTGGCGCTTAATGGGCCGGATGGTGAGGCGGCTCATGTAATAGTTGTCGATGTCGGGCGGTTGTATAGTTCCTATGAGCTCGCCCGATGCGCTCAGCACCTCGACCCCGGCCGAAGCGATATTTACTGGGCTTGGCGGTTGGCTTGGTGCCACGGCCATCAGCTCTGGAGTATCCAACGTCGGAGTCGTGTGGCGCGAGCTGAGCTCCGACGACGATGAGGGCGAGGGTGCTGCCACCACCATTTGCGCGGGCTCACTGGGATGCTTGCCAGCAATAATATCTACGACCTTCTCAGACTGTTCCTGAACATCGCCCATCTCGACGTCCATGTCGGCGAGCTCGGCCGCGTGTTCGACAGGTGGCTCGGTATGAGTGGTTTCAGCAGGCGTGAGATCGTCGATAGCAGCATCTTCACGAGGATGGCCAGATGTAGATATCTCGGAGGGCCTGGGTGACAAGGTCGTCAAGTCGGCGCTTGGCTCCATAACATCGTTCATGTTCTCAGCGCCGCCAACCGCGTCGATTCCGTTGGGCCTGTCTTCTTCTTGAGGGATAGCAACCTCCATGCCATGTTGGCTGACGAGCGTCTGCTGTTCATTTCGAGTGCTGGCTGGCTCCCCACCATTCGGTAGTTCGCTCTCGTCGGGCCGGGCATCTTCCACGTGTTTGCTGTGTAGTGATGCGGCACTTGAATCTTCACCCGCTTGCTCTTCAGCCGGCGATTCTGTATCCGACACCTCTTTGTCCGGCACTTGGAGCTCACTAAGCGGTGCTCCGGCGTCGCGCATTTCACTATCACCATCCGAAGGCGTTGCCTGCTCTTGCCTGCTGGAGGGGGCCTCCGCGGTGTGCGGCAATGCCTCGTCGGCAGTCTTCCTCGAGAGAATCTCGTCGCTATACGTTGAGGTGTTGTCACTGTGCGGCGCGGGTGCGACATGCTGCTCCTCATCGGCAGGGCTCTCATCATTCACCGGCTCATCCTCCGGTGCTGCAGACTGCAAAGTTTGCTCTTCACGCCGGACAAGGACCTCAACCTCGCGCGGCTGCGCACTGTGCGCAACCGGCTCATGACGAGCACGCTTCTCTTCCTCCTCGGTCCTTCCCAGCTCTTGGTCTTGATCTTGGTCTTGGTCTTGGTCTTGGCCTTGGTTGATACTAGCGTGGTGCTGTGGTTGATGTTGGTCCTGGTCCTGGTCCTGGCCCTGAGCTCGGTCTTGCTCCGCTTCACTCTCCGCCTCCTGCTCACTGGCATCCCTCTGCGCAACGCGATACGCCAAACCCCCCCGTCGAAACCGCCTGAACCACTGGCGTCGGTCCTCATCCTCAGCCTCCCTCTCTCTCTGCCTCTCGCGCATGACCGCGTCGAATTCGCGGTCCAGCGCCTTCAACGCCGTCTCCTTGGCCTCGTACTCGGCCTTGAGCGCGTGCAGCTTGCGCAGCAGCTCGTGCTGCGCGTTGTAGTTGTCGACGAGCTGCGCCTTGAGCGCGGCGCTCTGGTGCTGGAAGTCGGCCTCGAGATTGCGGTCCTCCAGCTCCCGGTGCTGCCGCATCGAGTTGAAGTAGTTGGACTCGATCTCGTCCCACGTCGACTCATCTGGCTGCTGCTGCTGCATGCCGGCAGCCCCGGTGTCCATGGCTGCTGCGTGAGATATGTTGTAGTCTCAAGCTGATAATAAGAAGGGAGGTTTATTTGGATGGAGAGAATAATGGTGCTGCGAGTGATGTGAGTCTGGTGGCGATGAATGTAGTGAAGACTACAATTTTGATGGATGCAGTTGATGGAATCCCGTCGAAGTCGTGGCGCAGCATAGGTTCCAGGTTGGCTGGTGAGCCGCGAGCGCAATAGGTTGAAGAGGCGAATCACCGACTCGCTGCCTTCGTACGTGCTGACTTGACTAGGTACCTATGGATCAGCCGACTGAATAATCCAACCCTCTACAAATGCTGGGCTTACCTGTGCTGTCGGCTAGCTAACTAGGCTCGCTCTTAAGGGATGATTCTTGATAGGTCGCGTTGGTTACCGGGTATGGGAAGCGCGACCGGGGATAGGATGTAGGGAAGGCAAAGCGGCGGAGTGGAAAAAACTTTTGATTTTACGCGCAATCGGCCGCTTTGACAAACCCCGATGCCTGTGAACCCTCGGAGAGCACGGGCTGTCGTCATCGGCAGGAGACCCGGTCGATCTAGGCACTTGCGTTGCCACGGTCAACTAGGTTGGATGTTATCAGGCTACGTAGTACGTAACACGCCTCTTGACTCAGTACGAACCGCCTGAATATTCACCTATAAAGTAGACGGCGTTATTAGCATGGTCCGGTGACCAAACCACGAACAGGTCATGAGAGGGCTGTTCGCGGAAATGCCTCCCTACCTGGGCAGCATGAAGCGAGGTTTGTAATGTTTCAGGATTGTTCAACAAATTTGCCGTGTTGAACTGAAACTCCCTTTGAAGGTAGGCGACGCGTACCTACTAGTCACAGCTAGGTAGTCGGTACCAGAGAGGTATTTGGGAGAGCTCGTCTCCAAATTTGCCGAATCACCGGTTCTATGGCGCTACTCGGTTATTCGCTGCCGATAAAGCCATAGATAGGGCGACTATCCAAGGGGATGATGGGTGGAAAGATAGTGGGCGCGTTATGGTTTGGATCTGACTGATCACTTTGAAATTATGTTTCGGGAAAGATCGAGCTGAAAAGTGGCCCTTGAAGCCGGTGGATTGTCGGACTATTTGCAGCCCACCGCCTAGGAAAGGTAAGATAAGCCCGAACTAGGTCCCTAGGTTGGCATTTGCCATTTGGAATCTTGGAGAAGCGAGTCAACCTAGGTTGCCCAGATTATTAGGCTTCTTGGTATCCGATGTTGCACAGCACAAATACCGAGCAGAATTTCGGTTGGACCAACCATGTCAGAAATGAGTTCTGTCGAGTCGAAGAGGGGGGTACGGAATGACAAAGTCACAATATATAGATACAGTTTCTTTTATGCTTTCTTGTTGGTCGCAACCAACAGTCTTACGCTGCCAATGGTCTATTATTTCTCATACGCTCGCTGCAGTCGCAGCCGCCACTGCGCCACCAGCTGACTCAAGCGGACCCCCAAGTGCAACAATAGAGAGTTATTAATATAAGCTGGCTAGTTGTATACGGAGAAAGGATGTAAAGAGGAGGAAATGCGCGCAAAGCGGTATTGCCAAAAGTGTCGTGTCGAATCCCAGGTTTTCATCCCCGCCGACGATCACCATATCACTCTTCCAGCCCACTCGAGCGCCATTCCCACAAACCCATAGCCAACGCCAAAGGAAGCAGCCAACACGCTGATGCTGGTGAAACAAAGAAACAAGGTCATTGCATGCATGGCATTCCCGCCACTAAGAAACCGAGGAGCTGCGGTACAGTTCCGCCCTAGCCCGGATTTCCTCGGTTCCTAACAGCGCCTCGCAAAGCATATTGGGAGCAGCCTAGTACCGCGAATGGCGGTTCGGACTTGGGGAGTATGCGCTCTCGTACGCAACCGGAGTCGACTGGCCGAAGGGGTCGTCGTGATAGACCGTCGCCCTCCGGTCCTCCTCGGGCAGCAGTTCCTTGACCTCCCAGTTGTTCATGCGGGTGCCGACCGAGAATTCCAAGTCTTCCTTGGTGATCGAGTCCCAGTACTTGTACACCATCATGACAGCGAGCAGGTTGCACGTGGTGGCGAAAAAGAGGCCATCGAGGTAGTGGCTGACGGCTTCGCAGATGGGCGCGCTGGCCGCGTACAGGATCACCTGCCCGACGACGAAGAAGAAGACGCCAAAGGCAATGTCGCCCAGCGGCCATCGGTCCTGCAGCGTGCGCGCCACCAGCAGAATCTGCAGCACCACATAGACGAAGAGCTGCACCGCGTTGAGCAGGTACAACACCACGAAGAGGCCGACAGTGTTGGTCGGTCCCAGTCCAGCCCACGTCTTGAAGGTGGCCAGCGAGACGAGGAAAGTGATGGCGAAGGCGGCGGCCGAGCAGAGGCGCATCATCCAGAGCGAGAGCGGTGTGCCGTCCTCGTACAGCTGGAACCCGACGAAGCCATTGATCATCAGGCACGTTACTAGCGCGGAGCCGAGGCCGGCTTGGACGGCGACGAAGTAAGGGTAGGGTGCCGATCCCGGCGGTATTACGCCGGCGTCGATGCAGAGCGACAGGAAGGTGAGGAGCATGTAGAGGTAGAAGAAGGTGGTGATTTCCTTTCGGCCTGCGCAAAACCAGCTCGTATCAGCAACTGACCTCTCCTATTCATGATGCTTTCGCAATGACAACCGGGCGGGGCGGCCTACCAACTGCCGTAAACTTCCCCCGCACATGCAGGATCATGACCACCGTCATGACGAGCGCGACGATGTGCATTGCGCTGGCCGCGCCCTGGAAGATGATTGTGTTTGCCAGCTCAATGTTCCGCGCATAGCAGTCCGGCTCTATCCCCACGCCGCTCGCGATCGACGTGATGGGACCTATGTTGGAGCATAGTGGCAGCGGTGCCATATGGCAGATGCCGTCGAAGTCGCCGAAGCCCATGGCTGGAGAGGGGAGGCCAGTCGGGCCCCGCCGTGGAGTCTCGAGGAGTTCGGAAAGAGCTGTCGGATGTGAGGGCTAAGAGAAGGTGTCACTGCGGGGTGGCGTGAAGGTCGGCGACTCGAGGTCGGAGACGGCGTGGTATCTTCGTAGCCCGACCTAGGAAAGTCAGGCGCGAAGATCCGGATTGTCTCGCAAGACGTTTCGGCGATGCCAACCCGGAAGTGGTGCGATGGGTCAGGTCGGAGGTGTGTGCGTCGTCGAGTAAAGGATAGAGGAATAATAACAATTATTGTCGAGCGAGGGTGGGGTTAACGAAAGTGTGATACATCAACGAACGGATAGAAAAGCTTCATAACGTTAGGCCATCCCAGCAATGCGGTTGCTCCGCTGTTGGTGCGCGCGGGAAGAGGCTGGGTCGACGGAGGGATTTCGTTGCCGTGGAAAAGGAGAGCGGCGGAGTCTGCTGGCCCAGAGTCACCGACACCATGCTGGCCTTGATTCGACCCACTCGCTGCATCGAATCGAATCTGTCTCGCCTAAATAGCCTGGTGCGGCAGGAGCTCGCTGTCATTGGCTTGCGCCTACGCTGCTCCATCTGCAACTTCACGACCCGGAAGTAGGGTTGCACTGTTTTTACTGACAATTTTTACGGTTCGGTAAAAACGTGAAATATCCTGTAAAAAAGGATGTTTTCTGGGTTCATTTCAGGTTAGGGTTATATATAGGTAAACCCCCCCTGCTTCTTGTTTCAACTACCAGTCACCACCAAGACTACCTAGCGAGCCTAGGCACCTACCATACAAACTCGCAAAGATTATGGATGCTACCTTACGTAGGGCTGTACAAAGGTGGATGATAGGCTGACTGAGTGCTGCGGGTAATCTGATTGGTTGCATATTGCTGTCAAAGCCCGTGCTTTCAGCGTCATCCGCGAGCTCGAGACTACGGAGATGATCAGGAAGGCTGCTTCAGCCTCGGTCCGGGCCAATCAGATTGCCTATAGCGCTGAACTAACCTATCATCCACCCTTGTGCTAGCCCAAAGACCGCATCCAGCTATAGCCACCAATGAACCCTCCCTCCGTTCTTTTGTGGTACTAATCCAGTGTGTTGGTTTTTGTGATCTCCGACCATCTCATCTTGAGAACTCCTACTCCATGGTGATGACCGCCCTGAAACGAACACTGCCGCTGTTCATCGCATCTACAAATACATTCATTAGTGTTGACCAAGAAAGGACTGCTCCCAAGAACCTTACCAAAGGCCTCGTTCGCCTTCGCAAGCGGGAACTTCTGGATCATGCAGTCGACGCCTTGCAGCTGTGTGAACTTGATGGTCTCTTCCATATCTGTTGCGTGTCCAGTTGGCCACGCGTGGACGGCCAATCCTCTGTTGACCTGGAAAGAAAACTGTTAGTACACGCAATACCATTGACCTGCGTCTCGAGTAAACGTACCATGGTGATAGTGTCGAAGGTGATATCCCCCACGACTGCGCCCCCACCCTCCAAGTTAGCCTTGCTTTGCCCCCGACAAAAGATGAAAAATAATGAGTCACGTACTCGGCAGAATGAGCAGCTTCCCCATCGGCGCCAGCCCCTTGACCAGCTTCGATATCCCCTCCGGATCAGGGCTGGTCGTCACAACGAGCGCCGCGCCGCCCAGCTCCCTCAGCGCTTGGCCGGCGTCGACCTTGTTGGTGTCGATGTACTCGTGAGCACCCAGCCTCCGCGCAAACTCCTCCTTCTCGGTGCCGCGCGAGATAGCAACGACGCGGTAGCCGAACTTCTTGGCGTACTGGATCGCCAGATGGCCCAGCCCGCCAAGCCCCTGCACGGCGGCCGTCTCGCCGGGGCCGACGTTCATGTGCCGCATCCCGTTGAACACGGTCACACCGGCACAGAGGATCGGCGCGTACTTGGCTGCGTCGACGTCGTCGGGCACTTGGACGCCGGACTCGGACCGGACGATGACGTATTCCGCATCTTGTTATTAAAAGTTCCGCTGGTTAGCCCGGGAGTAAGTGTTGGCCAGGGATGAGTGGATGCTGACTTACACCCGCCGTCCTTGGTCACTCCGTGGATAGCTTGGTTGTCGCACATCTGGAACAGGCCCTTCTTGCAAGATCCACAAGTGCCTTTGTGGATTTTGGTTTGTCAGTCGAGTACTGTCCTCAAGTTCCTCCTGTACGAAGCGTTGCGACTCACCATCGTGGCCACCATGCCAGCCCGCTCCGATGCGGTCGCCCACCTTCCAGGCCACGACATCCTCGCCAACGGCGGCAACACGGCCAATAACCTCATGTCCCGGTACCAGGGGGCTGAGACGGGATACCTTTGTCAACAATCTTCATACCCGTCGCAAAGCCTTTGATGACACTTACAAACCAACACCAAAGGCATTGTTCTGGGGCAGTTTGTCCGAATGGCACACACCACAGGCCTCCACTTTAACCAGCACCTCGTTCTTGCCAGGCGGCTGCAAAGGAACGTCCTCGAGGCGAAGATTCCCGCCGGCCTCCGTGAAGGCGGCCCGCTTGTACGTCTTGGGCAGAGTCATGGCGTACGGTGCTGGCTTGACTGTCTCGAGAAAATGGATGATGGGATGGTTTACACATATACACACACCCAGTATCGAGAGGGAAACCTTCTCTTATTTATTAACAAGTTGTGAGGTTCCTCTCACTTTCATGGAGGTCCAGATGATTGCAGCTCGCCTAGCATACATGCATGATACGAATATCTAAACATTCCGAAAACACGCCCACAAGTTCACGATTGTCTTTCCAAGGCTCTGGCCAGATCGTCATTGTGATGAACGCATTGACGACCCCCGGCCGCTTCCGTTCCCCGCCAATTGCGTAGCTTGCATGACGGCATCAGATGCAGCGATAGCAAGCCCCAAGCCCAAGGACACCGAGACATATCCAATGAACAAAGACATGCTGGGGCTCCCCTTTCAGGCTCCTGTGTAACTAATCAACTCAAAACCAACAGATAAGACAGTAGATGTTAGCATTTACCCACATGGTTCACTTGTTTAGTTTAGAGTACTGCTTACTATTCAGAGAATTCCAGGAGCCCCCTTAGTAAGTGCCTGCGTCTATAGCACTTAAGTCTAAGGGGAATCGGGATAAATAAGAGTGCTTGGCAAGGCCAATACAACCTTGCGTAACGCTAAGAATGCATAGAATTACTAGCTGGCCGCGCGCGTAAATAAAACGGTTGAAAGTCCGCCGGGTCTGAATACTAATCAAGAATGCGTCAACCCTTCACAAAAAAACAGATCAATCAACGGACAAGCCGGGTAGGTAGGTAACCCACGGGTCTCCGTCGTAACCCGCTGCCTAAGAACCGGGCGGGGTCGTGGAGAATGGAGATTCGATGCGGGCAGAACTCCCGACTGAAGGCCGAGGGTTTCTCGATGCCTCATAGCTCTCTCAGGAGTCAGACAGGACTTAAGACGTTCGGAAGGAGGCTAGCGCTAGTTAGTGGAAGGAACGCGCGACGGGCCTCGATTACCGGGCAGCGCTTTGATGGTTAGGACGATATGCGTGGGAGTCGGTGTGACGTGTCCTCTACTTGCATTCTCTGAAGTCTGAACCTATCCCATTGCAGCAGGCCAAGGATTTGTTACTCTCCAGAGACCAGAAGACCACAGGCTCGTCGCGGCGGCAGTATCGGCCCTCAAAGTCTCATGATCTGTCCTGCGATGTGTAGAGGATGAAGCCCTGGATGGGGTCAGCCCAAGCTACCTACACAAGTCGCTTGGAAGTAGGAGGGCTTACAAGGAATGGTGAACATTATGGACCGTAAGAGTCCCGGTGTCCAGGAGGCCACAAGGGGCTCATTGCCGTAGCGGAACGAAAGCCCGACGCTCTCAAGAAGAAAGTTTGTTGTTACTTCCAAGGCTTGATCCCAAGTCCAGGGCCGGGCAGCAACAGAGCTTATATACATTTTAGGCCGTGAACTGCGAGCGGAGCGGACGAGGGAACATTGGAGGCAGCGGAGGATTTCAGCGGTACCTTGATGGCCAGATGACACAAACCTGACGCCCCAGTTTAATTTAACCTCAAGATCGTGATCAGATGACGGCGGTGGTCTTGAACCGGTGTCGGAGGTAGGTAAAGGCTTGTTTCCCCGCCGCAACCATCCGCATCTACATGTATAATGTATAGTATGTCCAGTCCCAACGCGACTACCTTAGGGTAGCCCGGCCCTCTCGTCTCAGCTGCGAAGGAAAATGCTGGTAGATGAACATGACACCAGAGGGGGGGAGTAACATGTAACAGTTACGATCTAATAGTTGAGCTAATGTGGGGGGGACATAGCAGTTGAAGACGCGCTCGAACCTCGGTTCTGCGAGATGATATCTTTAATGCTCCCCAACATGTCCTTCTCACAACGGGTACGGACCCGTACCGGGTCACCAGTGCAAACAAATTAGAGCTAGAACCCAGAGGGAAGAATCCAAGGACCAGTTCCCAGAACGGTGAATGATTTGGGTAGGTTAGAAAGGCCTGGTGTCCTGATTACGGAACTTATCGTATATATGATTCGAACCTTGTAATGAACTGTGGCACAACATGTCTAATTTCTCGTTCTCATAGGTATCCTCGGGTTCGTTCCTTGGGGTCTACGCTAGTCTATGAGAACAGCGTGAGATTAGATTCATGTCCAAAGATCCCCAAACCCCAATGTGATAGTCTCTGTCATGCCATTTGACCCAACTATTCTATCAACCTTACCTGGTACACAGTTAGCAAGCTTGAGTCTGGTGTCTCACGGCCTTATGTTGTCTACTGTTGTGGTCTGGCAACTGGCCGCCCTCTCCCGGCCTGCTACTTCTACGTACTATGGACGTTCGGACCGTCATGGTACGTACAGCTCTGTCCCACATGAAACGCTGAGACCAAAACATCCAGGGCCACCGCCCTGAGATCATCGTTGGTAAATGCTTGTTGGAGGCGTGGATCCTTTTAGCTGGCGCAGATGTGACTTCAAGATGATGACCAACAAAACCGTGCACGGTACACGTAGGGCAGGGCAAGCTTTGATAGCTGCAAGTGGTCCCTCTGCGGAGTTCTTGCTGGCCAGGACCGCTTTCGGGACTGTAAATTTCGGGGTTGAGTATCTCTCTCAGGGTTTGGCTCACGCACTCTGTGTCCCAATCCGTCTGTTCCCAGATTACTTGACAAGAATCAAGACGAATCTCGGAGCTAGGAGCCTAGCTCTCTATGTGTACCTTAGTGTATGTACCGAGGTGATCCCCTTAAAAGTTCACTTCCTGCAAAGACGAAACCTACCTCGACTTACTACATGACCTATGACGTCACTGCAGGGGCAACCTTGCAGATATCGAACTCGGCCCGCGACTTCTCCCCCCTGTTCTCGTCCGCTTCGTTGAAGTCCATGGGGTGCGCTCATAGGGTAGCAACTCACAGGAGATTGGGCTCACAAGGGTGGATGGAAAAGGAGAGGGAAAAAGGACCAGAAAAAGTTCTGATGCGTTCATGCATGCAAAGCGGGTCCAGCACATCCCGGTTGCTCAGGCGTTCGATACCTGATGAGGCGAATTCGGCGTGTCCGGCCATCGGCTTTTGCTGAGAACGCGCGAGCGAGGGCTTCTACGAAGTACAGGTGTTTCATCAAGGAAATCCACCGCTCCCATCTGAATGGGAATGGACGCGAATGGCTCTTCGGCATGAGTATTCGAGGCATTGGTGCGTGAGCGAATCGCATCTCAGTTGGCACCGGTCGTAGTGTACGCTGTTGTTGCTGTGCCTTGAATTTGGGCTCGGCCAGGGTTTCGCGCGGGGGCCTGATTGGAAGCCAACTCCTCGCGGCGCAAATTGTCGTCGCTGGTGCATGGAGCGTTGCCAGAAGGCCAACATGATGGGTTTTTGTGTTGCTTTGGCGTCCAGGCATACTCAGCTGACCTGACTGGAAACGTTGCTTAGCTGGTCTTATTAGGACTCGCAATACCTTCAGATGACAAAGGAAGTTGAAAGGTCCGGTAGGCGCGATGCGATCATTCGGGCCAACGGTCGCTAATAAAAGCAGTTTTACACTTGCCCCGCCATGCCGACCACCAACTTCCCGGGATACCGATATTGAATTGCAGGGACCCTTGTTAGAAATACATCATCCTGCGCTACGAGGTGCAGATCTCGGGCTTCCGACGGGAATTGCCATTCTTGCCATTGCTTGGACCCTTCGATGGGCGCCGACTCTGCAGCATTTCTCGGTATCTTGTGATCTATACTGTAACCCAACTATGACCGCTTGAAGATATTGCCTGCCGCACTGGCTGCGTGCAATAACCACCTACCTTACCTACCTGGTAGGTACCTATCCACACGATATCCCGACGGCGAATTATTTCCACCCCCATCGGACACCACTCCGGAGCGCTGTCACTCACAAAAGTTACCACCACCTCCCGCCTTGACAGACATCCTTGTGTCCTGGACGCAGTACTCTACTGCACGTGCCTCCCAAGACGCCCCTGTGGCTGCTCGAGTCAGTTGGCGACCGACAATACACGGCCGCCTCACACTCGAGACATATTGTCAAGCGCAAGCGCGCGGCGTTGCAGACAGATCGATCGTGCCGCCCCAGCGATCTGGCACAGCCAAACGGCCCAACATTCCGACCTCCAGTTGGTTCTTTGAGAGATTCAGGAACTACACCTCGACGCATTCCAGGGCTCCTGTTCTAGACTTCGACGTTCACAGACACTTGCCCGGATCTGGCAAGACAAGAGCAGCGAGACGCCAAACACCACCACAAAGCGGGAAGTTAATGACACAGAGGCATACAAAGTAATGAGCGTGTTACTGTTATAACTCTGGTGCCAGAGGTACGTGCTTCCCTTCCGCATTCGTTGTCCCGCTCGCCGTTTGCACCCCAAGAGCCCCTGCACATCACGTCAATTCGCCTTCCTCCCTTCAAGTTGTGCATACCGCCCTTCTCAACACGCATCTTCCCTGTCAACATCACCCACCATGACTGTCGGCCATGGTCCGCCACCTAAGACGTCGCCAGCCTGGCCCACCTGAGGGTTATGCACATCGATGGCTCGCCTCACCGACACCTCCCGGCGCATTGCACCTCATTTCTCGCCAGGACCACGCTGTCGCGGGGCACACGCGCCAGCCCCTCTCTGCCTTCAGCGTCGCTCCCGGCCTCGCCTTGTTCGACGCCGAGGAGATCTCCAGTGCCTTCATGTCCGGCTCCTGTGCGTTTGGGCGGCTGTCCTCCTACACACTTACCCTCGATCCCCTCCCCGATTCTCTCCTCCGTCCATCTTGCGCCGGATACAAATATGCCCGGCCCCCTTACCCCCTTCAGCCACCATTGCCCAGATGCCGTTACGATTAGGTTCCGTTTCTAACGGTGCCGCCACCCACTATCTAGGTCCAGAACACAGCCGACCACGATCCCGTCCTACCTCTGCCGCTTGCCCCAGCTTCGTCTACTATTCGCCAAGACGACCGGCCGAGCGCAGGCGCCGTGCCGACTCGGGAAACTTTCCCGCCCCGCTGATCGGCCCCCGCCAACGCCGTCCACACTCTATACACGTCATCTCATACCCACCCGGCTTTGTGCCGCACGAGTTGCGTCCAGACTCGCCACAACGGATAACAAGGCGAGAGAGGCGCGAGAAGAAGGAGAAGCAAAAAAGAGAAGCGAAGGAGCGGAAGAAGCAAGAGAAGGAACGACGAAGAGCGGAAAAAGAGCGTAGCGAGAAACAGGAAAAGAGACGGTCTCTACGGTCCCTTCCGCCGGGCAGGGAGAGAGTCGGCAGAGTGCTCGATAAGATCTTAGCAGCTCTTCCGATCACACTGAAGCCGTCGCCCTCGGTCTCTGCGACCCCGGCTGCGAGGTCTCGCCCATCGAGTTTCTCCAGTTTTGCCAGGAGACTATCTCGGCTTGAGCCGACTGCGCCTGAACTGATCTCCGTCGACGAGCCAGCTACCGAGCCAATTGCTGCGGCAGTTGCCGAGCCGTCCACCATGGCCGCCGCCAGCGTTGTCCGATCCGCGACCATGGGCACTGTTCCCCAACAGAACCGGAATAGCATAATGTCGATGCGGTCAGCGAAGACGATGATGAGCTCGTCCGTCTCAGAAGTCCAAAAGCCCGTGGCGTCAGGCAGCGGCCTGACCTGCTCCATCCTGCTGGCGGAACCCAACATTTTCCTCACCGGATTTGACCACGACCACCAGACACGACGCGGAGGGCAGAGCACGAGCGCCTTGCTCCGAGGGAAACTGCAGCTGAACGTGTCTAAGAACGTCAAAATCAAGTCCGTGACGCTGCGGCTGGTCGGAAAGGCAAGGACAGAGTGGCCCGAGGGCATCCCGCCGCAGAAGACGGAGTACTTCGAGGAGCAAACGCTGCGCACGCAGTCGCTCATCTTCTTCCATGCCATGCAGGAAGGAATGTGGGACACCGAGTACGGCAGCCAGTGCACCTACACCCACAAGGGCGGCGGTCTCATAGGCGCTCTGCAGCCCACGTCGTCCAGCGCATCTATACACCTTCTCGGAAAGGGCCGCAGCCACACGCTGACGGCCAAGGAGCTCAAGCGTCTCTCTCTGCAGTCCGTGAACTCGCGCAGCTTTGGCAAGGGCGAGAATCCCCATGTCAACTCGGTCCAAGCCAAAGGATACAAGATCTTCCGGCCCGGCACCTACGAGTATGCCTTCGAGCTGCCCATCGACCACCACCAGCTCGAGACCGCGAAGCTACAGTACGGATCGGTGCGCTGGGATCTCGAGACGACGGTGGAGCGTGCCGGCGCCTTCAAGCCCAACCTCCATGGCAGGAAAGAGGTCATGATTGTCCGTGTGCCGGACCAGATGTCGCTGGAGACGGTCGAGCCAATTTCGATCAGCCGGCACTGGGAAGACCAGCTGCACTACGACATTGTCATCTCGGGAAAGAGCTTCCCGATCGGAGGGAAAATACCCATCGCCTTCAAGCTCACGCCGCTCGCGAAGGTGCAGGTGCACAAGCTCAAAGTCTTCGTGACCGAGAGCATCGAGTACTGGACCAACAACCGCCACGTGACGCGCAAAGACCCTGGACGCAAGCTTCTCTTGCTCGAGAAGACGGCGGGCAAGCCGCTGGATAAGCAGTTCGCCGCGAGCGAGGTGCGCGTCCTCTGCGGTGGAGAACTGGACCCGGAGCGGCGCGAGGAGGCCAGGCGAACGGCAGCGCGCCGAAGGATGCGAGAGGCTGCCAGAACCCGTGGGGTTCCCGAGCCGTTGCCGGAGCCCAGCGATAACATTCTGGGCGACTTGGATTTGGGTCTCGAGAGCTTTTGGGGCAGCACCGAGATGGAGATGAACGTGCAGCTTCCCACCTGCGAGACGATGGCCCGTGACAAGACGGTCCGGCTACACCCAGATTGCAGCTGGAAGAACGTGAATGTGTACCATTGGATCAAGGTCGGTTTACCCTCTTGACCCACCCAGTATACGGCTGATGCTGACGATGCACACAGATTGTCATGCGCATTTCGCGTGCCGACCCCGAGGACCCCACTGGCAAGCGTCGGCGGCATTTCGAGATCAGCATCGACAGCCCGTTCACTGTTCTCAACTGCCGTGCTACGCAGGCGAATACGGCATTGCCGCAGTACCGCGGCAGCGATGGACCGATCCCCGAGCAGCGGCAGCAGATGTCGTGCGGGTGTCCCGACGCCCAACCCCTCGACCCGAGCTCTGCCGGCGCGGGCGGAACGTTAGCCATGATCGAGGAAGACCTCATCGGCCTCAGCGGCCGCCGGCTTCGTCTTGATTGCCCTACACAGCCAGGACTACCCAGCCTGCCCCAGGCTGCCCATCTTCAGCCTGATGCGAGGAGCCAGAGCACCCCCTCGTACCGGGCTCGGCCAGAGACATCGCTTACTCCGGTCGAACCGGAACGACCAATCCACCTGATTCGACACCCCTCACACAACCCCCCGGCGTTCAACGACGACGAGCCGCCGCCGCCATTGCTAACACCGCTCCAAACGCCGCCGCCGAACTACGACCTCATCGTCGGCACACCGAGCGTGGACGGACTGGCGGATTACTTTGCCCGGCTGCAAGAATACGAGAGCACGCACATGTCAGGGGCAAGAGACGGCGACGGGGCCGGAAACGACGCCCAAGTAATTCCCGACGCGCCGGACAACGACAACGACAGCGACAACGACAGCGACACCAACACCATCGGCCCAGACACAACTGCGACCCCGCCGGCCGCGGTGCAGGGGCCGGGGCAGGGTACCACGGCAGTAGCATCCCTAGACGTAGACCCGTTCAACAACCTCAATCTCAACCTCGCCCAGCAGCAGCAACAGCAACAACAACAACAACAGCAGCAGCAGCAGCAGCAGGAGCCATCCGTCGCAGCAGAGGAAGAACGAGCCGCCGTGACAGACGAGGATGACGACGCCTCGTCCGCGTCAGACAGCGCAGAGGACGACGACGAGGACGACGACGCCGAGGCGAGAGCGCACCGCAAGGGCCGCGTCAACGTGGCGAACCCGCGCACTCCCGGCGGCCGGCTGGTGCCGAGCAGGAGCTTGGAGATTGAGCGGCCGGCTGTGAGGCTCGATATGAGTGAGGTTTTGAGGCGGCGGCATGCAGCTTAGACTTAGGCTTAGGCTTCGGCTTAGGTTTAAAGTCGGCATCCGAGGAGATGAGGCACTGTTCGTGATCTGTATATGGCCGGCACCAACTGGACAACCTTAGGCAAAGGAGGTCAAGCCATGGCTGGCCAGGGGTTGGTAAAAAAGGGTACTTGTTGCAGGGGCAGTTGATGATTAGGGAAACATCCCGGTTTATTGAGGGTTGTTGGTCTTCTGCCTTTTGTGCTTTCTACTCACTCATGAAAAGAGAGAAAGGATAGGGTTTGCCTGTCTGAGCTTGGATGGGAGCATTGGTTTTTTTAATGACCTATATCTCGTGGTTGGGAATTTTTGCTTTTTACCCTAGGATGGTGGGTGATGAGGAAGACGGAGTTCTTTTTTGGATTTATTGGGCACATAGACAGACGGATGCTCGCCAGGGTTGTTGACGACGGGGGTTGATGAATGAATGGGAAGAATGACAAAGCACTTGGGAGCATGGCAGTGGAAGGGGGGCCCAGGGTACATCTGTTTTTCATGGCATATTAAATGATGATGCATATGGGCTTCAAACTTGTGTTGCATATACTAGTACTCGAGATATCCCACCTGTGGACGGTGGATGATAGATGGGGCGGTTGTAGCTTACGTCTGGGTGTTGGTTATGCATGGGCATCTACCTTTACTTACTAGTGGTTACTTGGGTCTTCACCAAACCGAGACGGAGTTGTTGTCCAGGTGGTTTTACGATCCTTCCCGTCTGATGGCCCGCCTAACCTCTCTGAAGTTACCATACGCTCTAATAGATACCACAGGTGGATAACAGCATTTCTCTCATCCTGGTGCTATATACGCACACGCGCTGGGCGAGCTCAGCTAGCTAGCTCACTGTTGACGTCGTCGGTGGATATATACTGCTGTCTAGAACATGTAGTGGGTGGGTTTCTCGATGCTTCAACCTTTGCAGAGGGCTGCTTCTTCTAAACGGAGTGAGGTATGTTACCCGATCAGGCAGTAATAAGGGTCAAGATCTACCAAAGGTCCAAATATGTCATGATGTGGCTACCTACAGTACCTTAGGTATGTAGGGAAAGATACTAGCAGCAAGAGGGGGGAATGTGCCGTGCAGTCAGCGAGTCAGTCACTCCTGGGAGACGATCATTTCCCATGACACAGTGAGAGTCCTTCCAACAAAGCGGGAGCACGATTTCCCATCGTGGCTTTCCAACACGAAGTAGGTAAGATACTGTATCCCTCCGTTTAAATGACTTCCAGTTGAGGTACTCAACGAAGGAAGTCCCAGACTCCTACTGGACGCAAGATTGAGGATTATTATCGCGATGTCGTAGCAGGATCTGTTGCGCACATGCGTTCTTTTGTGATGAGCTCATCATCGGTCATCGAGCTCTGATGCGGGCGTCGTCTCATCGGGAGAGCTGAATCAGCATCAAGTTGTCGATTGATACAGAAGTGGGGAGTAATCGATCTGCCTTTCCAGGCAGGAAAGGGAGATGATGATGACTTCGACTCGCCGGTCCACAAACCTCCTATAGGCAAAAGGCAGGAACCGGTGGCAGCTTTGCAGAATATTCTGTCAACTGTCAGTGAAGTCATGATTGTCACATGCAAATCTCAAAAACTGCCGTCGACGATCCTTCGTGGGGCTGGGTGTCGGGGTGTCTGGGTTTAACTCATTTCTGACATCACGGCAAGCGGACACCTCTCCGGGACACATCGGGAAGCGGTTATTCTGACTCTGAATGAGGGTCATGTTTATGCGTCTGTTGGTGCGCTCGCAAATGCTTGCGCCACGCCAATTCATCCCATTCCCAATCGCAGTCCACAGGCGCGTCAACGCTGCGCAATCGGCGGCAGACAGCCCGGCATTCTAGTTTAACACACACAGCGGTTGCTAACTCAACTGCCAAGTTGTGGATCCACTCTTCCAGTGTTGGCCTCTCCAGGCCATCATGAGACCCAAGTCCATGCGCACTGGTGTAATAAGACACCACCTGTCTTGAGACTGAATGCATCAAAACGCACGTGTATCTCCCATGGTCTCCCCAAAACGCCATGACCATGAAGTTCCATGCTCCTGGTGATAATACAATGCCGCTTGATATCTCACCCATGCCAAGTCAGAAGAAGAGGAAAAAGCCCCCAAACGCCGGAATTATGCGTATGCATCGTAAATAAGGCTTAATAGTACGAAACTGGAGAAGAAGGAGAACGCGTGACCTCAACGTAGCGATCAATGAAGCCATATTAATACTGCGCGGAATAGGAGGGCGCAGTCCGCTGCTGATATTGGGATCTCGGCTGATGCGCCTGGGCATGCGGATTCGGCAGCAGCTGCGTGACAGCTTGGTGATACGGCACCGGCGCGCCAGAGTACTCCGGGACAATGCCCGTCCGGTACTCATTCCGCTTTCCGAGGGGTTGGTAGTGCATCTGGTTGGGTAGCACCGGGTTCGGCAGGTGGTACTGCTGAAGAAAGGCGGAGGGCGGCGGGTAAAGGAGCGTGTTGACGTGCCTCACTGGCTTATACGGGCTGTTGCGCTGCTGCAGGTAAATTGAGGGCGAGTGGGAGATGGGCGTGTGTAAGCCGCTTGTTGTGCCCGAGTTGCCCATCGGGGTGCCCATGATGAGCGGTGAAGAGTTGGGGTACGGCGCCATAGTATTCTGTGGAGAGAGACGCTTCGTCGGAGTCCCGTAGCTCATTGGGGGAAAGGTTGTGGTGGGCGTCACCGTCACGCACGTCGCCTGAATAGGCTGCGAAGCAGCATACGTGGAGGTGGTGTAGGCGGAGGTGGAGGTGGGGAACACCACTGACATCGCCCGAGGAGCAGAAACGATCGGGGGTAGCGATAGCGGTACAGGCGCGTACCCAGCGGCTCCATAAGACTGAGCTTGCGTGACGGGAACTTCGGCGGGCTGGGCTGTGTTGAGCGTCAAACTTGGCACTGCTAGGCGACTGTGGTCGGGGCCGGGCGCGGGCCGCGACGGCACAAGGGCATCAAGGTGCGGTTGGGAAGCAGGCGAAGCGTGCTGAGGTGCCGCCTGTGATGGAAGCTGACCGACTGGATTCCCTTGCCCGATCGGAGCATAGCTCATCCGCTTGGCCGGCGGCTCGGCGGCATCTTCCTCCGGAAACCTCCGTTTGCGAAGGAGGGCTGGGTCTGGCTTCAGCGCCAACGGAGATGGCGCGTTGCTGGCATCGTAGGAGGCCGACCAATTCTGAGTGCCGTTGGCTAGGGGACCTAGGTTAGGCGAGTGGAAGCTGAACGAATGCGATGCCGACTGCACGCCCGGCGTTAGTGGCACAGTGGGAGAGTGCAGGGGCGAGACGAAATTGTGGCGTGTAGGGGACGGGATGACTAGCGGCGATGGTGAGGGCGACATAGCCCGCTGCGCTAGCTCTAGGAAGGACCAAAACCTCGCCAGCTTGTTGAGCCAAGCTTCCCACTCGTCGGCTGAGACCAAAAGGCTGTACCGCATGTTGCTGAGAAACTCAACTTCCATGACGTGAATTTCGTTGACGGAGATGCCCGACACATCAGCCCAGGTCTTGTTCGTGTAGGTGTTATCATCCAAGAACTTGTTGCCCAGCATGAGCGCCACCGTGAGCAGCCTATATTCGCTCCCTGCTCGGCCCCTGACCGTCGGGTTCGCTTTCTTGAGCCGGTAGATGTAGAGAAGAGCCAGTATCACGACATTCTGCGTGACTTGGGTCGTGCTCAACACGCTCGAAACCCATTTCCTAAAATGATGGCTGGCGGTCGCGGAGGGTGAGAGCGGTTGAACAGGTGTGGGGGTCGGTCTTTTCTCCACCTTCTCCAGCACCCTCGTCGATTCAAACCAGAACAGCGCCGCTACGTCGGCCATGAAATCGGATATGCTTCCCCCTTTGGGACTGATGCGCTCCGGAATGTTCATGCTATGCTGCGTCATTTTCGTATTTGCGGTTCCCTGTTCGCGATCGAGCGGCGAGTTTCCTGAGGTCGGTGTTAGTCGGTTGGTTTGCTGCGGAGCCTCCTGTGGCTGATTTGGTTGTGGTTGTGGTTGTGGTTGCTGCTGCTGCGGTTGCTGCTGAGGTTGCCGCTGATGTAAATGGGCCGGCACTCCCACCGCGCGCGCACCCGAGCATGAGAAACTCGACTGGGCCGCAGAAGGATAACCCATTGCCGCTCTGGCCTGGGTCGGTAGAGGTGCGGGGTATCGCGAGGTTGGATGGAAAATCTGCTCGTTGGGCAGTGGCCGCTCGTTCAATACCGACCTTCGCCGATCCGTCTGCGGCATGGTCGATGCGAAGGCGGAGTGGTGGTGGAGGTGGTGATTTTCGCACGAGGGCAGGTGCGGCACCTCGCATGCGGTCCCCATGTTTTCGTCGGTTGGCGGCGTGCAGAGGCCGGGTGGGAAGGTTTCGTGAACGAGGCCCGGGTTGCACTTCGCACATGCAGGCAATGGTTGGTTGGGATAGTGGGTTGCGTTGTTCCGGACTGAGAGTGCGTACATAGAGATAAGGAGTGGCCGTGTGGCTCTGGGCTGACCTTGGTGACAAGATCGGGCTGGCTCAATTTTGGGGCGGTCGGTGCCTGTGACGCTGAGGTTGAGATTGGCAGATCACGACGGGAGGCGGAAGTTGGAAGTTGCACCTTCCCGGTGTTGGGCCCTGCCAGTCTGGAGCTCTTGCCGACACAAGGTCGAAGTTCCTTTTGGCTCCTTCCGCTTTTTTATTTTTCTTCACCTGCCGTACCTGCCCTTGTCATCCACAGTGGGCAATGCTCCTTGTAAACCGAAGTTCGGCGTGGTTCTCTCCTTCAATATCCCCGGCTCGCCATCAAGCAGCTCCCGCCGTACACGATATCCGCTGCACACTCCGTCTGCCGAGACCCTAATCGGAGTAACGCCCAAGCGCTACCTTCCTTCCCTCTCTGGCGTCTGGGTTCTGCAACCAAGCGCTGAGTTGGCTATCGAACGGGGACGAGTCTTGGAGGGGTCGACAATGGCAGTTGGGGTACCCCTCGGGCTCGGGAGGGAACACGAAGCGGTTCAAATGTCCCCTTGTTGAGTTCACAGGCTTCGAGGTCTTCGGTCCTCGAGGCTCTGATCGTCTTTGTCAACGACCAAAGCAGCTCAGGGCAGTGGCCAACTGAGACCCAGCCACGGCACGCAACGGGGTGGCGGCGAGGGGTAACGGAGGGTAGGTCCACGGCGAGATCGGATGAGGTCACGAAGGGATGTTGTGGAGGGTGGAAAGACCCAAGGCGGATGACGAAGAAGAAAAGTAGGGGCAATGGATGGGGAGGCAGATCCCCGTTCGGTGAAAACATCCATAGCGATGGTCATCCTCTGAGGTCAGTTGCGTCTGGGTGTGTTGCTGCCGTCTTAGTCCTGGTCGCTCCAAATGCTGCTAATTTACTTTGTCCCTGGTCGATGTCGTTGTCTGGGTGCGGTGCAAGGGGTGGCTTCCGTGCCGCTGTCGTCGTTCGCCTTTGGCCACAGGCGGTCCCTACCTGCGAGGTGGGCCCGGAGGTACCTGCAATCCGCAATCCTGCACGTACCTCTTGCGGCCCTGCCACATGCACCGAGCCGCCCCACACGAATCGCTTCAGCCAGTCGAATGCTCGCTTACATGAGTTCGCACGACAATGAGACCCGCTTTGGCAATCGTTTCTGGTTTAGCTCAGTGTCTTTTATCGTTCCCTTTGCTTCTCTGGCATTTTCTTCTCACAGCATTCTTGGCCGATTTGATGCGCTTCGATTGGCTGGTCCTGCCACTGATCTCGAGCGGTCTGTCTGGCGCCGCATCCTCGTTTCCATGCACCCTTTTCCACGCAAGCCCCAGAGTAGTTACCGTCATCTGTGGATTGCGCACCACATCTCGGCGCCCAGCAGCCAGCAGGAGCAGTTTTGTCGCCAGCCTAGCACGCCCGTCCACCAAATATCAAGCAGGCTTGACCCAGCGGGGTGACGACGGGAGGCAGCCATCAAAGCTGCAAGCCATGGCGACACCAGCGGCTTGCTTCGCTATGGAACCGCCCTTCCCGGTTCATGGTATGTACCTCCCTTCGCAGGATGCTCTTCCCACACAAGTCCGCGTCCCCGGCCGCACTCTACCTTGTGTTCCTGCGCTTTGCGGTGGGTAAAACCCAAACCGCCCCCTTTCTGGGCTTTCGACGGCGTCCAACGATCAGTGGGACCCTACAGGGAGCGAGTTGTGAGGTGAGATTGCCCGAGTGCGAGAAATGGCCGCGCAGGCCGCAGGGATCAGGAGCCGAGAGTTTTCCGTGTTGCTCGTCGAAAACGGAGCAATAAATCATCAATACATACAGGGTCCAACCGGCTGCACAGTGTTCCGCCGTGTGCATTCTTACCCAGAGTGCGCTAAAAGTAATGGTTTGCATCGTTGGGTTGGATTCTGTCCATCTCTTTCCCATTCCTTCCCTATCCAAAGTACCACCCTTTTCCCCAACACGAACACAACACTGCAGTCAATACTCCGAGTAGTTGTTATCAATTCTTGTTCTCCCCCGTGGATCCGGCCCATCAATGTGCCTCTCGGGCTTGGCTGCCAGGAAAGGGACCAGAAAGCAACGCATGCGTCTTATTTCTAAGACCTCTCTACCTTACCTACCCCGAGCGGAAAGACAGCGAGAATGGGGTTGGCTTTGTTGGAGCTGTCAATGGCCGCCTGACAGCCTGAGTGACTATGCTTAGTCTGGTCTGGGCCCTCTCGACGTGTCTCAGGGCGCCGCAAAGCTGCCTGTGGCCTACCGATGCAGCGGGCGCCTGTTAAGCCCCGTAATCCGTCTGTGGTTGCAAGTTGCATGGTGAGATCCCGGATCCGTTTCTGTTCCAGGAATGGAATCGTGCCGCACAGTGCGCCTCGGCTTTCTTCTTTGTCGGGACAAACATGGGAATGGGCGGCATCCAAACTCACAAGCGCTCCATCGTGCCCAGCCCGGAGCTGCCACCTCTTTTGATACGGGCCGGTTTGCAAAGCTGCATGAAGATGGGAATCCATCTGTTGCAAATAGTGTAGGTAGTGTAGGTTTTTATCCCCTCATGGCTGTGACACCCCTACTGCCCGCCGCTCTCAGAATTTCCATGTGGGGGTCGACTACTACTCGCCATTAATCAGGGATAAGTTAAACGGAAAGGAAAGGGGTTGGTGAGAGACTGCGGAACTGTGCGGGGAAACGCCGCGCAATCAACCATCAGGAGTCAAACAAGACCCAAACGGATGAGCCGGACCGTGTGCCAGTTGAGGTGGCGTTTTGAAGCCATGATCTCGGTTGTGAGTCTGCCAGTCAGCACTTACAAGAAACCCGGCACCTCGCAGCAGGCCGGGACCTGAAACCCCATATCATGCCTGACCCGTTGCACTGTGCTCATCACGCCGATTACCCTCATCATGCCCTGGCAGAGCGGGACTCGAGCCGGATCATAGATGCCTTGAAAGTTGAAACGCATCGGCGCCTCTGACATGGCCTCCGCCGATCTGAGGAATGTGCGGGTTGTACGGGATGTGCAATACTTTAGGAATATTGTGTAGCGGCACTAACGGACGGTATGGAACGGAACCCGCAGGGGTGTCATACCATGGCACAACCAGCCACGGCAGGGATAAGGCAATACCCAGATGCCAATCACTAGACTGGAATAAGTGGCATCGGACTCAACATTTCCAAACATCGATGCTGATAATCCATAGAACAGCAGAGCCATTTCTGCCTGGCTTGTATTACCTTCCTCAACTTCCACCAGTGCCTGGCAAGGCTGTTGGGCCCAGCACTACCTCCGTACAGGCTAACAGCGACGGTGTTATATCCGGCTCGGTGCGACAAGCGAAAGTTGGCGGCAAAGGGAGGTTCGTTGCGCTGCGGGCGTTGATCTCACAAGCCCCGCTCTCACAGCCTCCTAGTGTAATGAAATTTTGAACCATGAAAGAAACACCATCCCGAGCCGGATGGCATGCAGCCAAGCGGATCAAGAAAGAGTCAGTGTTGAGGAGATTCGTAGTGGACCCGAACGATGCGGATGCCAGCACCGGGACTCAGCATTTCTGTCTGGCCCGTTGAAAGCCCTCCGATATCTTGAAAAATTTGGCAGACGAAGCTTGCTTGATCGTACGTACTGTGGTAATGAAAACGTCCATGATGACGAGTCCAGTCAAATGGCTTCGGTTGCTGGGAAAAGACGCCAATTGTGTGGGAAACCCCACCACACCACACTGGTGGTGGGCGAGACTCTACTGCAGTACCCAGGAGAGTATACACAGATGTTATTCATACTGTACGCAGTACCTCCTGTATACAGTAACAAGGCGCATGCGAAGAGTCGAGAGGGGCACGCAGAGCGAAACCCTGCGAGGTCGGTGCGTGGATGTTTTCCAACGTTCGTTGGTTCTGATTGAACTTCTGACATCCGCTTATTTTCTTCTTTCAGTATCCGTTAATGGGTACTGAAGGCTGTATCGAACTATCGATATGCTTGCCAGCAGGGATACTTCGTGGCGTTTGGGAAACACGCGGCATCTGTGTGAGAATGATATGCGGTTAGTAGTGTGAAGCTGGAATGATACTTCCGGTCATGCAAGTCGCAGACCAAATTCCTTGTCGTTACGACTGCATGGCTGAGCAAGGCTGGGGCTTGTGTGGAGAGATCGCTTGGACCTTGAAGTCGGCCTTTCGCTGGTGTGCAGGATGGGCGCAGTTGTTCGGCGGCGGCGGACTCGCGCTTCCATGCTCATCCCGCTTGATTGGGTTCGGGCGCTGGTCAGGGACCACCATTCTGCGGGCGGCTGAGTCGACAAGCGGCCAGGATTCCTCAAAAGCAACCTCAGATTCGACGAGTGAAAATGGCTCGCCCGGCAAGCGAGTTGTGTTGGGAGCTCACCTGCGGTTTCGTCACATCAGGCCCGGTCCTGGAGCGACAGATACTGGTAATTGCACAGGCCGTATCGCAGGGAGAGTTCAGACTCCAGAGGTGTCGAACCGCATGAGTGTCGCAACCCCAAACTTCCGCAGCCGGTTTCCTGGTTGTGTTTGACTGTTGTGTCTTCCCCCGAAGTTCAAGCGGCACACTCATCGCGCCCCACAGTCCACAAGAGTCGCTCCTGCTGCCACCCGGTTGTTGTCCGCCCGCCGGCTGATGAGTGTTGTCAGCCGGGCAAGTCGCAGAGATGGATATGCAACGGCCGGCTGCAATTCTTCGATGATACCATGGCTTCCGAGATTATCAGGGAGTTACAAACCAATTGACGCGCCAACTTCGAAGCAAACGTGATGTGCCGGGACGGGACCAACGTCTTCAAAAGTGTGGGCAGGTTTGCGACGGTGGAATGACGAACCCTTCATCATGATTTTGGTCATGCAAGCGCTACCGGATGATCTCGCAGGCACCAAAGTCAAGCGACGGCTGCCACAGGCTTCGTGAGCCTGCCGGCGTGAGTTGGACGATTTGAGACCGCGACTGACTGCTTGCATCGGTCCAACAACAGTGGTTGCCTTTGCTACGTTCCCCGCAACCATTAGGCACCGTGTTGCTCGGCTGATCAGGGCCAGTGGGCTGCTCATTCGTAAGGAGACCATTTTGGAGGTAGTGAAGGCAACCTGGGGAATTCCATCCAAGCAAGGGATGCAAATTTCCATATTTCAACGACACCTTGATCCGAGCCTATGTAGGCACGGTCATCAACTAAGAAGGGTCCGGAGGAATGAGGCTATAGTTTTCACCCTCCTCCCTAATAGTAGAATGAGGTGGTCACGAGATTTCCCGTCGTTGGCCTGGAGGGGAGTTTCCACGTATCCTTCCTAAAACCAGCCCACAAAGTCTCTTCCAGGCCTCGGCCAATCCCCCGCCGAGCTGTTTGCTCAATGTATTGACCAGACTTCATTGCAGTCGTTTTGCCAATTGTCTTTCAGCACCTCCCCAAGACTCCACACATCCGGACTCTCGGTGCAGTTGCCAGTTTCTCGGTTAGCGTCTCATTCAGCTGTCCACATCGCATCCCATGCACCAGCGCCTCCCTAGTGATGATCCAAGTGTTACCTTTCGAAGTCAACGGGCTTTTGAGATGCATCAGAATCTTATTACATTTACCCCTGTTGTCGTTGAGAAACGGACCGCGCACCGTTTCAGCGGACCATTGCACAGTGCCAGAAATTGGTTTTCCTCCCAGGAGGTCCAGCCATACCTTCCACCCGTAGCCCACATCGACCTTCTCGCGAGCCAATCAGCTGCGGCAGCTGAACAGGGGGCACGAGACATCCAGTCGAGCGACCGACCGACACCCAAGACCGAAAACCAAACCAAAACCAACCACTGATGGGTACCATCGTAGCACGAAAATCAATTAACGCGAAGAAAGCCCTCTTGCGCCCCGCCGCGTCCGAGTCAGGATGTGGACATCCCAAGTTCTCAAGTCATGACAAAGGTCCGACACTCCAAATACAATCTGCGCGCCCCGTTTTTATTCGGAGGGCCTAAACTCGCGAATCATCAATCGCAAGACCTTCGGTCCGCGGGATGGCCTCGGCTGTCTTGTGCCATGTTATGACTGTAACCTTTGTGCTTCTCCGCCATAATCCGCCACTTTAGCTCTTACGATCCGTCGGATGATCCAAGGCGCAGTTCCGAGTTACGTTCGATTGTCATCATCGGCCATCACAGCGGACAAGAATCGGAAACTTGTGCCTCGCTTGGCCAAGGCAGCACCCCCCAACATTTGCTCCTGAGACGTCTCACTGCTTGCTCTCCCAGATCGAGGTACGCACCTGCAACCCCACGGCGCATACGGTCTTCATGGATGCGACTGTCGGCCTCGTCAGCTGATACGAACACTCGTTTTGTGATGCCCGCCGGCCGAGAGCAACACGAGCCGCTTACGCCAATGCCTAAAATCAGTTAGCCCACCGGCTCGGCTCTCCGGAACAAAATCCGGCCAAGCCCGGGGAGAGCATCGGAATCCCACCACAGGCCGTGTCCGGAAGCAACTTCAAGCCCTTCCCGAGCTTGATCCCTCTAGGTTCGCTTTGCAGATGTCGCGGCCAAACACCATTCCATGCCGCCCTACCTCCTTGAGGTTGTTCTAGCCGGCCTGATGTTGCCGTGTCGCCGTTGACAAGTGTCACAAATACCGGTACCTACAGTCTGCTGTCCCCCCCAGGTCCGATCTCGCCTTCGTAAACGGTTCACCGCGCCGTCCATGACCCATCGCCTGCCATTCCCGGTGTGTACCTCATCGCCGTTAAGAATTCTCACAACTGCGAAGCCCACCTGTTTCGGCTGTCCTTCTAATTGTGTCTTAATCACCTCGGTTTTTTTCACTACCATCCTACACAGTATGCCGTCCCATTTGATATACATTTTGTCCGATTTCGACCCTGTACTTTGAGCAATAATCGGAACCCACAGGTGTTCCGCCTCGGAGCCATCCTCTCTTTGCAGAGGGCTAACGTTAACTGCGTATGATGGAGACATCGCCTGGGCTTGGTGCGAATTCTTCGAGTACCGTGAAGCGAAACGGAGCAAAGATGGCGACTGAGAGCGACTCCCACAGAGATGGTGGCGATTCTGCACTTTTCTCCACTCCTTCTTGCTAATGATACCGCGCGTCCGAGCATCAGACCATTCAGCCTCATCTTTCCTATGACGAAAGCATCAAGTGGGATGGTTCGGGCCTGGCATCTTGAGCCTGAATGGACTTTGCTGTGCTCCGCCGGGGAGTAGGGATCATATCTGAGACGAGGTTGGTATGTGTGAGTTTGAATACTTTGTGAACTGGCAGATAATGCGTCCTCACTTTGCGCTTCCGGGTCCGATACAAGGTCTGGCCTTCCCTAGCCAGCTTAGAACTGTGACTGTCCTGAATGGATCAGACGCCTCGGCAAATTGATGAAGCGGAAGCTCATGGATCTACATAGCCTGTCTGGAGGCTACGCACCGGAGTCTCCATCGTCGACCACTGCCGCAAACTCATCTCCAGGGTGTAGGGCATTGGACACGCAGTGAGAACCTGGCCTTCCACTTCAACCACTCTGACCGATAACAGGCCAATGTGAGCGTTCGATGTGTACAGTACTTCTATGCTGTATTTCCAAATTGGAAGGGAATGTGCGAACGAAGGAGGCGTCCGCCTGTTGAATCACCTTCCGTGGCCCCATCAAGGTATGGTGCCAGATCGAGGATAACTGGTCGCCACCAGTTCAAGACCGCTGAAGGAATCATGTAGTAGCTGAAGCCAGAGTAAAGTAGCGTGTACACCGCAGTAATAACAGCCTTGGTACCACCAACCCATCAGTGAAATAGGGCTGGGTCCGATTTGATTGTTCTAGTAAGCTGGACCTTCAAGCAGCATTCTACCGTTTCCTTGCCTCCTTTTCTCCCCGACTATGGTTGCACTTGAGGTATTACCAATGCATCGCCTAAGTGAAAGTTCGAGAGTGCAGCGGAGTTATAGAGTCGATGTGATTGTTGTGTGTAGCATGCTCTTGGGGCCGTCGAGTCGATTCAAACAAGCATGTTAAGTATTCGTCGTAATAATATCGCTTTCTATAAGTAGTCTGAATCAGGCGGAGTAGCTCTAGGGTCCGTATCAACAAGCCTCTTCCTCCACGCATCAGTGTTGAAGAGGGAAAGAAATCAACGGAATGGAGTACCTGCAGGCAAGTCTGAAGTCGTTGGTGAAGATAGAAAACGGAATGAGTGCAAATTTCAACGAGGAGAGCTCATCCGATTCCAAGGACAGATTTCTCATACTAACCCTTATGTCTTCCGCAAGCCTGAGCAGGCTGACTGATTCTTACCTATCCACAGGAAAGCCTGAAGCAACGTACAAGGAGCCGCAAGGTTGTCCAGGGGTCAAACGGGGAAGGATCATCAGCACACGAGACCTTATATGGTATGAGGAGCCTTGGACGTTCCAGATCCACATGTTTGTCTTCCATGGTGCTTGCCACTAGTTGAGAGCGACAGGTACAGATTACATCCAGACGAGTGGCAGTCTCTGCTGTATACACCAAAGATTGCCCTGACTGTGCATTGCAATGACAACTGGATTGTGAGATCTTCTCCTGACGTTGCCAGACGGCAGAATAGACTGACTCCCCGCCACCAGCTAATTAATGTGGACTACTCAACCACATCACAGCTGCAGAAAGGTTCATCCGGAGCTGGCGGAAACTTCTACCAGTTCATGGCCCCGGGACACGTGTATGTCTCCATCACATTAGACATCTCCTCATCGTCATTGGATGATATTTGAATACCATGACTGGAGTCAGAACAGACCAGCGGAAAGGATAAACAACTCGAGCCTGAGTTCGATTGGAGTGGAATCTAGACCATCCGTGCGCCGTGCAACTGACTGATTGTGAACGTCGTCAGTAAACTACGAGGCCGCCGACTTTTGCGATCGGCCGAAGTCCAGGCCGGAGTCCGCGACTTGTGGGATGTGGAAGACATATACTCTATGGACTGTAAGAGCTCTACGTTGCGCGACTGGCGTTCCGTCCCAAGCCACCGGTGAACGGCTCGGATACGGATTCGCTGACCCAAGCGATGTGTTGGCACAGTCCACGCGGTTCGAGGCCTCCATCTTGCATACGAAAGCGCCATCAGAGATCCTCATCGATCTCGGTCAATGTGTGCTGCATTCACCCTACCCACTGTTGCTTGCTGCCCCTGAATGATTCTCGATCGCACGCACAGCCGATGAGTGGGAAAAAAGCCCCTCACTTGTGATTGTCGATCAGGCCTGATAGGAGCTCCCAGCGAATCCGCCCCTGAGCCGCAACGGCAGTTGGCACGATTTCGCCACCCGGAAGAGGGGGAGGTGCCTCATATTAACAGGCAGTGGTCCACGTAGTTCATCTTGACCCATCTGGCCCTGCCCGTCCATGCGGCTATGCGTCGAGCCAAGCCGATCTGGCTTCGCTCTGCGGGTAAGCTGGGCCCTCTGGCGGGACAATAGACACAGGAAGCGAACGAGGCTCGCAGGCAGTGCGGTAAGGCGCAGGACGGAGGGCTGTTGTCGCCCAAACCCAAGAGCGGGAGCAAATTGTTGAGAAGAGCATGGCCTGTTATACGTGTCCTGAGGAGACAACGAGACAAAAAAGAGTCCTCACCGCCTCAGAGGGCGGAGTCCGTGACAGTAAGAGCGGTATGTGCGATTTGAATGCGTGTTCGCTCCGCCGACATATACACAGCAGATAGCAGACCTATGAGATTCAAGCTGGTAAATCGACAGACCACTTCTGCCCTCCCTTTCCAGCGTCTTGCATGCCTCGTGGATACAAATATCTCAATAATACACTCGTAGCCAGTCGGAAGTGTATGTAGTGTACAGCACACTAACTCAGGAGATACTAAGAGGTTGACTTGCAGAGCACAACACGACATCTCCAACAGGGGAAGACGGTGGAGTAAGCTGCAGGACAAGCCCGTGCTAGCAGTAGGCTGCGGGCTAGACCTGCACCGTCGCGCGGGGATATTCAAGAGTCTTCCAGAAGAACGGGGTCATGCTTCCGTTCGCGTCTCCAGAGGTTGGAATGCCAGCCCCTTCCCGTACATACAGATTGTGTACGTGCAAGACGACAAACCTGGACCCAAGCACGGCTGGGTTCCCTTGCCCGAGCGCAATATGCTCGGGGAGGCTGGGAGCACTTCGGGCAGCGAAAGCGGTAACACGAAGGCGGGAGAGACACAAACGTAACTGGAAACTGGGCTGTCAATGCCTGTCTCAGCGATGTCTGTCAGTGATGTGGGTCCGGGTCTCCCACCCGGACCGGCCAGAGTGTCCCTTGACTTGTCTTTCACCGGGCGCCGACCGTGTCTCAACGAGCCCGCCCGATCCGTAGCTGCCCGGGCGAATACGTGCAATGCGCGGCTGGGCCCCAGGGACAGCGCCCATCATGAAGTTGCACTCCTGGAGCCTGGACCTGGTCACGATCTGGGCGTCGCGACAAGCCGTGTTGGGCATCCAATCGGTTCCGGGTTCAGTTGAGAGGGGTTGGAAAAACAGCCCCAGTCGGATGGATCGCCCTGCCCGGCTTGAGGAGGAGGGTTTTCCAGCAAATCGCACAGCTCATTGCGTTCTGCTGGACCCTTTTCTTTTGTTGCGCCCCGGGGCTCAGGGAAGGCACGGCGTTGAGCTTTGCGAATTGTGGGGGACCACGTCGGTCGCTATCGTGGCCTAACGATGCCCAATTGTGGGGGCGTGTCGTTGAAACGGCCCCACTGATTGGCGGGCCATCCCTCTCCCGCTCACACCCCAAAGAGCCGCTGACGTCTATTTCGGGTCGTGATAGACAGACGGAAGGAGGCATCACCAGTCCCTTGCCTTCCTGGCGTTTGACGGAAACGATGTGAACTCTGATTGCCAGCCTTGATTGCCGCCCCTGTCAATCGGTCAATCGCCACACGGTCTTTTTGCTTTGGGCACAGCAAATGACCGCCTTCGAACCGACTCGATTTGCCGGGCTTCGTCCATCGTCAGACGACCTGCCTCGACCGGTCACGGCCCAGCCACTGGGATTTGGCAATGGACGGGGACAGAACAGGCAAGCGGAAGCACCAAGGCGAAAAGTCATATCGCCCATTCGTCGGGTCGAACGAATGAGCTTTGGCTGGCATGATGGAACCCGCATGCGCCCCGTCGGGTCCGTCTGCCTGCAAACGCGCTCTGTGCCCGACCCGATTCGACGTCTCACCGGGTGCATGCCCAACGCCAGCCATTCAAGTTTTTCGCTCGCTTGCATGCTGTTTCCTTGCCAGATTCAGCACTTCGCGAGGCTGACTAGCCACATTCAGAGTGAGTCACGGTATTTCCAGCCAAATTTCCAGGCCAGCCAGGCCGGCGAGGTAGCACACGAACAGGGGAAGCAGGGGGGTAGACCCGGCGGCTGGTCCTGCACCCCACTGTCTTGGCCGTGGTTGTCTGCAATCAAAACCACCATGTGCTGCACGCCCTAGCCTGCTTTGTCTTTTGCCTCCCCTGAACCGCATCACACGCTCTCTCCCGCCTGTCTCGTGCGTTACAGCAAACACAATTCTCGTCCCAAAAGATCGAGAATTCCACCCTACAATGCCCCCTCGTGACAGCACAGCTCTCGGCCCACACTACTACTACGATCCGATAGTGACCTGAGCGTCAAAACACAGAACACAGAGAAACCCGCGAGACTTAAGACACCAGAGATATTTGGCTTATACACCATCACAAACCCAATCACAACACTTGACTTGAGGACTGAACACAGTCATTGCAATGGAGAGAGAACGAGTCATCCTCCGCCCGAGGGCAGGGGGTTCCGTGCCCCCGGGGCCCGACGGCCAGCGCACCGGACATCCGGCCGAATGGCCTCAGCCTCAGCGGGAAGTTGATCGTCAGCCGGTCCGCGATGCTCAGCCCGAGCAGCCCAGATCCATTCTGCGGAAGACAGTCCGCCCACCGTCAACACGCCCACGGCGGAACTCCGACAGCTCTGTCACATCGTCCTCCATCACATCGTCCCAGTTGCCCGCGTGCGGGAGCGACCCGGACACGGGATTGCCTGCCCCCCAATCGCCCGCTGCCCTGCCACCACCGCCGCCAGTAACAGCACCAACGACGCCAACGACACCAACGAGCAACCTGCCCAGGAAGGTTCTCAAGGCCAAGTTCCCCGGCATTCCGGTCGAACGTCAAGCAGTCGTCAACCTGAGGCCCACCCGGTCATCCTCGGGCAGCATCACATCCAGCTACCATGTGCCTCCCGTTCGGACTGTCCTGGCCCCTCAATATGTGCCCGTAAACCGGCTACTGGAACGGCGTGACCGCCGCGAGTCGTTTGACCGCCATGACCACCATGACCGGCACTACTCGGACCCGGATCCTGAGACCGAATCCGTCTCGGAAACCTGCTCCGACCTCTCATCCAGCACACAAGCAACATCTGTAGTTTCAGCTACCTCGGACTACACCATCAGCGATGTCAGCGACATGACAGCCAGCGATGTAACACCCACCGACGCCAAGTCCAACACCAAGTCGACTCCTTCCGTCCACTTCACACCCAGCGTGGTCGGCTCCGACTCGACCTCAACTGTCAGTTCCATCCCTCCTATCCGCAAGGCCAAGCCACGGCATCTTCAGGGATCACCGCGGGCGAGGCCAACGTCCGAGGCGGATCGGACTGTGGTCAAGAGCGGGATCTCTCGCCCATTCGAGGTCAAAATCCTTCCTCTGACTACCGACACGCCTGAGTCTCGATACACACGCGAGCTGGAGCGGTACAGCGAGAAGATGGAGCGCAGCCTGATGCTCAAGATCGAGCAGCTCGAGGCCGAAAGAGAGACGCTGCGTGAGAATGAGGCCAAGTTGAAGAGGGAGCTCGACCACAGCGCCTCGCTTCTTGTTGCCGCCGACAAGGAAAGGGCTTCCATGGAGAAGACCACGGCAACCATCGAGCGGGAGCGTGACTTTGAGCGCCGGAGCAGGGAGGATGTCCTCGGCCAGCTACAAGTCCAGAAGGCTCAACTCGACGAGCTCCGCAGCAACTTCGAGCTGCAGAAGGGCATGCTCGACGAGGTTGAGAAGGACCGGGATGCCGAGCGCGCAACCAGGGTGGCTATGCAAGTGAAGCTCGAGGCTACAAGGCAGGTCCTGGACGAGTACAAGTCGACCATGGAGCTGCAGAAGAACATGATTGAGGAGGCCGAGAAGGAGCTCGCTGAGACTAAGTCGTCCCGGGACAAGGTGCAGGACCAGTTTGCCGCGCTCGAGACGGACTTCAAGAAGCTCCAAGAGGACCGCAAGCAGCACGAAGACCTCCTGGCGCACCAGATCTCTGCCCTGGAGACCAGCAGGGACGCCCTCCAGGAGCAGCGCGACGCTAAGGACAAGGAGATGGCCGACGTAGCTGCTGACCGCGACCGGCTGAAGGCGGAGATTGAGGTCCTGACTATGCGTGTCGCTGCCTTGGATGACGAGGCGAAGGCAGCCGTGGAGAAGCAGCAGAAGATCAAGGAGGTGGCTAAGGAGGAGGAGCAGAAGATGAGAGATGTCGCACAGGAGGAGAAGGCGGCTCTGCGCAAGGAGCTAGAGGAGGAACACCAAGCCGCGAAGACACGAGCGGGCGAATTGGTGCTGGAGAAGGAGGAGCTTGAAAAGGCGAAGGCAGCCGTTGAGCAGGAAAAGGCCGAGGTCCAGGCCAAGCTCGAGACAGCCGAGGGAGAGATTGCCACGCTCAAGTCTCAGGTCGAGGATCTGACAGCTTCGGCATCCGACCTCAACGCTAAGATCACCTCTCTGGAGGAGGAGCTCGCGACTGCTAAGACCGAGGCGGCTGACCTCAAAACCCAGATCGAGGGCCTCCAGTCCGACAAGGCCGGCTTGCAGAAGCAGGTTGAAGATCTCAGCGCGGAAAAGAGCAGTCTGCAGGCCCAGCTTCACACGCTCAGCACCGACCTGGCAGGCGCCAAGGCTGCCAATGTGTCGCTTGCGAGCCAGAAGCTTGACGTGGCGGGCGAGATGGCCGGAATCAAGGGCGCGCTCGATGCGGCTAAGACCGAGATCGACCGGCTTGCTGGGGAGAAGGCTGCGGCCCAGGCCGAGGCAGACAAGGTTGTCGGTCTCGAGGGTGTGAAGGCCGAGCTTGCTGCTAAGATTGTTGAGCTGGAGGCCAAGACCTCGGAGCTTCAGGGCAAGATCGCCGAGCTCCAGGGCGAGGCGGACAGAATCCCTGCGTTATCGGGCGACAAAGCGGCCGCGGAAGACAAGATATCGCAGCTTGAGGACAAGACGGCCGACCTCGAGGCTAAGCTCGCCAGCGCACAAGCCGAGGCGGACAGGCTGCCTGGTCTTGAGGCAGAGAAGGCGGAATTGGAGGGCAAGATCTCGGAGCTGGATGCCAAAATCGCGGACCTCCAGGCCGAGCTCTCCAAGGACCCCGACGCAGCGGCCGCAGCACTCCGAGCTGAGCTGGAAGCCAAGACCCAGGAGATCAGGCGGCGTGTCGACGAGATCAACGCGCTCTCCCAAGGCAACACAAACCTCTCGGTCCAGCTGGGCGCCACCCAGCAACAGCTCAACACGGTCCAGCAGTCTCTCGAGAGTGTCACGCAGTCCTACAACGCCGCCGCCGGCCAGGTCATCGAGCTGCAACACCGCGTGGAACAGCTCGCGTCCGTCTCGGGCTCCCGGCGGGCCAGCCGCTCGCGCAACTCTTCGTCCCGCACGTCCTCACCGAAGAACAAGGAACGCGACCACAGCAGCAGCGGGAGCAAGAAGGACAAGCAGCTCGTGGTTGTGCGGAACCCCGCCGACAGAAAGGGCGCACTGTCAGTCATGCTCCAGATCGCGGCCGCCATTTAAGCCATCCCTCCCAGCACCCACACCCAGGCCCCCTCCGTCCTCGTCCTTCCAAAGCACGATCTCTCCCATCCAGGCCACCTTAGGTATCAACACGACACTAACGGGGCTTGTGTGGCTCTTCTACAGGCATTTCCTCCGGCGGTGCGGCCTACGAAACCTTGCCTTGGCGGCGACCAGGAGGCGCTAATCGACTCCGCGCCTCTTCTGACGGTTTAATTGCGTCTCTCTCAGCGACGTATCTATCCACCTCTTCGGCCCAGGACGGACCGGAACTAAACAACGCCATCAGCTGGGCAATCTTTGGGCCTTTTTTACATTGGGGAAGAAGGATACCAACCTCGACCCTTTCGACATTCGGGACGAGGGATACCAAAATGGGGAGGATTTTGTGCTTCGCGCTGGATCACTGTGTTTCTCTGGCATCTGTTTTTGGGTTTTGTTGTGTGTTTTTTACTGCATGTTTTGGTTCAGTTTTGTTGTCTGTTTTTCCTCTCGAAGCACTTGTCTACCCCCTAATCCCTTGCCCAGCCGCTCCTTCTCAGCTTTCTTTCCTTTGTTTTGAACTTGGTGGTGCGCTGTCACAAAATATTTCCCAGTTTGGAGTTATTGTGGATACACGTCTGTTTTGCTTGTTTGGTTGGTTTAGGTTTTTTTTTTTTTTTTTTTTTTTTTTTTTTTTTTTTTTTTTTGGCAACGACAGCATGCCCATCATATCATGTCTTGAGACTGGGACTTCTTATCTTATCTGGAATACCCTCCCCTTCATGTACTCACGGCAAAATGTCATGTACAACGTACTCTGGCATGTCCCCGTTTTTTTCCTTTTTGGTGTGGGGATGATAGACTTTCTTCGTTATGGGCGCACAGCCTCATGTCATGATGAAGAGCATTGCGTACGGTAATGAGTCATGACAACGGGGAGCATGAGTGGAAAACGGTGCGGGGACAGGTGCGAAGGAGGGAGGTGTGTCGGGGTAGTACATGTAATGCATACACAGGGCATTTGCTGACTTATGTATGGGTATTGTTTGTTGTTTATGATGGGCATTTTCACAATGATGGATGGTTTGGGTACAGATATTAGTAGTGTAATGGGGGAGCAATCATGTATGTTGGGGAGTAATAACTTGAATGGACTGTTTGTTGGATGTTCAGCTCTTATTCTTGACCTCTGTTTGTGTCAGTGCGTGATCTCTAAGTGCCGCTGAGCTTCCTGTGCTCTTGCTATGCAGCCCTTGGCCTAGCCTGTTACCAGTACTACTGGTATGTGCCTGATGGATAGCATAATGGCTGGGTAGGCAGGGCAGCCGTGTGTGTGCTCTCGCCGGTCTTCTCTTGCATCTTACTGTCCACGTGTAGTTGGGATGTATGTAATCCATGAAAGCTGAGTCGTGTGCATCGGCCGCGTATCTCTCCTAGTGGCTGGCTTGCAGGAACAAATCATCGCAAAGACAAGACGGGGAAGTACGCAGCTCCCAAACGTCCAATCACACTCTGGTAATTACTCATTGGCTATACAGTACCTGAACGTTGCAGTCCACCCTGGTTGGATGTATGTAGTGCATGAGAGCTGAGTCGATGCATCTGATCGACCGCGGATTTGTCCGAGTGGCCCAGCTTGCGTACTGTTGAGGAATCAGCACGAGATGGGGAGTATCGGTAGGTACTATGCAGCTCTCGATCCTCCAATCATCGATCTGGTAATTGTTTATTGGCTGTTTAATTCTCCCGTCTCTGCATGTTGAACCCATAACAACAGCTGGGAGAATCGAGGATCAGCAGCAGTCCATGCTGGCAGGCAGACAGACAGACGGGACAGATAGACGGATAGACTGATCCTCAATGCAATGCTCGGTTCTGGGCCGTCAGGGGGATGAATAAAGCTTGCAATGCTAATAGTATCTATCTATCATGAACCTTTGATGCACTGCTGGCAGTTCTTGCTTCACAAGATCCCCAACTCCCTCGGCGAGCAACATGGGGATAGGATAGACCGGAACTGAATTCCGACGACAGCGTCAATTCGGCCGTGGACAGTGGACAATTCCCCAGCTTTCGGGTGACTATGCGACTAGGCAACGACGTTGTGATTGATAATAAACAAGAGATTCTGAGTAAGTGTCTGCGTTGGAAGCTTCGCAAACCCCGCTTATTAGCATCATCACGCGTGATGTAACCTCGCTTACATTAGGCTCCGAACGGCATTTCTTAGGCAAAACGCAGCGGCAAAAGAGCGCAGTACCGATATAATCTCCTCGACTCCCAACACAAAGTTCACCAACATAAGCGCTACATCACTCTATCAAGCAGCTATTGGAATCATCTATATACCTAGCTATTTCCTCTCGAATTCCTCGCCAATCTGCTCCGCTATTGTCCTAACAACCGCGGATAAGATGGCGGAGGTATGCAAACTTTGCGGTGGTAGCGGGTATCAAGGTCCTTATAAATGCGGGCTCTGTGGAGGCCCTCCCAAAGACACGCCGAAGCCTCCTACTGACGTGCCTGTTCAGGAGACACGGGCAAAGTAGGTAAGGAAATCATGAGAGACTTTGAGCAGAGATTGATTTACTGACTTGGAGAAGATCTCGGAAAGGAGGGGGGTGGTTATCGGGTGATTCGGATCCGCGGTTTCTGGACTCTGGAGTCCCGGATCTGGCCACGGGACTTCTCTGGCTGGCATATCTACACTACTACTACTAAAGTAGCTCTTTATTAAAGGGGTTAGTTATCGGATCAGCGTCTGGAAGTCTCAAACTTCTGTGCTGGCATCTACACACACTAGTACTGTATGGAGGTGTATATACTATGCATGTCACTCGATGGGGAAATCGTGATCTGATTCTGGACTTCTGGTGGGGCAGATCTGTGTGATCGTTGTTGTGGTTATGGAGCCTGCCACGTCCTCCCTTGATGAGAGTTTGCAGGGGTTGGTGGTGGTCAAAGGCGGTGTGCGCGTATTGTCCGTCCATAGCGGCGACGGGGGAGGCTTTGGGGGTCTGTCTACCTATCCAGGGTGCTTACGATGAATCGGACTGAGTACTAGTAGATCCGCTCAAGCAAATCAATTCGACTACATACCTAGGTAGTATGTAGCATTGGCGTTGAGTGGAATCATCAAGGGACAGCATCGGGGGATGTGAGAATGTGACTTTGTGGTGTAGGTGGAGATATAGTATGCGCAGGATTACGAGTCTCGGGTCAGGGGAGAGCGTGAATGGCACGAAGTTGAGAAAGACAAATGAGAAGGCGCAGGGTAGAGAGCCACTTGACCATTGCAGGTTACAGGCTATCATCGGTCTCTACTTCGTAGTGAGAGGCTGGGAGGCTGGATCATGGAGGGAGGGTTCTGGTTCCGGAAGAGTCCCCGAAGTGGCGCTGATGCAGTAGCTGGCGGACGATACTGCTTTAGTTAATACGAATACTTATACTATAGATACTAGTATCTATATCTCCCCGGCAGCTCCACAGTGACAGCGTGCTTTATTAACCATCTCGAGAGGTTCAGCGATTATAGGCTAGGTTGCCATCCAAGCATCCTTGGGACTCTCTCCATAGTATCTGCTGTCTCCTAGAACCCAGTGTTCGGCCTTGCAAAATCGGCAAGAGACCAGTGGAACATATTTCCTCTTGAGCCCTGAGCAAAAAAGGAACAAACAATGAGAATTCGCTTGTCTAAGAGAACCCCTACACCACCACACTACAGAACATTGTTGAGCTTGCGCTCGCTCCCGCAGTGCCACTCTATCTTCGGAACCTCTGATCCGATCTCAATCCTTCATCAATACTAGCTGAAAGTCTGCAGCGTCTGCAACTGCGCTGCGACTACCTTGGCAACAAACTCGCCTGGGTCTTCATCTAGAGCCTTGATAATCATTCTCAAGTAATCCTCCCGTGCCACTCCTTTCAGAACTACCGGAACGTATCCTTGACGGGTCAGCAGATCCTGCATTATCAGTCGCGAAACCCTGCCATTCCCGTCTGGGAAGGGATGGATGAACAAGAAATAGGTCGTGGCTTGACAGGCCAAGATGAGTGGGTGAAGGTCTTTCTTGTTGTCTCTCCACTCAAAGAAACGTTGCATGAGCGCTGGGACTTCCAGATGATATGGGAAGACTCTCAGAAGATCGCTCGCGACGCCGACTGGGTTTTGCCGATACCCTCCCCACCTGCTGTAAAGACCCTCCGAGCTGGTTCCTCTGATGATCAAAGAGGAGAGACATTTGACTTCCTCCTCGTTCAGTCCACTGGTGCCAACAGATTGTAAGGCCTTGTGGGCAACCCAATGGGAAGCGATGATGTGGTTGCGTAGCTCTGCGACCTGGCTGGGCTCGGCGCCAGGCAAAAGGGATTGGAGGTCCGGGAGCTTCGTCTCAGCCAGTTCGCTGGCAGACATTGAGGCGATATCCTTGCTCTCGAAAAAGGTGGCCGTGAGGTGGTCATTGAGGAGCGCGCTATCTCCAAGCCCAAGCTTATTGTCTTCGATCATAACGGACTGATGAGCGTACTCGGCGATCAGGCTTTCGATGATGGAACGATCAGGCAATCTCATAGATTTTTTCAACTGATCGATCTCCTGCAGGCTCCTCTCGTGGACCTTTTGCAAATTTAGTAATTGTAAAATTGGGTGGGGGTGACGCTACCTTACGTCTTGCAATTTGTAGTAGCCGTACCGGCTACTGTTTCCTGGGTCGAAATGGTCTTCCCAGACTTTGCCGGACTGAAGCAGCTCGGTGAACTCGGGGCTGCCCTTCTCGAGACGCGTAAGCGGCTCGTAAATTCGTCGGACCAGCACGGCCCGCTTCGAAATCAACTCGCTCAGCAGCGAGGCCCGCGTCGAAGCCGAGTTGCTCATGCCGCGGACGAAGCGGAAGACGAGGCCGGGGGCCATTGTCGCTGAAATCCGGGACAGCATGATGAAAGTCCTAAAAGTTGGGAATGGAAAATCTTCGAAGACCAAACTGTACGAGAGAGAAGCTGGTTTTACGTAAAAGTTCGTTCCAAAAAGTTGAGTCAAAGAAATGCTGACGACAAAACTATACGAGAGAGAAGCTGGTTTTGCGTAAAAGTTCGTTCCAGAAAGTTGAGTGAATTGGTGACTGACACTCGCAGGGTTGGTCCTACAATAGCGTTTGAACAAAAGAAGCGAAGGGAAGGAGGGTGGCACTGAGATGCTGGAAACCAAGAGGAAGTGACTCCCGCGGTTGAGGACATGTCAGGCTCGATGGTCATGATCGATCGCATTCTCGGCCACGGACGAGCAACGTCACCGACAGGGATCCCGGTCGTATATGAATCCCGGGCACAAACAGCTATAACCCTAAAATGAGCTCGTAAAGGTCAGGGTTAAAGCTGGCGTGGCCGAGATTCATACACGACCGGGATCTATGAGGGAGACATTAATACTAGGATTTTAGTAATATTTAAGGCTGGTTCTGAGCGTCATTGAAATGTCATCGAAATGTCATTGAAATATAAATAACGTACATGATAAGCGAGTGACCCAGACAAGCGAATGACCCACTTCCTACACGACGCGACATCTTTGCACTCAACAACAAAATTTCCTCTACCATCCAAAATGCCCTCTACTTCAAAAGAAGGCCAGATAATCTTGGCTCTCCAAGCTCTTCAAAACGACAAGAATCTAAGCGAACGAGCCGCAGCTAAGATCTATGGGGTTGACCGTAGGACCCTGGGGCGCCGACGCGCTGGCAAGCCTGCACGATACGATCTTTCAGCCAACTCGCGCAAGCTTATAGATCTAGAAGAGAAGGCGATAGTTCAATATGTTAATGAGCTATCTATACGTGTATTCCCGCCTAGGTTATATGGTATAGAAGATATGGCCAACCAACTACTACGCGAACGCGACGCGCCCCCTGTTGGCAAACGCTGGGCTTATAACTTCGTTAAACGCCGGCCAGAGCTCCGTATACGATATATATATAGATATAACTACTAGAGGGCTAGATATGAAGATCTAGATATTATTCACGAGTAGTTTAGGCTTATATAGAATACTAAGGCCAAGTATAATATCGTGGATAATAATCTATAACTTTGATAAGACCGGGTTTATAATAGGTATTATCTTTATAGGTATAGTTGTTATAACCTCAGATGGCCAGAGCAAGGCTAAGCTGGCCTAGCCTGGCAATCGCGAGTAGGCAACAGTAATCTAAGGAGTCAATGCTCTCGGCTAGGCTATCCCTCCGTTCATTATCTTGGCTATATAATACTACCTTGTCAACTAGTATACTAAGTACAACCTCCCAGCCAACTGGCATATCGCAACCACTGAGAACGGCTAGACTACTAACGCAGTAGGCCTTGATTAGATTAAGCACTTCGACTACTATATAGCGCCTCAGACAAAGGGCAAATACCGATTATTGATCCTCGATAGCCACGAAAGCCACCACTCGACCGAGTTCAAGCTCTACTGCCAGTAGAACAATATTATCACGCTCTATATACCTCTATATTCCTCCTACCTCCTCTAGCCACTTGATGTTGGCTGCTTTAGGCTATTGAAGCAGGCGTACAGTCGCTAGATCGAGGACTTAGTACGCGCGTATATCAACCATATAAGCAAGCTTGAGTTTCTTTATACCTTTTATATAGCCTTTTTTGCCTCTATTACCAAGAGGAATATATAGGGCGGTTTTGTAGGGGCTAGCCTTGTGTTATATAATCTAGAGAGAGTGCTTTCGAAGCTAGATATTAAGCTTCATATACCAATACCCCTAACCTCACGGCCGAGCACTATACAATCTTAGGTCTTCCAGACATTACACAACCCTCGAGAAGCCAAATCATAGTCAACGCTTATCAAGACTCGTATTGCCAACTATCAAAATAGCTCCCCGACTTCAATGTTGGCTGCTATAGACCAGCTTACCAAGGGTACGATGGCTATAATGCACTAGGTAGCCCTCCTTCAGGCAGAGGTGTCTTTGCTCTGCAAGGCTAACGAGGCGCTAAGCAAGCGCCAGAGAGCTAAAAAAACACGTGTGCGGCTTGGAGGATCACTTACTGTGTAGGAGGCACAGGAGGTAGTAAGCTAGGGGGCTATAGGTGGGGAGGCAATGCAAGAAACACAGCTGGATGGTAGTGGTGCTGGTGGGAGTCGTACGAAGGTTCGGTGCTGTGGTGTATGCGGCAAGCCTGGTCATAATGCCCGCACTTGCCAGGAGGTTGCAGAAGCATCTGATTCAGCCGTTTCTGATATAATTGTAGTTGGTTGATAGTTTTGTTGTTTTGTAATTGAGGATAATATTTATAGGGTAGTGGAGAGTGGGTCATTCGCTTGTCTGGGTCACTCGCTTATCATGTATGTTAAGGAAACTTCTAGGTAAGAATGCATTTCTACTAAAAGAAGCTGATTTTTACAGCGTTTTTACAGATACTCTACTTATTCTAGACAAGTTGGTAAAATAGGCCTCTAATTAGTCTAATCGGCTAAGTCCTTACTGCTAGCATATGCAAAATGGAAATTTTAATGATAATATTGAAGGTATAAATTTAATTAAAAAGATAAAATATTAGGCCGCTACTTTATTAGATTTAGTGCCAGATAAATAGGCTTAGCCTAGAAGCTCTTCAAATTTTATCTCTCTAGATTTAACCACATTCGACTTTATAATATAACATGAAGCTACCTAATTATTATTATATCTATTTATCACTTTTGAACTACTATATTTTTCTATTCTATTCAACTATTAGTTATATTTAACATATTAGCCCGCAAGAATATTTGCTTATATAAGCAAGTTATCATGATTTAACCTGTAGAGGTGTTATGAATTAACCTGCAGCAGTCGGTGGGACCGATCTGCATGGTCCGCGGGCGGCGCCCGCGTCCAATCGTTCTGGGTCAGGAGCGGACCAATCAGAAGAGGATCACGCTTGGTATAGGGAAGGCCTGGTGATCCAGGTATAAGGTTTACAAAGGATCACTAGTGATCTGGGGTGATCCAGTATGAGGGATCACCAGAGGCAAGCAGTGATCCAGGGGAAGGCCGTAGTATATAGGCCAGCTAGTCATTCGTTCTGGAGGACTCTGGGAGTTCTCCAGTGAGCAATTACAAACAGTAGAGTATCCCTACCTTACTGTGCAGACATTGCAACTTGTATTGTTGTGAACCTTTTGGCTTCACCGAGACCTACAGTCCGACCGCAGATACCTTCGACCGGCGAACCCTTTCAGAGGCAGGACTGCCTGTGGTTTCGTCACAGGAGGCCGGTAGGGCCGACCTGCATAGTCTGCAGGCGGCACTCGCGTCCAATCATTCCGGTCCCAGGCAGACTAATAAGAAGAGGACCGAAGAGATTGAGGTTCGATCTAGTCGAGCCGGGACAGATCTATAGGATCAGTGTTCGATACCATCGATCCAGTAGAATCAGATACACAGGTATCCTAGGGGAGAAAGCTATATATAGTTCTACCATTCTATTACTCGTTTAGATAGCTAGCTTCCTTAGTGAGCAGTCCAAGTAGTAGAGTAGCTACTACCTTACTATGTAAATATTGCGACTTGTATTGTTGTGAACCTTTTGGCTTTACCGAACCTCACTCTATTGTTGCGATACCTTTAGATTGTCCCTTTCAGAGGATTGGGGCAAGAGATTCGTTATACAGTTCATACTATATAGGACTTAGAACATGAGGGTGTGAACAGCTTTGCATTTTAAGGGTAATGTGGCACTTAGTAGGTTACCGTACACTACAAACTCGCAAAGATTATGGATGCTACGTGCGCTAGCACAAGGGTGGATGATAGATTAGTTCAGCGCTATAGGCAATCTGATTGGCCTAGATCGAGGCTGAAGCAGCCTTTTCGATCATCTCTCTAGCCTCGAGCTCGCGGATGACGCTAAAAGCACGGGCTTTGACAGCAATATGCAACCAATCAGATTATCCACAGCACTCAGTTGGATTCATTGTGTTTTGCTTGCCTGAACGAGTTCACACTTTCTTATCCACTAATTCAGACCCAGTGGATTATAGGTCAGCCCTCCGCCTTGTGTGCTGTGCTGTGGCCCAATAGATCCTAAGTCACCATCGATAGGATATATTTCATGTTTGGGTTGAGATCCAATCCATACGAGCGCCGGAAGTTCATTCATTCACTATTATGCCTAGACAGTCTCTCAGTCTCATATCTACATCAGCGGGACAAGCAACAACAAGTGACGCACAAGCTAAAATGCTTGACGTTATTACGACCCAACGAACAAAATCTGAATCTAACCTCTTCTACCTCCCCCATTTTCCTCCTTCACACATCCACCGCATCCCCCCTCGCAACGGGCACCAACAGCGTCTGCGGAGTCCCCACCTTCACCTGGTGCCCAACCCACGCTTCCATCCTCCCCAGAGCCTTCATCGCCCCCCAACAGCCTCGACAAACCCCCCTTCCCACAGCGCCTGCGCCGCAGGCAACAAACCCTCCAACCCGGTCCTCACATGAGCAAGATACACCTGCAAGCCGGCCAGGGCCTCCAGCACCTCCTATGCACTAGTATGCTTCACATTTCTTGGGGGGCTGGGGAAACAACGCTTCGCGGAAGATGTGGGCCTTGTTGTGCCGCGCGCGCTGCCTGTACTCGCCGTAGCGCTGGACGTGCGGTGCCAGCACCAGCTCGACCTCCTGGCCCGCGCCTGTCCCGACGCGCCCACCATCTAAGGTACGTCTCGCTGGTGCCCGACTCAAAACTGGATGACTACCTCCAGACTCTTCCCACCACCACCCGCCGCCGTTCCACCTTCAAATGATACACCAGCCACTCGAACTCAGAGTCAGAAGAAACCCACGGTCAAGATTATTTACGATCTTACTCCGGGGTAGTTCTTATCCCCTTCCCCCAACCCATCATCATCTCCATCATCATCAGGACTAGATCCAGATCTCTCTCAAGAGAAAGAGAAAGAGAAAGAGAAAGGACCAGCAGGCCCCAGCACAGGCCCGCTCTCAGCTTACCTCTCCCTGCCCCCACCCCAGTGTCTGGCTGGTAATAGCCTGCGACTACCCGCTGCTCACGCTCCGTTGTCTGCAAACACTACTATGCCGCGCATCATCAACATCAACATCAAAAGCATCATCATTGCCGCCACCGGTGACATGTTTCCGTAACCGGGATGGCTTCTGTGAGCCGTTAGTGGCGGTGTGGCGGCCCGAGGGACTCAGAAGGTTGTAACAAGGGGAAGGGGAAGGGGGTTGGGCCGAGTAGAGTTGTGAAGGAGTTGGGGGTGTTGATGCTGGATGTCGAGGAATTGGATAGTACTGGTACTGATAGTGGTAGTGGTGAAGATTGGGGGGGGGGGGGGGGGGGAGGAGAGAGGAGGAGGAGGAGGAGGAGGAGGAGGAGGAGGAGGAAGAGGGGAGGGTGGTGTTGAAGGAGGGTTAATACGAGGGAGGAGTGGGAGGAGGCGTGGAGGGTTTTGGTTGGACGGAGAAAGTGAAGTTGAAATGTTAGTTGAGACGAGATGGGGGGATGAAGGAGGAAATGGTTTCCACACACACATATATAACGTATGCTAATAGAGTACGGTACATACACCATGCCCTTCTGATAGACACCGATTGGGCCACTCTGTCAGATGGACTGTGTTGTAAACTGCTGAATAGGACAGTGAAAACAGGAGGTGAAAACTGGCGGGACAAAACAATCACCAAGCACGACTCGGAATGTCGCGTTTACAGCAGGGCAGATACAAGCAGATAGGAAGTTCATATATAGCAATGCTATGGTATTATTAAAAGTAAGAGTCTTTTATTGATATTACAACCTCGATAAGGGATTCGATAGCAGCGACGCCCATTGTTAGTTCTCGGTCGGAGTTGAGAAGCTCGCGGTAAGTCTGGACGATGCTGTGGGCGTGATGTAGCTGGGTGTGGACTGTCGTGACGGAATTGTGGTGATGCTCACTCAAATGCGCCAGATGCATTTTCTTGTGGTGAGGGATTGGGACCTTCTTTGATATAATCCTTTCTGAATATAGATACTGTCGCTCAAACATAACTCGGACCCGTCTGAAGGGGACGGAGCCATGCGGGAAGAGTGCTGCTTCGATATCGAGGTTGCATACCTTACTTAGGTAGGTAGGTACTTTTCGGGATCGACAGCACGGCTGGGTGGGCGTAGTAGCGCCAAAGCGCAAGGACACACGACCGACATGAGGCGGAATGCAGTTTGTCATGATGCTCCTGGAAGTTGGGGTGTTTTGCGTCGTTCTTTCTCGTAGTTTTCGTCTTTGTTGTTCCAGTTTCCTTGGCGAGTGGTGGAGGCCCGGGCCCCGGGGGCTGCGGCATCTTTCAGTGCCGTTCTGTGTAAGGTTCTGTGTAAGTAGTCCCAGCGCGGTACAGCGATGAGTGTCAGGGAGGGAATAATGAATGATGAGGTCATGGCAGCCATGGATGCCACCGTCACCAAGGTATTGGAGCCGTCAGGATGATTACCTGATCTAGCGGCCCGGCGAGCCCCGTCGATGCCAAACATGGCTTGGGCCGCCGCGACGAGGGAGGCTCAGTCCCTGTCGTCATCTGGCGGGTCAGACGAGGATGAATAAGGAAATTCCCATGAAGGCGGCGATGGCGACGGCGATGGCGGCGCACGCGGCCTCACCTCCAAGCTACGATGACGCCCTACTCTCGGAGACCGCGGCAAGGATTTGGCTCCCTCGCTTCCCTGTCAGCATGAGTGTCCGAGAGCACCAGAGACAAATTATCGAGGCGAGGTTGCAACAGCAGTCGGCGAAGATGGGAGACGGCTCGGAAAAGGATAACAACGGAAGCCAATTCGCTGCCCCGACACCGTTCCCGTCGCAGCGCCAGCTGCTGCTCTCAACATGAGCACGATGAACATGAGGGCACCGGGCCTTGCGCGCAAGCGCGGTGCGCCGCCAGGCCTGAGCATTGTTGCGCCGTCGCCCCAGCAGTTCGCAACCGAGAGGGTTATCCAGTCCGCACCGCTCGGCCAGTCATTCACTGGGAGACACAACCCACACGGCACATCTAACAGCCTTCAAAGAGCAGCAAACATGGCCCAACCGGCGACGCTAGCCCCGGCGTTGTTGTCGACAGCGTGGCGACAATAGGATATTCAGCTTTTTGAATCGACCGCGAAGTCCAGCAAAACGGGTTCCGCCGGAAGAGCAAGTGCAACAGGTCCAGTTTTGGAGGATGGACTTCCTGGTGTTGCACTTCAATGAGTTGCAAATGTACACCGGGCGGCTTGCCGCTGATCTGTGTTCGGACAGGTCACAGCCGTTTGGGAGCGAGAGGCAGCGGGGTCGTAGTCAGCCGCGTCGCGGACCGCTTGACAGTGCAAAAATCTGGGGCCGTCGAATTGATAGCATCATGATGATAATAAATTTTCCTTATCTCAGCTAGGAAGCCGAGCGAATGAGCACTCGTACTCGCAGCTTGTCTTGAACTTGCGCCGGCTGTGTTGCGACAGGAGCTGCGCCGGACAGCCCCATGGCTCATGGCTTAATTTATCTACTGGAGGGAACCCCTTCCAATGTGAGGCGTTGAAGTCCAAGACGGAGCAAATCACAGCAAGTTGCAGCGCAACCCTCGTGGCGATCGATTATATTGTACCGCCAGATGGGCGAGGCTTGGCTTGTTCTTCTTGCGCATGGCGCTCAACCTCGTAGACCTGAATGCGCACACCGGGGGCTGGTCCCGCCCTCCCCACCCCGTCGCGGCTCAAGACCCCCGCCGGGCTGTCAGTGATCGAGAATGTAGTGGCGGTGGAGGTAAGTCTCGCGGCTTGCACCCGCAGCGAGGTAATCGCGAATTGCTGTTCCGCCCCGACTGGATGACGTCGTAGCGTGACATAGGCAATCCCCGTCGCAGGTTCGCCATAGTGCGTCCTCATGATCATGGGGTACGTAGTGTCCGGTTGCATCGAGAAGGAGTGGCAAGGGCTAACGGCCCCTTGCTCTGACTCGGCTAGGTCCTCAACGCGGGAGAGACGCCGGTCACTCAGCATCTCGAGGTGGGCTTGACCAGCCGCGGGTCGAGACTGGTTCTATATTGGAACCTGGCAGGTATAGATTTGAGCGTCATGGATATGATTGTCCACGACGAATCCGAATGTGACGGTCCAGTCATCCAGGCTCGAGAGGATAGCACTACCGCACTCCGAGAGAAGACACTTCGCCCAACTACCACGTCGGGTAGAATCACTTCACATACGTCATGTTCGACAACCTGTTCTCTAGTGCCTGAAGCCTCCGCCGTGGGTTGTTTAAGGGCGGCAAGTTATGTGATGGCGGCGAGGTATGTGATGGCGGCGAGGTATGTGATGGCGGCGAGGTATGTGATGGCGGCGAGGTATGTGATGGCGGCGAGGTCTCTAAGGAGATTTTCGCCATGGTACTGGATGCGGCTGCACGCCAGACTTCCCTGCCATTTCCACTCCCTTTCGACGACGCTCTATTCCCGGCCCAATGCCAAGTATTTCCTCCGCGACCCGCGACGATACCCCACCCCCCGCCCCCCCAATGGCGGCGGCGTCTGGTCGCTCGCACGGGGCTCCGACATCTCGGCCAACTTCTGCACGGGCATCTCGGACGGCTAGTCGAGGTGACGCTGAGAGCGCTTCGCCGGCGTCGATCAGGGTGATTCGACAGCACGCAACGTTGTCCTACGGCCGAGTCCTCCTTCGATGTCAGCGGCGACCGGACCTCGTCATCCGTGCTATACATCCCATCCACTCAGAGGCGTAATGTTCCCGCCAAGTCGTTCAAAGCATCAAAGGTTGGATAGCGATTATTGCACCAACAATACCTGGTAGGCCAGGTAATATGAAGCGCCCCCTTGGATGCCCCAGGCGTGGCATTCCAGGCGGGCTCTGGTAGATCCGAGTTCGATCACCCGAAGTTTTTCCTAACGCCAAGGGTGTAGGGCTTGGAGGGACTTGGAGACGTAAGGATTGCTCGGCCGCCCTCGCGTACGAAGGGCGAGGGATCAGTGCTGACACTCGCTAGCAGTAGTGGAGACCTCGTTGCGGTCCGCGTGGCTGACAGACACACTGGTGTAGTATTGTACGTCGGTTGCAGTCCCATTCCCAAAAGGACGCTCCTGCCTCTGCCAGGGACATCTTGTGTCCTCCGATATCGGTATGACCGTCCCTTTGTGGCACCGTCTACTGCAGTGGTCATGTGAGACGAGCGGCTTCGGTGTCACTGCTGAAGATGCCGGCATTCTGGCTGTGGGACTGTGGGACGGGGGGAGGTCGGGCTTAGTCACTCGGCTGTGTTACTGTTTACTTGTGAGTCACGTAAGCTTACCCGACATGCGCTTGGGAAGAACCAGTCAGGAATATCAGTCAGATTTCGTCTAGAAAGCAATGAAGCTCGATGAGATCTAACTAGGCCCGGATCGTCTTTCACCCCGCAAACCGGAACGCCCGCTCGACCAGACGGTATCTCAGCAAATCGCCCAGTATCTCAATTCCCGTTCCCGTGTCAACCGTGTAATCCCGCCCTCACTTCTTCTCCCAGCAGAGATCGACCGCCTGTCCGTCCAGCCACTTCTCCATCTCGCCGTACATGCGGTCCCACAGCGCGCCGCTAGCTGTCGGCAGCTCCAAGTCGATCTCGTATCCAAGCCGAGCCTGCGCGGCCCCGAGGTACTTGTAGCCGCGCGGGATCGGGGATAGCTCCTCGACGGTGAACCGCGGCGCCGTGTAGCCGTCGACAGGGACCACCTTGTCCTTCTCGTAGAACAGCTTGACGTACTTGGTCTTCCACTCGTTGGCGTCGTTCTTCTCGCAGAAGAAGATGAAGCGGCAGTCGCAGTCGACGTCGAACTCGGCCGTCTCGGTTGCCGACACGGCGCCGCGGCCGCCCGTGGCCGGGTCGAACGTGAAGCGGTGCGTGATGGTTGCCTTCATCTTGCCGATGGCGCGCCGGTTCTGCTGGCTGAGCTCCACCAGCGTGCCGCACTCGCGGTGCATGATGAACACGCCCTTCTCCTTGCCGGCCTTGGAGATGGCGATGAATTCGTCGACGGGGCGGGGGCCACTCCAGGCTGACGACCGGAACGTAGTCAGTGATTTATGGGTCAGAGAAATGAAGGAGAGTGCCCTTACTGGTCCAGACGAGGGCATCGTCGGTGAAGAGGGAGCGGTAGTTCTTCCACTCAGACGCGTCGCGGTAGACCGGCCAGCCCTTGCAGAGCTCCGAGACGGCGAGCCGATCGAGCAGGTCGGCGGCATTGCCGTTGTTGTGCGAGTAGCACTTGGTATGCGGGTCGGCAGGGGACGTCATGGCGGGATGCTGCTTGAAAGGAAAAGTCGGTCGGTGGGAATGAAGTGATTCAAGTTGTGGGAGAAAGGTCGACCGAGAAGGCAAGAGGAAAACCTTTGTACTTGGAGGCCACCGACTTGAGAGTTTAAACTTTGAAGTGGTTGTTGTTGGGGAGCTGGATCGCTCTTTCCTGCTACGAATCCTTCCATCTTATCATGCCGGCCGAGAGAACCTCCTGCCGTGACCCTTACTGCTAGGTAAGGTACTTTCAGCACTGAGATGTCAAATCATTTCCAGGATTCTTACAAGAAAACTGAGAAAGCATTGAGCGGTGAAGCAGGGGGCAGGGTTTGCGAAGATATCAGATTTCTACTGGTCTGGATGGCTGCCAATGGCTGTCAGACAATCTCTTAATAACAAACTCGTTGAAGTTGCTTCCCTGGTAAGCGGACGCCATGAGCGCCTTGACGCTGGTCTTCCTTGCCCGAGAGGGAAATCCTGAGATCAACTGGCAAACATTGTGCGATTGATTGTCCCACCGCCTGCGAACGTCCATGACAAGATCGGAGATCCCATCCTCGCAACAGTACTTCGGTTTGTGGCGCCGGATAGATCCGGAAGTCCCGGCACATGGAAACAGGACGTACTTTGTGTTTACGTAGCCTTGCTTGGTTGGGTTTCCTTTTGTCATCAACGACGGCCTCAATCGGCGTGTCTACGCTTTTACGGGGATGCTCGCCGGCCATCGGCAGTCAGCCGGGGCTGCGGTGTGCAGAGCCGCAGGCCATTGGGCTGCTGTGCAAGCTGACGGCTGCAGGCCACCGCTCCGTGCATGATGCAGCTACTAGTAGATATGTAGGTACGCCCCTGTCAAACTGACGAACGAATTGCCTCACACACTGAAGCTGGAAGCGTGGCAGAGTTCCAGCCATGCATTCGCTGCAAAACGTTTATCTTTTCGCTCCAGAAATCTGCACTGCTATCCTCAAATTGCAAGGTTACAGTTTCCATGTCGACCGGGGCCTGCCAGACTCGCCCTCACCGCTCTTGGGTTCACTACACGTGTAGGCCCATGTAGGTATTGTGCACAGCTAAAACATCTTCGGCTCCTTTTCCCGAACTGGGCAACGTACCTGGGTCCTACTCCTTTCTTTTTGTATCCAGAGCCAATATAAGGCATAGGACAAATGAAGAGGGAAAGCGAAATGGGAAAAGCAAGAGAAGTACCAGAGAGGAATTAGAAGAAGTTAGAACCCAAATTCCCTGGCATACGGTGTGGCAGGTCGGAATGATGGGGTCGACGTTGAGAGGCTCATTGTGGACTCAGCTTCAATTCCCCTGCGGTGACCGACCTGTGTTATTCCGACACTTCATCTCAGGTCGTGTCATGGGAGCTACGCAAGGATATAGGATAGGTGGTGGCTATACTGATGTCTAGATTCTAGTGAAGTGGTCTCTTTATCACGACACGGCTGTGCTAAACAGCCCTGCTACGGCGAAGATATAGCAAAACCGGGCTAGTGCCGAGAGTCTTGAAGAAGAACACAGCGAAAACTCAAAGGAAGAGCAAGAGGAAGAGGAAACGTTCAGAGCTACTATGGTAAGGTACTCAGGAGGTCTCAACGTTCCGCTATCTGTGGTCCCACATTACTAATGGATGCTGCATTACTGGCATGTTATCAACGGAAATGGGCTGGAAAGGAGCTAGGTGGAATGAATACCGTATATCATTATCCTACTACCTGGAGAAAATCCAACTAAGGCTGCTGAAGGAGGTATTCCGCTTCTCCAATGCGTTGAAATCATGCCTTTCCAATGCCTTGTGTCCCGCTTCGAACGCCGTTTGTTCTAGGACACCCCGATCTCCTCAGGGCTTCAAGAGATACCCGCATCCCAACATTCCTCTCACTCTTTGTCGTTCGTGGTCCTACGCGTGGACTCCTAGTGCTCCGTACCGTTATGTCAACTCCATTCCTGTCCCAGCCACCCGGCCGGTACACAGAGTTGCTTCGCTATGGGTCCGGTTGTATGCTAGTCCTGTAAGTTCATGTTGTATGTCGCTGTGCTGTATGTTGCGCTGCTCTTTGAGAGCCCATGCCTGTCCCAACCACCCAACCGGGGCATGGGATCTGTGTTGTATGACCCGCACGCAGGAAGCTGAAAACCTCAAGTTCAAGGGGAAGCTCCGAGATCACTCGGACTCGTACCCAGTAGGTGGTTGCACCATGCTCGTCCAGTCGCCGGTGCCTTGATGACGAATTTGAGCAGTTGGGAGCCAACTCCATGTCGCAGGTACTCCGGCAGAACACATGGAGTTGATATGTCTAACGCAGGTTAGCAGTGCAATAGCACTGGGGACGCGTCTCCATAATTGTTTGCGTACCTTACGGTTTAATTAATGAAGATTTGGTGTACACCACAAGGGCTGGTTGTAGTCAGTTCACCGGAGAGCCCAGTCCTACCCGGAGCAGACCGAGGACGATGCACTCCAGACCCTACTTTGGCTTTCCGGGACAATCTAATGAATGCTCGCGGGGATGATGGGTGAACGGCTTGCTTCGTACTGGTCAAGACCGGTAGAGGTCAGCAACCCGTGACTTGTGAGCAACTGGGCAAAATAGGTTGATAGCATGGTTCTCCCTCGAACAATCGTTAGTGTCACTTTCTATTCAGCTCGTTTGGTCTGCTGGAGCTCAATAGCTGCATACATAACAATGACCGATTTTCAGATGCGTGTAATCTGTACCACCTCGTGGTATCTGCATAAGCCGCCGAGGACAACCATTCGTGGTTGTAAACCAAGGCCTTCATCTCAGATTGCTACCGGTATGCGAGCACGCCAGGACTCAGGGGTCAGGGGTTTGTTTACTCCGTACTGTGTCGTGGTTTACGGTGGGGCCGCAAGGTGCAGGCTACAGTATGCTAATCAGGCTTCTACTGTACTCCGTACTGTAGCACGTGTAGCAGCTGCTGCCCCACTCCCGTTCTCTTCCATGGTGGCACGCAAAGTCTCCGTCCGAGACCTGTACGGAAGTACCTGTGTTGCCTTGAAGAAACCGCTCAATAGAAGCCGCGACCCGACGGCCGATTACCTCCTGGCCCGCGCTCGACCGCTCAGTGCACCTGTTCGCAGAACACCTCCGCCTTTGCCGACCATGGCCGACTCCGACGGACACATCTCGACCATTTCGTCGCACAGCGCCTTCGATGAGCTCCTGGCATCAACTCGATACGTGGTCGTCGACTTCTACGCCGACTGGTGCGGGCCGTGCAAGATGATCGCGCCGCACTTCGTAAAGCTGGCCTCGACCTACGCGATCCCGGGCTTCCTGGCCTTCGCCAAAGTCAACGTCGACCACGTCGGGTCGGTCCCGCAGAAGTATGGCGTCGCTGCGATGCCCACGTTCATGTTCTTCAAGGACGGGAAACAAGTCGCTGTCAACAGCAACACCGTAATACAAGGAGCAAACCTGCCTACTCTGAGCGCGGCCGCTGAAAAGATGGGGAGGCTGGCCAAGGAGAAGGCCGAGGCGGCCGCTGCCGAGAATACTGAAAAACATTGAGGGTTTGATCACGGTGCAATAGAACTTCCGGTTGGCTTATTACGCTTATTCATTCGCCATAACTGTGTTCGTCGATACTTTGCCAGGTTGGAGTTGGAAAGATGTGAGGCTCCTGGTGTAGTTGACAACCACAGGCGGAGGTGATGTGTTCAGGGTCCCGTCTTGATCGACATCAGGGTCCATGTGGAGTGATGTCATACCATTGCATTACTCCCACCGGCTCCCAACATCCTCAGACCACCTGCCACCGAAGATTCTGGGCTCTTCTTACACTACAAGAAGTCTTCGCGTGGCATTCTCTTGCGCCGCAGCCGCCACCCGTTGCCCTGAGGAGTTGGTGATCGACGTGCCGCTTCGAACTAATAAACCCCAGCCGACATCCATCTTTACGACCGCAAGTCCCACCCCGATAAAGCGTATCGTGGTTATCAAACTTGATTACTTGCGCGACAGTTTTGTTGACATTATCTCTTTGAACCGAAATGAGCGAACACAGCCCGACGCGACCCGCAATAGAGCCCCGGCGGGCAAGCGAATCGGTGGCGGACAATGGCACCAGGACAGCCGAGGAACGGGGAAGGGAGCGGCAGAGCACAAGCGGCACAAGAGCCCGCAGTACCGGTGCTAACAGGCAGCTCGCGCGGCAACCTCCTGCATCGGCCCGGCATGTTGTTCGAGGAGTGGATGAGGCAGTGGCGCCGACGCAGCATCCACAGGACCGTAAAGGCGCCCCGGCAGTCAGGTTGGACATGGACCTGGACGTTGAAATCGACCTCAAGGCCAAAATACGTGGAGACCTCGAGCTGTCTATATTGTAAGCTCCCTGCCGCCATCGGCTTGGGTCGCTTGGATCGTTGGGAGATCGAACTGACACGCACAGGGACTCGGAGCAAACGCCGCGGTGAATGGCGCGCAAGGGACCGGATGCCATGCTGAGTGGGTCTGGGACTCTCCTGTGCTGGCTTACTGGAAGCCTCAACGATTTCTGGAGTACCTAGATTGATGCGTCCCAAACCTCCCCAGATCCTTTTGGAAGATCCTTCAACCACCCATACGCCCTTCGATCTGCTTGCATTTTGCGGTACGTCTCAGGACCATGCACATGCCAACCGAAACCTAGGAACCTTTGGAGTGGATCAGGGGAGGTGCATGTGGTGGTGGTGCCGTGGTCACCTGGTCACGCGACGCTACTGACTGATCCAACATGCGTCACGCATACACCCTCAAGTCGCGTGCACACGATGTTGGCTGCCTCGGGACGCGGACAGTGGAATTAAAACCAGAAATGTCAACCTAGGGCGAAGCAAGCAGCAATCAACATTTATCTACATTCTAGAACACCTCTACCATTTGCCAGAAAAATCGCGCCGTACAGTACAGTAAAGATCGGTCATCTTGACTTGAGCATCAACTCGTTCAACATGCCCTCATCCCGCCGCCGCAAGTCCCCCGCCCGCTCTTCAGGAGTGGCACCCGAGATCCTACACCAGCTCGGTCGATTAGCCCTCTCCTACTCCCTCAAAAAGCTGAGCGAACCGAGGGCGCAGGCGCGGCAGCGCGACCAAAGCGCCCGTCAAAGATCAAGACACAGTAAGACGCGAAACGGCTCTTCTGCAAGCAAACGAGGAAGCAGCAGCCGCGACATGCCGCGAAGCGACAGCAGCAGCAGCAGTGACGACCTGCACGGGTTGGTAAGTCAGCTGGCCGTTGGCGCGGTGGCCTTCGGCATCCGGCAGGTTGTGCGTCGGAGACGGGAGGCGAAGAGGCAGGCCGCCGCGGCCGCGCAAGCTACCGCGGCAGAACGAAGCGCCACCAGCGGACCCGACGCTGCAATCGACGGGGAGCTATCCGCCGCGCTGGACGCCGTCACGCGAGAGCTACAGGGCGCGTGTGAGTCGATCCGGCGGCTGGCGTACAGCGCGCCGCCGTCGCACCGGAACTGCGAGGTGAGGGACGCGCTGGCGGCGGATGCGGAGCGCCTGAGCGGCTCGCTTGCGAACATGCAGGCGAGTATTCATAATATGAGGAATCTGCATCCGCGGTTGGATGGGGCGAAATCTGTCGTGAGGGGGCGGAGTCGACGAGAGAGGGGTGAAGCTGTGGATCGAGATAGGGAGGTCAGCATGGCTGCGACCGGGGAGAGGGAGGCGCGGAGAGGGGGCAGGAGGAGCGGGAAAGATAGGAGGGAAGACTCACGGGGCGTGCGAGGACGTGGTGTGCAGCGAGGCATCGACCGACTCCATGATCAGCGCAGACGTAGTAGCTATTCGAGTAGATGAGAGGAAGGAACTCAAAGGAGGCCCATTTCCGGCCTTCAGGTAGTGGATCAATGCAGTGATGACCCAGATGCATCTACAATCTAGTACTGATCATGCGTTTGAGGAAGGCGCGACCTTGGGGTACCAAGTATGTGGCAGGAGCAAACCGGACCGTACCGCCATTTTAGCTGATCGATTTCCTCTGCGTCCTTTTGCATCGTGCTTTGGCATTCTTCAATTACTCCTGAGTCGTCTTCGTCCTCTTCCCTCTCCCGTTCCATGTCTCATCGCCATTGCCACATAGATGACCCAGTAACTGGTTATCAATCTCCATTTGATCCCATCCCACCTTCGTTCAAGGCTTGCATTTTTAACAGCGCCGCTGCCGTTCGGATCGATACCGTCTTTCTCCCACTTCCCAGTGCATCTTCGAGCAGTAGAGCTTCCGTTGCCCGCTCGCGAAGTGAACCTGTAGCAACAAGCTGACTACCTAGCGAGTGAGCAGACACACCCAGCCGCAGAGTCCCGGCAGCAGCAGCGAGTATGGCCTCTCCTCGGACGTCTCCGTCGCAGGAACTCTGTTTGCTCAAGTGGGACACCCAACCTTGACCTTAGCGAGGACTGCGAGTCCGACGGCCAAGACAAGGTATGCCTTCTGTCCCGAGCGGCTCAGACGCACGGGCTAGACGCAAGCAGAGCCCTGCGGACCAAGAATTGTCCAACTATCTGCACCTTTGGGTTTCACCGGCCGGAAGCGTGGGTAGCTTGAGATGAAGCGCGCGAGCAACGGTGCCCGCTGCCCGCCTTGTCAACATCTGTCGCCCTGTTGGAGACGGTTGCCGCGAATCAGGGGACACTGCCTGCACGGAATCGAAGCCAGTGTCCGCCATGCACACGTCCATGACTTAATTAGGGCTGGAGACAACACGCTCAAGCCATCAACATCCGGCTCAATCCCGAGGCCGATCTACTGTGTAGCAACACACAGAGCATCACAGCAAGCCCCCGCACTCGTGCTGGCCCCGCTCGTGAAACAAAGGGGCTAGCCCTATCCATACACCCTTCAACCAACCAAGACAAGCCCGCATGGCTCAGTGTTGGGCAACGTAAGATCTACCTCGTGCTCGGAAAGAACACGAGGTAGAAATTACACTTAGCTTTTTTCTTTCGGCCGCCTTGGCTCAGTTCTCTACGTTCATGCCAATGTCGTCAGTTGGATTCTGCCGTGGGGAAACCTCAAGCGCGAATTAGGTTGCAGAGACGCCGCTCAGATGGCTTTCGTTTGTACCTACTTGCTGTGCCTCCGAAAACGGCGATCAGCCTTCCCACCACGAGAGGGGGCTGGGTTTAGCGAAATGAGCCAAATTTTTCTATACCTCATTTTGTTAGCCGCGCCGATATAAATCCAGGTACCTCTCGCTTACCTGCATCGCGAAAGGGTTGCATAACACCGACCGGCTTAGCTACATATATACTATATCGCGTACTTATATGCCAAGATCAAGAAATCTAGTTAACTATAATATTAGTCTAATCTAACTACTTACATATAGCAATCGTGACGACTAGATGCAATTGAACAGGGTCAAGCCGGCTGTTGTTGTCATTCTATTTCATGAATCTAAGGTTGAGGAAAGAAAAGAGAAGTTCTGAGTCGGTGGCCCAGAACATTACACGAAGATATTCCTGATTTGTGGGTCATGTGACCAGTACTCCACAACAGCCGTCAATCAGGGAGGTTGTGGGTTCGACCCCAGCCTGGGGCGACACCCATACTGACCGTAACAAATAGTTAGAGTTTATTACCTTCTTATTCTTAATAGCTATAATAGCTATTACTGGACCAACTTTGAGCTTTATCATAAGAAAAATAATATTATTATATTCTATAACGTGGTTGATAAGCGAATGTTACAGACAAGCGAATGTCACACGAAAATATACCCTCTCAACTAAATTTATATTAATTCCACCAAAACAACTTAAAACCAAAGGAACTACTCAGAATTGTCTTTATCAGACGTTTCCACAATTACCTGACAGGTACACGCATTGTGGCTAGGTTCGCCGCAGGTGCCATAGCGCCGCGCGCGCGTCTCGACCCTTGGCCTCTAACCACTACCCACCTGTATTTCCTCCTTTATCTGCACCTTAATCTCTCTCTAACTCTCTAGATCCTGTGCATCCTATATAGAAAGCGATCCTTCTTGCCGGAGAAATTGTCTTTTAGTCCTCCGACGCTTGCTTAGTGCCTCATTTGCTGCTCGGAGACTTTAGTTCTCTGCTCTTAACAATACTAATTAATATATAACCTTAGACGTCCCTTTTACAAAGATATCAACCGCTCTTAAAATCTCAATCGGAGAGCTATTTTGATGCTAGGTAATTCGATTCTTAATAAGAGTGGACTATATAGAGGCTTTGGTTAGGTTGTTTAGGGTCTTAGAAACCTAGGTATAGGCATTGCTAGGCCGTAAGTTCGAGGGCGTTGTCGTCTTCAAACAGATGTCGAGCTAGGATATTACCTTCTCGAGATTAAGAGGAATAAATCTAGCACCTTTAAAACCCCCTTGAACATTTTCAGGGGTTAGGGCGGCCTAGAAAGCAGCATAGAATATAGGAAAGAAGTCCTTCTTAGTGATATGGGTTATATTTACCTATATCATACCCTCGATTTACTTGCTATATACCGTTTTAAGGCCCCCACAGGCCCTATCCCCTACTAGAAGGAGCCGAAAATGAACGACGTTCCAGATCTGGCACCCAATATTGAGATAGGAGAAAACTTCCCCCCTCCCTCTCAGGGCAATAGTAGCCAACTAAGGCTATATACAAGCCAGCATGCAAGCCAGAGGACCTCACCTACTATACCCAAGCTGGCCAAAACAACCAAGTCTACTAGCCACCTATATACATACGAGTATATCACTAGGCTTGTTAATGACCTACTTGCCCTAGTCTCCAAAGATAAGGGTAAGGCTTGGGCACTTGCAATGGAGATTCAACAAGCCTACCAACAAGCTTACTAACAAGCTACCATACCCTCCTCTCAGGCCAAGGCTGCAGCTACAGCTACGGCATTAAACCTACTTACCCTACGGAAGGTAGTAGCAGAAGAAGTGCGAGCGGCACTAAGGGAAACCAAACCAGAACAGGCCTAAGCTACCCGGACCTGGGCTGATATAGTCCGAGAACCACTACAAGGCACTATAGCCCAGCTAGCCAAGGTTATCCCAGCCAAGCAGAACTGCGAGATCCTTGTTCGGAGGGGCCATCTATCACCTGATCTAGCTAAGAGGACCTCTCTAGAAATTATCCAAGCCGTCAACGGGGCCTCTAGCCGACAAGGGGCTATTGCAGCTCGGAAACTGCCCAGCGGAGATATAGTAATCACCTTCAATAACCCGGATACCAAGCAATGGCACTCTACCAACCATGTCATGAACTAACCTGCAGAGGTCAGTGGGGGCCGACCTGCATGGTCAACGGGCGGCGCCCGCATCCAATCATTACGAGTCAGAAAGAACCAATGAGGATTGAGGAGATCAGGAACAATGCCAAGATCGATTGTTCCTGGGGAACAACGCCAAAAAGCATTGTTCCAGATAGAACAATAAGAACAACAATTGTTCCAAATGTTCCAAAGATCTAGGTACAGGATACCTAGGGGAGGAAGCTATATATAGTTCTACCATTCTGCTATTCATTCAAAGAGATAGCTTCCTCAGTGAGCAATTATAAGCAATAGCCTCTACCTATTGTACAGACATTGCGGCAAGCATTGTTATGAACCTTTTGGCTTTACTGAGACCTACAGTCCAACTAGCAGTTACCTTCGACCAGCGAACCCTTTCAAAGGCAGGACTGCCTATGGTTTCGTTATACGTTGCTCACTCCCTTTGACTCTATCACGGTTCAGATCGAAGATAATATCGACCATCATGGCGCCTCAGACACCTAGCACCCTGGAATTGCAGAGCCAGGCTGCGACCATATACCAGATACAGCAGGCTTTCGAGGCTCTCAACGCCAAAATCGCCTAGCTTAAGGCCGAGAATAGCTATATATAGCAGCTCGTCAACGAGGCCTATAATGGCAAGCCCAAGGATAAGGCTAAACTCGAAGCACCCCCTAAGTATGGAGGCGATAACGAAGGACTTACTAGATTCCTTATATCTATAAGGGCCTACCTTAAATACTACCTAGACAAGTTTATAGACGAATCTACCAAAGTTATATTTATCTCCTCGCGACTCGAGGGGAAGGTACTTCAATAGTTTGAACCTACCCTTAAGAATTGGCTAACTAATAGTACAGACACTTAGGACGATTTTACCATTGAAATTTTCAAATTATACGATAAATTTAAACAGGAAATCTAGAAGGTGTTCGGAGACTATAATAAGAAGCTCTATATATAGAAGTGACTTATATACCTAAGGTAGATAAAGTCGGTAGCTACCTATACTATATAGTTCTACTAGGATTTACTTCGGTATGAGATCAACGACGAAGGTCTTATATAGTTGTTCTATAATAGCTTGAAGGAAGAAATTAAGGATAAATTATATTAAAAGGACCGACCTAATATACTTAACGAATATATTACTATAGCTATCTATATCAACGATCGAATTTACACTAGGCGCTAGTAGTATAAGGGATATAGAACGTAGTCTATATTTGTTAAGGCCAATAACAAGAAAAAGCGATAGTATCTTAGTATAATATATAGTACCTATACTGGTCCTATAGATATCGATACTACCTAGTATAAGGATAAGGGATGAAAGGATAAGTCCTAAGCTATCTATTTTAATTGCAGTAAAAAGGCGTACTTTAAACGGGAGTACTATAGTAAAAAGAATTAAAAGTAGGTGCCTAGTAAGGAAAACGCTATAATCGACAAGTCAACCTGTATAGTTAAAATAGCTATAGTAAGCTATACTGAGGATAACTTCAATAACGTAATTGACTGAGATATAGCTGAAGGAAGTATCGACAACTTTTTTTAGTTAGGAAGCAATAGCCCCTATATTATATTTAAAAAACCTATTATAGGCTACGATATCGCTATTGCTATAGTATTATAATTTATAGAGGGTTAGAGATTCCAGTTGACCTAGAACGAAGAAGGTCAATAGAGGATA